GCATGTTTCGGGTCATAAACTTTCATTTTGAGGCATTTCGGGGACTTTGTATTTTTTTTGTATTTTTTGTGATAGCAAGGCTGTGACATTTTATACCCAAATGATGTATTTTTGTAGTTCTTAGCACAAAATATTAATTTAGCAGTATTGTTGTTGCCATGAACTTTAAGTATTTTTTGGACTTTTTATTCTTTTGCATGATATCTATATCTATATATAACTATACTGCATGTTTGTGAACTACCATTTCTTACCTTTATTTTCCTTAAGAACCTCAAACAAAGGAGTGGAGAATTCTTCCAACATCCAGGAGATGAACAAGTACCCACAGGTGATGGTTGTCAATCATTTGCAGCATCACAGTCATGTTTTGCCATCGACATGGTAGGAAGCAGGCAGTACCCAAATGCAGTGCTAGGAAGACTCATTTCTGGTGCAGGCATTTTATTTCAAAGTCCAAAGTAACCAAAACTCACTGGGTTGCCTGAACAAAGCATAAACTAGACTAGGCCAGAACTACAAAGTACCTATTAGGAACATGCAGCATGAACTACAAACGCATCCAGAGCAACGTACTGAACAGTACAGGCTTCACAACAGACTCTAACAAGCACAAAGAGCCAGCACAAAACAAACTGCACAATGACTCCACCAAGACAGAGTGAGGGAGAGAGGTATATATACACAGGGCACCAGGTAACAAGAGTGAGACTAATCACAGGGACACAGGTGAGTGTGATCACACTGATTGCCCCACACGGCAGATAGTAGGAACAGGGAATAGACAGACCTCACAATCACTGGCGCATGAGGGTGGAAAAACTAATACTACAGGCTAGACAACACTAGTCCTTTGTTACAAAAACTCAACATGTTGTGACCAAAAGATAACTCTCTCTGGGAAACTGCAAGTCATGTGCATCAAGTGTAATTCTTACCTCGGTGAGGTAATGTCAAACAGACCTGTCAGTGAACCAACCAATCTTGTTTTAAAAGAAGTTTGTGTGTGTGTGTGTTTTAAAAGAAGTATTTTCAATACAAGTATATAGGTCAAGGTCTAACTGTGGGACACGGACTTGCAGCATATTTCTTCAGTATTTTAATGGTAATTTTGTATTTATCCATATGACTTTTTCACAAGTTTCAGTTTAGAGCCACAACTAAGCCCTTTATTATATGTATCTCCATTATTTTGCCAGCGCACAGCAAATCACACTTCTCTTCGAGCTAAGGTAACCCTCCTGGTAATCATTCCATAGATTGAGAACACAACTTTTAGGTCATTAAAGGGCAATTCTAACTTTGTTTTGACATCATTCAGGCTATGTTATTCTATAATAATTAACCAAGGTGTTATTTATTTATTGCTATGTTTAAATACCTTATTTTTGTCTAACTTTTGTTCTAATTGTATATATTTCAGACAAAAAAGCCTACAACATACTATAGCAAGATGTTGGGAATTGAAAATCCTAGGGATTCCTGATATATTTTGTAAAAAAAAAAAGAAATCTGTTCAATCTGGGTGGTTTGGATTTAAACTCACCACAGTCCCTGCCAGTAACCCAAATAATCCCTGACAATTCCAAGCATTATTTTGATCCTGGTTCTGTTATGTTCTCAAGTTCAGGATCTGTCCGCCGCAGTGGGAGGAAAGACACTGTATTGAGGGTGAGATGAGGTCATGCAGGGCTGTGGTTCTGAAAGCTGAGTCACTGTAAAAATAAAGGAATGAAACAAGAACCTGTTCCACAGTGTGGTGAGGACATGCTGACACTCATCAGCCAGATTCACTCAGTAAATCCCCACTGGTCACTGCAACACTGTTTAACAAACATGAAGTTCATTGAGACCAAAAGGAAGCATCATGGTTAGAGTTGTTGTCTCACAGCACACAGGTCACAGGGTGACCAGAGTCTTCCTGTGTGGGCTTTGTTTCTGTCCTCTTCTCCCTTCTTGTGTGTGTTGTTTGGTTTCAGAACAGATTAGGGACGAGTGTGCTGCTGGGCCCGATGAGAAATAAAGTGCAACTGCCTCACAGTGCCTTGGTCAGCAGTTCACACCGCATGTTTATCTCCACTCTATGATATGGAGTGGAGAGGAGAATGGAGTGGAGATACATAAATTGGAAACTATTGACCTTGATGGATGTGACCATATGATGAACAGGTCACATGCTGTTCCTTTACTGTGCCAGAAACAAACAAACTATTTAATAAATATTGATTAATTTGTACACGCTAAAATGTTATTTAAAGAGACTTTATTCTATCAGGTTTTTTTTTTTCAACATTCGTCAGATTAATAAGCAAAAACGTTTTGTATTCATGCTGCAGGTTATTTTGAAGAACAAACAAGAGCATACATTTTGTCTCTTTTCTAATCACAAAATGCAAAAATATATGTTTATGAAGTGGAATCATAGTACCGTGTGTTTGTTCAGTGTGTAAAAATAAAGTTCCTGTAGAGAACTCTTCAACATGCAGATGGTATAAAGCAAACATTCCCAACATTGTTGAGTAGTGGTAAAAACAGGGAGATTTACTAAGAAGCACGAAGAATTTGGACACTGTGTGCTTGTGATTTAGGTGCAGCATCAACACAATGACCTCTATTCCTTCTCTGCAAATAACAACCTGAGGATCGTGTTAAAGGGGCGACATCTTGTGGACACGGTCATAAATATTAACTTGCATCAATATAGCAAAAAGGTCTGAGGTTTAGTTTGTTATTTTTCCCAAAGATACAAACAAATGGGCAATCATCATCGTCATCTTTACAATATCTAAGTTAACAAATAATAATAATTATAATAAAAAATTCCAGCCATTATGTCAATGTTGATTCAGGTTTTCAGGTCTAAAATGTAACAGTTAGAGCTTCAGCAATCATGATCATGGCTCTTTCTGTTCTGCCATGACTTCTTCCTAATCTCCAGCTCAGTGTCAGTAACCGATGCTGGGCCCCAGTTGGTGATTCTCTGATTCACTTTGTGACCTGAAAGACAACATTGATAGAGGATCGAAAACATTTCTTTAGACACAAAGTCATCATTAGATCCCCATAAAAGCACTACAGAAGAACACATCATTGTGCGACCAATGTTCAACGTGCTGCATCCAAGAGAACCATTTTACACACTGCACCGCCTTCTTATATAAATATTAAATTATCCACTAATCATAACAATGGTCGTACGGCTTACCTGGCTGGATGAGCCGCACCAGCCCCTCATGTTTAGCCACCTTGTCCTTCCACGTCTTTGTCTTCTGAGTGGCTCTCTCCAACTTTCTGGACACATTCTTTAATGAAAAAAAGGGAGGCAATGAGGTGATGTTGTAAATGGTCAAAAGATGATGACTGACATGTACACTGTGAGAATGCCAGAAACTCACCAATTCACCAAGCTTTCCTTGGTCAACTAGAGAGTTGTGACTCTTGAAATATTTTATTTTTAACCAGGTGCCATTACAGCTAGTTCCACTAGAACTGGTCTTTAACTGAAGTAAGTAACTTTTAAGTGCATTACTAATGGAACTAGCAGTAATGTCACCTGGTTAGGGTTAGGGTAACCCTGACGCTGACCCTAACTCTAACCCGAATCCTGACCCTAATCCTTCTACTTATACTAGGTATGAGGTAGAGCCCTATACTGTTTTTTTCCCTCAAGCCTAATATCAATACAATTTAATTTGATAATTAATCGTCCATAATTAATCCACAGATCTGAGAACTAACACTTGTGGTGTGGCCTGACCTGGTACTGCTCCACTGCCCCCTGTCTCTCCTTCTCCAGTCTCTCCAGCTGCTGCATGGTACTCTGCAGCTCCCTCTCCTTTACCAACTGTGCAGAGACCAGCACCCGCTTCTCCGCCTCAGTCTGAGAGAGCGCCCTCTGCTGCTGCAGGTGGATCTGCTCCAGCTCTGCTCTCTTTCCAGCCTCCTCCTCCAGCAGCCTGGGACGAAAATGCCAAAAAAGAGAGAACAGAAATCGTTCACAGACAACAGTAAAGACACGAGAGACATTTGTGAGCGGATTAACTGAAAAAAACTAAAAGAAAATCTATATTAAATATAGTTGTGTTTATGAAATAAAAATTTCATATCCCAGTGCAGTTGTATTTTTTATATATCAGACTTTAAGGAAAAAGAACAATTTTATTTTTAACAATACTTAAATTATTTTTTACATCCTTACATCTCCATAGAAAATGAAGAGAATAACCGTGTGTCTATACCTTGTCTGCAGTTTCAACATGTCCTCCTCCTCCCGTCTGGCTTGTCTCTCATCCTCTAGTGCCTCCTCTAGTCGATGGTACATGTCCTCCAGCTCACGGACTCGCTGCAGGTACTGGTCCAGTTCATTTGACTTCTTAGCCATCTGCTCCTCCATCTGCTGACGCAACTGAACAACAACAACACACACACAATTAAATTTGTCTGTGCAGATAGGAAAACTAACTTAAGGATTTTATTGAATAGCCATTAAATTAGATATAAGGTATAATAAGTTGTTAGAAATAATGATTTTTTTCAGACTGAAAAAATAAAGACCAAATGTAATTTTCATTCTGGGAGCAGTGTAGCGTGTTCACCATCTTCTCTCTGTCCAGGTCCAGTCTGAAGCGATCCTGCAGATCCAGCTGTGTCTTCTTCCTCATGTCCACCTCTGATGCTGCCTTAGCTGCAGCCTTGTTCACTTTCTATGAAGGACAAAAAAGTAAGAGGCAGTTGTGACCTCTGCTAAACTGATGACCTTGGGTTTCTACACTGGGTGTGTCATGTCTTCAGGATCCTAAAGTACACTTAGTACGACTTAACAGGTGAAATAATCTCACATCATTTTGATTACCAACAGTTAACATTTAAATTTGATTCAAATAATGATGTATATAAGTGAATAACAATGCATTAATATGTATTAAATCCTGTTATAGACCAGTGTTACTCAAACTAAAGTAAGTATACCACTGGCGGTGATTGGGCTCCCTCTAGTGGTACATTTGATTTTTAAAAAGTTCTCTGAGTGTGTGTGGTTTCAGTCATAGTAGTATTTCATTGTACAGTGTGTCTTTTGCGGGGGCTGATAGGCTAATGATCTCTTTAGGGAAAATATTCTGTACTTTTTATACTCTGTGAAGCTGAACATCTGCTGTATTTTTAAGTTGGGTGTACTGGTTGTACTTGATTAGCCGATTTATTTGTTTATTTATTTTTTGGGACAGTATAGGAACATCTGGTGGCATGACAAAAGAGAAGTGAAAGGTCTGAGATGAGATGCTTTCTCAGTTACCTTCGCGATCAAGGTTTTACTTCCCTTTTTTGCACAGTGTTTAGTCTACTGCATCGGCGTATTACCACCTAATATACAAAGATAGAACAGAGAAATGTACTATCAAGATTTTTAAAAAGAAAAGAATTAACAGGTCAATCCAAATATTCTTGAGATAACCTAATTCTATGGCTGTACAACAAACGTATCCACCATACAGTGGTATAACTGCAATTATTCTGTCATGGTCGTGTTTTCCTCCATCTTCACAGTGCTCCTTTTTAAAATAAAAATCTTAACATTTTTTTTGTAAATATTGATTGCATTTGAGTGAAAGAATACATATTATAATATTCACTTCAGTCACAATTGTCACAATCTTGGCGCAGATGTTGATAAAGCTATAGAACTATTGGATAATTCAGCTGTCAATCACACAGAAATCCCATCAACCTGTACCACTGTTTGTCATCCTCTCTCATTTTATCTACATCTGATTGCAATTTATGTAAAATCATAAATTCACAGAGACATAGGCCTGGAGTAGGTAATATAGTATCTGTAAAAAAAATCCTGATAAACTTTTGAGATTGTTATGTAAGGTATTTGGAATCTTCCGGATGCTGTTTGGTTTACTCTCTGCCTCCATCTTCACAGCGCTCCTTTTTAAAATAAAAATCTTAACATGACTTTATGTTTCATTCACTGGTCACAGAGCAGATGTCAGCATGTCATGTCAGGGTAAAATGAGTTGATCAGTTAATCTGCACGTATGCTTCAGTGTGGTGGACTTAGAGGACTGAACTCTACCTCCTCCATTGCCTCCAGCAGCAACTGTTTCTCCTCGTTTGCTGCCTGAAGCTGCTTCATAGTCTCCACCAAGAATTCCTCCTCTGCCTGTTTTTGTTGCCTGAGCCCCCTGCGCCGTAGTCGAGCGTCACGATGAGGAGACCGCAGCCCCAGCCGTATATGCAAGAGGCACATTTCAATAACTGCAACACACAAAACACACACACACATGTAGAAGAATAAATAATGACTTCAGACTTCAAAGACAACAACTATACAGACAACCAACAGGTAGAGTAAAGACCATCAGCTTTGATGATGTTGTTGTTAGAGAAAGGTAGAGTGTGACAGACCTTGAATCCATTCCTGTTTCTTCTTTTTATCTGATGCACTGATTTCAAAGCTTCTATCAATGCATTTGATAACGAAGAGACATTTTCTTCCCTCTCTATCTGCCACAGACTGAGGGACAGGGCGATTAAAAGAAATAATGTTTTCTTCGGACATGATAGATGATTATATTTCTGATATAAAACCAAGACACATCTTTATGTTTTGTCCAGAACAGATTGAACAGTAAAAGGTTTTTTTAACCTCTACACAGCAGTTTCGGTCCAGGATAATATTTCCTTTCTTCTCTACCAGATCCTCACAGTCATAGTATGACAGTGAGTTGGGTTGAAGGATGAACCAGCGCTCGGTCCAATTCTTCCTTTTATGGCCTTTTTTCATCATGTAACCCTTTAAAACACAAAACAAAACAGTAACAGAGAAAGAGGAAACTAAATCTTTGGCTGAAAAAAACCCCAGTATCAGTTACATAAACTAGACTAATCACAAAAATGTCATAATCAACCTACTTTTTTGATATTTAAATAAATGTTTTCAATTCAAGGGGATCAACAAAGGGATAAATAATTTGATTCTGTCAGACCTGCTTGAGAACATCCAATATGAGCTCCTGGAAGACCTCGTTGATGCCCACAGACAGGGCCTGGTGGCCCAGGCTGAAATGATCCATTCCCACCAGTTCTACCAGCTCCCAGGCCGTCAGGCAGTTTCTTGGACTCAGCTGCTGCTTGTAATTAACAAACTTCTCCTGACTCCACTCACTGCCCATGGTCTCCACCAGCTTTCGTAGAAAGAACTCAATCTAACATTGACACGCAGTGTTAAAAACCAAATCATTCCAATGGCCAGGTAATACATTTGTATCTGTCTTAGGCAACAGGTTGTATTATAGTCTCCACCTCTTCAATAATGATGACTAGTGGATATTCGTCCTCTGACAGAAAGTTGAAAATGCACCAGACTTTGAAGGCATCGTCCTCCGTAATGATGAGAGGTTTGTTGTAGTTTTTCTTGAAACACAGTGTCCAGCACATCTTTGTAAATGCCAGTATGTCGAAGTCCTCCCTCACCTGTGAGCCCAAACAACAGTTTCAAGTCTGATAGTCAAAGTTCCATATGTCTGTGTGCTCTCTCACAACTACCAGTCTTTTTTTTCCTGTCATTGGTGACAAGAAAAAGCAGGAAAACCACCAGAGCGAGACACTGGTGAAAGTTTGTTTTACAGCGCATACACTGACAGGTTTGTTATCAATAAAAGTTTCTGTTTGAGCATCCTTAATCATCAGTATTTATTTATTCATCAGCACCAATGGTATACTAGTCATTATCTTTTATTAGTGAACATGTGCTTATTGACATGAATAAGCATCTTGTATTCACTTAATTAACACGAAATGCTAAAAGTATTGATTGTTTCTTCTTGTACATCTGAATATAAACGTTACATTAACTTATTAATGTGAATAATTCTCTTTAAGGAGTTGAAAGAATTAAAAGTGTTAACAATGACTTCATTAGCACTAATTATTATCGTTACCTTGTCAAGTATGAACTTGTTCAGATAGGGCATGTAGCCATGTTTGGACAGAGGCCCTTTATTGTCATCCTTAAAATGTTCTTCAAGGATTGTGGGGTCAAGACGGATCTTCATCACGGTGCACAGGTTGTGAGTCAACACCTACAAATACAGAAGAAGACATTTTAAAATATTTATGGTTTATTTTATATATTTTTTCCTTTCATTGACCAATACATTATATTTCCACTAAGGAGCGAAGAAACTTCAACAATTTTTACGGTCCTTCACTCGAGATGTCGTTTTACATTTTACTTTATTTTGACAAACGTTTAGTGTTTTAAAATATTGTATGTAAATGTTTTAAGGTCAAACATGAAGCATTTTTGACATTTTCGCACATCACTGATCAAGCTTTGCTTGGGTTTCTTCCAGAGACCAAACACACTTTCCTTTGCGTCAAACAAGACTCCACCCGAAAGTGTGTCACACTTCGGTGACGCTGCACAAATATCATTAGAGCTTGAGGTCTAAAGCAGGTGAATACTGCATTATTCTGTATCACAGTGAGTGATTACTAACCTAATACATATTTGTATTTCATAATTTTCATTTTGTTTCATATATGGAAACAAAAAATAACAAAAAAATAGAAATACTTGTAAAAAGTAACATTGCAGTAAGAAATACAGAGAGAGTTTATTTTGTTGTAAAGGGCAAAACAAAGTACTGCAGAAATAAATCACACTACTGCATACTTTTAGAAGTATTAAAACTCCAGTTTGTACATATTTCCTTAACTTGTTAGACCCTAGACATAAAAAGGCTAACAGCTAATAATTATTATTCTAGCTTGATGTACATTAGAAATGTGGTTCTGCCTGATAAGCACCCCATTCGAGTACTTCATTGGAGGGACAGTAAAAACTAGTTTACACCAAAAAACACTGACCTTCAGCTGAGATTTGGGAACTTTCCCCCGGTGGTCCCTCTGCAGGGCATTAAAGGCGTGGTAGATGAACTTCAGCAGCTCCTCTCGATGCCACATGTTGGTGTTGAGTGTCTTTCTCTCTGTGTCAGTTCCACCTGAGAATGGCTGCTATAAATCTCTCTCGTCGAATGTGATGTGATGAAACAATCACGTGCCCTTCACCGACCCCTGCTGGTGGATTTTTGTCACCCTAAAACAAAATGAACACAAAATTTAGTTTACTTAAGTAATATATTTTTAATATTTAATATCATATATAGTGGATTTAATATACACTATTGACTTTCCAACAAGTCACTGTGTCACGTTATTATCAACAGCACTAATTAAATTAGGTATATTACATGAATTTCAAATACAATTCTAAATATTTTAACAAAGAACGGAAGGTTAATTATTTGTTACATCACTGTAAAAAATCAATATCTCTGGTTTGATATTTTTCGCAATAGTACCTTTCAATTAAAGCTGTCAGAATTATCGCACTAATCTTAGTTGAATTCAATAAACTTTAAATATTTTTTGACATGACAATACTGATTCAAAAAAGTGTCAACCTTAACTATAATTTTGCTACTGTTAAATATCCGTGTAACTAAGTTTGCGACCGCATATCGTGAATGCTGCGTATCTCTCGTGACGACTGTTAAAACACTTGTACAGTCGGTTGAGCTATTTTTGACCAGTAGACGGCGGTATTCTGCGGAAAAGAAATTGAAAAAATATTAAGAGCTTATTTGGTCAACAATAAAAATGTACGAGACAACATTTAAAATCGCGATTCTTCACTCATAAAATAAACTTACCGCTTGATCAAGGACCACTACATTGAATAACAAATTATCAAAATCATAAAACATAACATGTTATACTTCTAATGACTTTATACTTTCCTTTACTCTCTACTGGTAGCTTGCAAGGGATGCATTGGAGACCCCTGCTGCAAATCTCATCAAAGTTCCACAAAGAAACAAAAGACAGGGTCGTGAATTCCCTTAGCTTTTTTAATATGTTGTTGTATATATAGATAGTTCATCCATACACCAACCAAAAGCTTGAGACCTTCACGATTAGTCCAACTGTACATTCTTCAGTGATGTATCCAATTGTACTTGCAGTGCTCACAAACGCGTCCTGCAGCCATAATCAACACCGAGAGCGTTCCTTTTTTTTTTTATTTCCTGAAAAATTAATGTTTCCGCGTTGCCCAACGATACACTCTGTAACCAGATGCGTGACAACCAGCCGTTAAGAAGTTGCTCTCTAAATAACAAAGTTACAGCTGTTTTACACCTTTAAATAGTCCTCAATTTTTAAAAAAATTTGCAGTCTGATACAGAAGGCTAGGAGAACCTGAACAATATGAAAGTGCTAGTCATTAATTTACAGAGATCAGGCATCACATAGTGCTATGAAGTATCCAATATGCTACATATGAATACAGCTGTCGACACCTTATAAATGCCTCTGGTTGTTTTTCAAGGCTACCTGAAAAAAAAAAAAGAAAAACAAAATAACCTTGGCTTGTATGTACATAAACGTGAGCGTTTATGCAGAAAATAACAGATATCAACCATGACCAGAGGTAAATTCCTATTAGAGCCATTAGGCCACAAAAGTGATAATGAAATATTTAGTCCCATTATCAATTGATAACTGTTACTCTCCCTAATTTTGTTAAGGTGGAAAAAAAAAATAAAACAGAGTTGCCGTCATGGTCTCCTCTCCTCACTGGGCTCCAGAAGACAACGTTGTTCAGAGCTTCTCCTCTTGCACATCGTGCTCAAGTTCTTGGTTTGTTTTCCCCAGCCATTGGTTGCATTTGGTTGCTTTCCCACATCTTCTGGTGCTAATTCCCATTTGACAGATTGAAGAATGACTGAGAAGAACCAGTTCTGGAACCACTACTTAAGGGAACAACACAAGCTTTTTTTTCACTTCACTACAATCAGTCACAGAGTAATAAAAAAGTACAACAGGCGACTCAATTCATTCCTGGAGCACTGCCTCCGAAGTTGAAACTAGATGGCACCACTGGTACAGTGAATTTGTAGCCGCCGTGTTTCTCGATCATCTTGGATTCTGTGAAGAGATGAGACAACAAAACGCGATAAGCTCACTTAGACCCTACTTAAGGGAGGGAATTTAACTGATAGTCCAATTCAAGAGTTTGGAAGGAACAGGAACAATATCTGACAACCATTCACAACCTGCACTTAATCAAATACACTACAGAGAAAAAATTATTGATGTCCAAACTGATGTTTGTTTGTGAATGCTGTGCAGTGTGTTAAACATCATTTCAGGTCAATGTGTTGTTATTGGTAGAATTTATAAAAAAAAAAAAAAAAAAAAAAACTGTAAAAAATAGGACAGTAAATAACATGTTATTTCATCGACGGTTTTTTGAATCACGGTTTATAGACACCTCAGGAGCCGGACACGAATAAATGAAATAAAACTCACATTTTGTCTAACATTATTATTTGATGTTTATTAATCTGCCAGGACGGATATGAAGGCTCGGCAGGACACATTTTGGCCCACAGGCCACCAGTTGATCATTTCCAGTTTATAGTCTCTGCCGGTGCTCACCATGTGCTGCCCGTCTCTGATCTGCAAGTGTGCCGATGTCCTGAAGCTGTTTGCCCTGCTCCTCATCAAGGGCTTGTATTAGTGCCTGGTACCATGCTGGCTCCCGGGTTTGGATGTCTGCATCACAGGGTGGTGAGATATAATGACTTTATGTTAATGATGTTAACAATGGTTATGATAAGAATTTGTCTAAAGAGTTTCTGGTCTTACTCTGCAGTATGGCTTTAAAGATCTGATACTCGTCCACCAAGTTGTCTTCATCGTCTACAGCTGTAGTGTAGCCTTCAAGTGCCGTCTCTTCTGCATCGTCCTCCTCCCAGTCCTCATCGTCTCCGTCCTCTCCTGCCTGCTTCGCCAGCATCTCCAGATACTCCTGACCTTCCTCGTCGATGTCGTCTTCATCGCTGCCCAGCTCAGCTGCATTTATTACAATACCCCCATTGAATATCATGTGAGCTGGCAGAAAACCTGATTAAAGGATAAATGCGTCATAAATGTCTAAATCACCATGATCATCCTCGTCCTCTCCATCTTCATCATCGTCATCATCATCATTCTCGTGCTCGGCTCGACAGGCGTACGCCCTCTTGAGGCCACTGAAGAGTAAGATGGCTGCTGGAAGAAGCTGACTTGCAGCTTGGTTCACAACCTGAGGTCTGTGTTCCAGATCAATGAGGGCACAAAGACCCAGAATGCACATCTTCCGGTCATGCAGGCTGTAATGGCAAATATTAAGAAATCAGTCAGGATTTCAGTCTTCACTTGTGCTTAAATAGTTTAGATACGGTATTTAATTAAAATGTCAATTGTCTGTGTTTGATCTCACCCCAGGAAACAGTCGACATCTTTGAGCCACTGAGTGATGAAGTGGTTTGTGATTGGCTCTGTGTTGTTGGGGAAGCGGAGATTCTCCAGGGTGTTGAGGAGAAGAGGAGGACTGTAGTAAAGTGCAGCGATGGCCACCTGCAGACACATAGTCCTCAGCTCACTCGTCTTCACCTCCCGTGTCAAGCGCTCCAATGCAGCAGCAACAAACAGAGGAACAACCTGTAAATAAAGTTTTATAAGTGCACAATATTATTATTATTATTTTAACAGATGCACGATATGTACAGTTTTGTTATGAGTGCACGATTTTCTCAGTTACCAATAGATTTGTTAAACACTGACCTGATCAATGCCACGGCCTTTACACTGCAGAATGATCACCTCCAGCAACTTTGCTGCATGGCATTCTGGGTCCTCGCCTGGATCACCTGTTAAGACCTAGACAAAATGACCAGAAGAGGTTTTAAATACAATAAAAACAAAAACTCATTTTCTAGAATGCATACTGCAGTTACAAATATGAAACAAGCCTCCTGTTTTACCTTTTTGCACATGCTATAGATAATTTCCAGGTATTTAGTATCAGACAGGAGTGTGTCTGTATCCACTGTGACGTAGTTGTGAAGGAGTGGCATCATGTCTGAGACGGATACATAATTACACATTTAGTTTATGTCACCAGAAAACATTTGTATTGGTGGATGTGGTATTAGTATACACTCACCTGTGAAGTAGTCAAACCCATCCGGCTGAAAGCCTTCATACACTAAAGGAAGGAGTTGCCACATCTGTGGCGACACCTGCTGGCAGGTCAGGCTGTGTGCCAAAGACAGGATCTCCTCATAAAATTCTGGAAAAAAAGAAAAAGTTTATCACTTGTAGGTCAGTTTTGAGGGAGGCAGACGCAAGTGCAACATGCAGGTGGCATGTGGAAGTACAAGAAGAACCGGTTCTTCTTACCCAGGACATGTTGCTGCAGCACTGTGCCAATCACCTGCAGACAGATGCCCTCCAGTTGCTGGGTTATCTGCAAAGGCATTAATATAATGAGCTGCAAAACAAGGAGCTGAGAAGCTGTTTTATTGGCTCAGTGAGTCACAGCCAGTTGAATCACAAAATATAACGCAGTAAAGATTAAGAATCAGCAACACCTCTTAAACATTTTGTAGAAAAATCCAAACATTTGTGAACTTAAATGAAATCTAAATAAAAATGTCCTCAATTTGAAAAGTCTAAATGTTGGTTCACATGCGGTCAGATCCCTGTGTGAAGAAAGATAATGGCAGCTCGCCCCAGCTCTATTTCTGGCCTGGTTTTGAATCGTTTTGAACATGAAGAGAACAGAGCTTCCCAGAAGTTGGTGGGTGGCTCAAGTGTGTTTGGCAAGAACCACACATAACAGATGAGAGCTGCATGTGCAGAGGAAGTGGCACCGAAATGAGTGATTAGCCGAGAGAGAAAGAGAGTGTGTGTGTGTGTGTGTGTGTGTGTGTGTGTGTGGGCAGTATGACTGGCAGCTCAGCTGCTCACCTCTTTGTGGTCCTCCACCACACTGAGAAGTGTGTCGATGGTGTTGAGGATGCCCATGGCAGTCACAGCCTTGTCATCACCTCCTTCCTCGTCAGGACCCGTCTGAATCACCTGGTTGAACGTCATTGCCTGTCAAAAAAAAAAAAGAATGCAGAGAATATGATGACACACAATAATAGTACAGATGTTAATGTTGGAACATAACTGATTTACAATGCAGGATTTGCCAGTTTTGGTGGCACACTGAATACATTTTAATGTAACATAAAAACCATACTCAAGGTGGTTGCACTATTAACAGATTAGAAAGAGTTTGTGTTTAATAGTATACTTTACAACAGTTGATTTGATTATTTATTTATTTTTTAACTCATTTGTTACATTAAAGCAGATACTATATTCAAGTTTAACTTCAAGATAACCAGAAGTGGCATTTCAGTATTTAGTAATAATTCAGTTAGAATTATTGAGCAAGTCCCTGGCAGGTCGCATTTCTAAGTTGCTTAACTAGAATTCCACATTCACAAAACAAGGCTATTTTTTCACTGGTCTCCACCTGTCTGTGCCACTGCAGCCTCAGATTTCTGTTCTTGGCTGACAGAGGTAGAGAGGCATCTGGTCTCCTGTTTTTAAAGTTTGGTTACATCAATGTTTAAACTCTTTCATCAACTTTCACACATTTCAGCTCAGAAACTACTGTAATTAGTGTGTGTGTTTGTTTGTCAGGGGAGGGGGAGCTAAACTGTTTCTATTCCTTTTATAATGACTTGAACTTCTAAGGTCAGGATATATTTGTGATGTAATTAAAAAAATCTGGAAACTACTGTGGGTGGGGGGGGGGGGAATCCATCTGGTACCAAAGTAATACCATAGTCAAAGTGACTGAGATCAGATTTCTATCCTGGCAGGTTTGAGCTGGTTTCCAGTCAGGCACTTGCTGACTGCGTGATGATTGTACTCACCAAGTGCTGTGTCATTTCCACTGCAATTGGGGTGACCTCCTCACTGTATTCACAGATCATCTTCTGGATGACATTAGTGAGATCATCATTCTCCGTTTCCCTGACAATGTGCAGGAGGGCCTGCATCACAGGCCGGATGAAGGGAGTGATGTACTCTTTGGCTGATGAAATAAAATAAAATCATTTTAGAAGTTAATTATAGATCTTATTTTTTTTTAAAGAGGAAAAAAATAACATTGTGTAGTTCAGTCAACTAACTGAGCTGCTCACCTTTCTCCTGGTTGCTAATGAGAACCTGCAGCGCAATGGCAGCCTCCACCTTGACTGGCATTTCATTGTCATTGATGAGACAGAGGCGAGTCAACTCCAGAGCCACCTGCAAGTTCTGATCACTTTTGAACTTCACTTCGCTGAAGTAGTGGAGAACCCAGCAAGCCTGTTGAAACAAAGACAGTGAGAAGGTGTGGAACGAGCCACGTAGGACACTTCACCTTGTATTATCTGGCCCCTTTTCACTCACTCTGGCTCTCATGTAGCCCAGTTCACTGCGGAACAAAGGGAAGACGTGATTCTGCAGCATGAACTCCATCTGGTCCTTGTAAATCTTTTTCTTTTAGGGAAATTTAAAAGAAGAAAGAAAATCTGAATGTCGTTTCTTGACATGCTTGGTAAAGAGACAAGTCGATGGCAGAAGTTAATGGATTCAATTCCAAAGACTAGAGCTTTAAAAACTCTAGTTAGAGAGCTGGTCACCTTGAGCAGGATTTCAGCCAAGGAGCCAATCATGTGAAGGGCACCGTCTTTCTTCCTGGGGTCAGTGGCCGGATCAGTGAGAATCTGGTAGCAAAAGCCCATTGTTTTCTGCAACACCTACATAGCAAGGAAAATAATAGATTGTATATTAGGTAAAAAACAAATTTGAGGACACAGTTAAAAATACAGTTTTAACTTTTTCCCCAGCCTCTGTACTCACCTCTTTCCTTTTGTTGCAGGCAGTGAAGAGCAGCGTCTGGGCTGCCGTCGTTGGAGAGATAAAGTCCTCAAATACATCTGAAGAGAACAGCGGACATTCAACAGTAAGTCGTCACCCAAGAACAGAGTGCTTCCTGTGAAATAGTCTTCCTCATTCCTTGCTTACCAAACTTCATACGGATGTACTCGTATGGGTCTTCCTGCCACAGTTCCTCATCACTGTCTGTGTAGCACATGAGAGGGAAAACCACATCCTGAATGATGCCCTGAAAAACAAGCAAAATACTCAGGTTTGTTATATTATCATTACAATACCAATATTTTGTTTCCAAAAGCTAAGTACACACACCATTTATCACACAGTATTGAGTGATGCCAATTTGCTGTTAGCAAGCAAACTCATTAGTACTGTGTTTGATCTAAAACTAAAGGCCCACATTAGTTTAAGAGCTCAATAGAACACTATACACAACACAACACAATAGTACAATTGTAGGACAGTAGGGTTGCTCAGCAACAACTAGTTCTAAATAAATAAATAAATATCAAGCTAGTGCTTTGTTTAGCTGTTAGCAAACTACACAATCCTCCTTGAGGAACAAATTTGATATTAAAGTATTTTAAAGGGGAAATATCTTTCAAAAGTTAACAAAATGCAACTCATTTCTTCTATAGTCTTGCTGATTAAAGACAACTCTGCATACACTCCTTGTGTCACAAGAGCATTAAAGGATAAAATGAGGATTTAAAATGCAACTGCTGGAAGGCTCTTGTTTCACAGTTTGTTACACTGTCAAAGTACCTGGATGTGTGGCTTGAGGTTTTTCCATGTTAGGGCATGTGCTATGCCCTGGTTGATGTAGTTGAGTGTCTGCTGGAGAACTCTGGGAGCCACATATTGCTTTTCCTTGTACTGGTATAAAACTTTCAGCAGCACCTTAGACACAAATGTACAAAGGGAGTTACTAAAATTTGAGCAGGTGCATGACAAGCATTAGCACTGTTTAGTCTGTGTGGAGATCAGCTGCTGACATCACATGATCTTACGACCTCACCTGTTGCGCTGGAACTGCATACTCCTTGAGGAAAAGGTCTGCAAACTCTGTGTACTCTTTGGTTGTATTACCTGGGCTTCCATACCTGCGTTTATGGAAAGTAGGTTTATTACAGGCACATGGAAATTATATATCAAAATTAAAGATTAAATGATAAAAGGTCTACCTCTCAAACAGACGAGCCAAAATGTGAAGGGCCCACTTCTTACACTTCCACCACGGCAACTCAGGTCTCTCATCTTCATCTATCTGCATCGTCTCCTGTTCAAGTCATTGCAAACATGGGCATGGTCAGTCTCCAGAGAGCATAGATGGCCAACAGTATGTAAAGAGGTTTTAGCTATAATAAAATGATAGAATGCCATCTTACTGGAGGAACGTCTCTGTCCACTACTGTCTTCAGGATGCCCATCCATTCTGTCAGGTTCTGCCTGTTGATGAGTTCCAGGGGGAGGTTGTACTTTTGGAGGGGGCGGGGGGAAGAAGTCAAGTTTAACAAAACCAAAATTATAGATATTTACATTCTAAAGGCTCAGCAGAGAGGGAGTTCTAGGAAATGTGGTGCTACCTGGAAGAGAGCATAGAGGATTTTGAAGATCTGCTTCTGTATCAGAACAGAGTCACTAGAGTGGTCAGGGAGGAGCTGGATAAAACGACCCTTAAGCATGGGCATGAAAAGTTCCATGGCGGCTACCAGCGGTTGACGCCCTTCTGGTTTTTTGTATCTGTTTCACACACAGCCACACAGATGGCACGTTGAACCAGTGTACTCTCTGTTAATGCAAGAAAGGTTTAGACACTGCAAAAAATGACTTACTCATAGTTTTTGACAAGCTGGTAAAGACAGAGCAAAATGCCAAGCCATCCAGCACTGTTGTCTGACTGCAGATAGAAACCAATCTTGTCTACGATGGCTGTCCACTTGCCAGGGTAGTCGGATTTGATCATGTGGTGGATACATGTTGTCAACTGGACCCTGAAGGAAGTTAGGCAGGTAGATTTAGAATGTTGAAAAGGACATCAGAGAGAGAACGTTGGTACACAAAGTAGCATCCTCCTGGTGAAGGTTTACCTGATGCGCTCTGGGGAGTGGATGATAGCCTCCACTATGTTATCTCTGATGAACTGTCTGTCCTCGTCTGGGATGTTGTTGACAGGCGTCTCAGTGCCTGAACCATCTCCGCCACTCCAGTGCTGGGTTATCATGTTTTTAAGGTAAATTACACCTTGACAAAAAAGGAAAAAAAAACAATAAAAAAATTAAAAAGTGCCAACTTTTATTTAGAGAGAGAGAGAGAGAGGACAGATCCCATGTGAAATCTTCTAACTGCACAAAATACCCCAGAAGACGAATGAAGCAATCAAGTCATCTTTACAGCATCATTTCAGATAAGCTATATAGCACAAGGCATTGGTGTTAAATCACACCAATCAAATGTGCACTCTCATTATCATCTCCTAATGATCACATACATCACAGTGATGTGAACTTAAGACCAAGCTGCAGGAATCATTCTCCACCTGTGCTTCAGCAGTTCTGAATGTGTCACCAGGGTGAGAGCTGGTTTCACATGGGGACAATGTGGGGGCCCCAGCCTCAACTTCTGTGGTGAGTCAGAGAAGCGAGGGCTACTTGGCAAGTGTCAGATGGCTGACATAAACAAGTTACTGATGAGAGCTCCAAAATGATTTCTGACTGATTTGTGATAGAAAAAAAAAAAGAGAGAACATACTTATCAATGTGCTCATGTCAGGATAAGCAACAGGGGTGTTTTATTCATTTTAACACCTTCTGTGTATTTGACTCTGGGCCAAAACAAGACAGAGACTGAAGCTGAGCTTGATTAATAATTTAACCATTAAGAAAACTTAATCGGAGCTAAGAAAAAAAAACAAAACAAAACCACTGAACATCTGAGGCAACAACTCCTGATGCATTAAGAAGTCCAGAGGCATCACATTCACCTGTACTGTGTAAACATTGACTATAATAATTACATTTGTATACATCTGTATCATTATCAATTACACATTTAATCGGAAGCTCAATTGGAGCAGAGCGATTGTTCCTATGAAAACAACTCTTAAAGATGCAGATACTAGCATCATACTAGTCACAATCTGATTATTTCAAACTAACTAATAATACAATAAATGAATTATTATTGAAGTGGTTACATTTTCAATTAGTAAAAACACTAAAACAAAATAAACTACTATAAACTACTATAAACTTAATAATGCATTAGTAAATTGTGTCTGTCCACACATTAAAATTGTGCCACACAGAAAAGGTGAGTCATATCCATACCATTGTTAAATCACCTTTTCTACAGTTTAACTTTTCCAAGTAGAACATTTGAACTACTTCTCTTAATCAGTGACAAAAATAAAGAAAATGTTGCATATTATACAAGTTTTGCCTCTTTAGTTTATATTTAATAGGAACCAAATGACATTTCATAAAATGTCTGTTTGCTGTTCAAGTTGTATCTTTTTTTCCCCCTTCAGTTTCTGCTACAAATGGTTTTCATTGCATTATAAACAGTATTTTTCCCCCTCTCACTTCGGAGCAGACATTGGACTCACCTGCTTGCCTGACAGGCAAATCCAGCTGATCAGACATGGTTACGCGCAGCAAAGTGGACACAAAGTTTACGTGGGCGTGACACTGTAAATGAGAATTATAAAAAGATTAGTGTTAACAGGGTGTCAACAGTGACATTGTCCCAAGTAAACATTCATGTGCAGATTTTTTTTCTCTCGAGTTAGTCAAAACTCAGAGTATTTTTGGCAAGTCATGGTTGGTATTCAGTCGCATAAACATGGATGCCAAGCAACTGACACAAATATACCACAGTCATTCAGGCTTCACATGTTTAAAGCTTACATATTGGTTAGGTATGAACCTTGAGGTAACTGAGTTGGCACTATCCAACACATTGCCTTGTCTTAAAAATATCAACTGGTAATACAAAAACAGTGATAAATATGTATAACCTCACTACCCACTAAAACCACAGTACACTTTAAACTCATATGTTCACAACAAATACAAAAATGTATTTGCATTCAAATACAAAAAGGAATATTGCATTTAAAAAGGAAAGAAAACTTAATGTTATTAATTTATTCAGACATTGCTATGACCCTCTATTCATCAGTAAAACAACACATTTTTCACATGGCAAATAAACTTATATTTCAAAGAAAGGCATTTGAGTAGCATTAGCTTATTCACCACCAGGAGACAATATGCCCCTAAAATAACTTGAGCATGAGTGTGAACGCTCACTCACAGCTATGTCATTGAAATAACCCATCACTACCATGCACATGTGGGTGGTAACCTTTTTTTTTCCCAAGGCCTATATTTTTATCCTGAAATCACTCGACTCCACTCCAGTAGTTTAACATGATTCACAGTTGATGCAACTTCCAAACATCCATGCATAGCTTAGGACAACAGTCATGTTGTCTGGGGTCGACTTATAGTGCACTTCTGATTTACATAACCAGAAATGCAGGGCGAGAAGAATTTAAATTAAAGTGAGATTAATAACAGCAACAATAATAATAAAAATCAGACAATATTAGAAGCTGAACCTGTCAAGGACCTGACTACTAAACAAGACTTCAACACTGACAAAACTTGACCATAATTGATTTTGGGCCTTGATCAAAATCCCTGCAATTTAAAATATCTTACAGTTGACAACAAACCCAACTGAATCAAGCATTAAGTAAATACTTTACATTTAGAGCAAACCCAGACTTAATTCCACACAATCCACAGAACCACAACTGAATTCTAATTTAAGATGAAGCCCTTCTTTCAGACCCACTTATGTTACTGTGCATCTGTTAGTAAATGTATACAGGCATACATGAAGCAAATAATTCATGGCTGCCTCAACAGAACTAAAACCAATTGCAACACATGGAACAAACATGAAGCAATATTCCATCCATCCATTTTCATCCACTTATCGGGTTGCGGGGGCAGCAGTGGCCACCCAAATCACATTGCACCGTACCTAAACCTTCCTGCAGGTGGTGAGTCCACTGGAAGGTACCAACCGCTCTAACCGGGATTCGAACTTGCTCAGGAGGTGAACCCTGGGGTTTCACACCAATGACAGAGACATTGCCTCTGGGCCAAAGCGCCACTGAAGCAATATTGTAAGTCCCAAAGCTTCAGCTGATGTCAATTTGTACAAGTTATATTAATGAAATCAAAACATCAGTGAATTCAGTTTCACAAAAGGTAACATGCAATGAATTATCTGTGACAGACTGCCAAATATCTTTGGTTGATGGAAAGATTTGAAGATGTTTTACATTTTCCTGATCAAACATCTAACCAATTAAGACAACATAAGAATATGCATCAAGGCTGTGAAAATCTTAGGAACCTTTAGTCATTTTATTCAGCTGCTACTTCGCTCAAACACATCATCTGCATCCAGCTGATGCTCTCCAGTTTGCGCTCCAGGAAATAAGCTTAGTTTTGTTAAACATAACCACATTACATGCACATTAACTTAACATTTAATTATACTCCTTTGACATTTTTTCCTAATGTGGTTATTTTGTATCCATGTTCATCCTGGTGACTCCCAATAAAAATCAAAGCATCTTCAACAGTGCCTCATCCCGTCAGCCCTGACACTGGTCTCCATACATTAGACAACCGTCGCCAATTATACAGTTAACTTTGAATTAAAAGGTCGGCACCTTAATCTGTACAACCTTCAAATTATACGCAAATTGACGATGAAAACAAACTGTACAAAGTAACAAGACAGCTAAAGAGTACCACAATTTGGAAAACAAAAATAAAATAGTGTAAAGATAGCAAATTAACATCTCTCATAACTATGACGAAGACAATTTATTCGACATCATTTAAACACATTTAAGTGCACGATTTGTTTTAGTTTCTTAATCTCCTTTATAGACTAAAAAGGAGAAGCGACTTGATCACAATAGCTTCAGGATTTGCTTCTAAAACGCAACTAAATTGTTGCCAAAGCGTGTTACTTTTTTATAAAATAATAAAAGACTTTAACGAAAACCAATACTCCTTCGGGAACATGGTTTGTTTATACATCATTTAACCGTGAACTATGATTAGAAACTACAACTCGGTAACAACTAAGCAATATTTGCTAACATGGCTCACATGGGACTGGGCTATCGTAGAATAAACTCAGATTTTCAGATAATCTTAATTTGCTATGTCTAGTCAATAGTTTGGCCGGACTTGGTGATGTAAATAATAACAATAACATTGTTTAAGAACATTTATTCGGTAATTTTATTTAAAAAATTAATAATTTTGGGCTTGTCACTGTGACACGTGAGCAGCCGCTACGAAGCTGCGTTAGCCGTCTATTAGCCACATATTACAAACTCATCTTTAATTGTTAAATGTTGCAATTCCTGTATGTACTCTGAGAAATCTAGTAGTAAAGACTTTAGAAATATTATTCTGGCGTCGTGTCAAATCAAATAGGAACAAAAACCTTAATGAAACTGAGTGTGGCGAGCTCATCGGCATGTCATGAAGAGCTAACTGCTTTAGCATTAGCGGCACAGCTGGCTCAGGCTAAACGTTGACATCCATGTATTATTTAAAGGGTGTTGGATTGGTGTTACTGTCCTCGGTGTGAGGATAAGTGTTAATAGCCATAGTCACGGTGACGTTGCAAACACTTAATGACGACTTTGAGCACTCGCTCTCACTGTATAACAGCAGCAACAGCAGTGGAGCTCAGTATACGTGATAGCACCATCTTGATGTTGTGAACGGCCCAGGCCCGAGCGCAGCCGAGCCCGCGCCACAACTGCCATCACCATTACATTACACTACCCTATACCCTATACTACCCTCTCAACTTTTACCTCGTTCAGTTGTCTCTCTGCAGCCTCCCGCAGGTTGGGGTCCATTGTCCCCCGAAGGGCCTCGACCAAAGACTCTGGATCCATTGCAAAGACTCTGTTTGGGCTCGGATTTGAATATTTCAGAGGACTCTCAATTCCCACTCACTGCGCACATGGACGCACAGCTCTCCGGTTACCCGGCGCGAAAGGAAGCAGTGAATGGAGTACCCGGATAGATCAGCGCCAGATTTGTGCAACACGAACATCCGGCTGCAACAAATGCAACATGGTAGCTGTAGTTCTTGGGATTTGTTGTTGACGCGTCAACTCGCAATTCTTCTCACAGGTTTTAGACTACCTGGCAAAAATTGTAAGAGGCGCACTACGCTTTAAGGAACTTTAAATAGAAAACGTATTTCCTGCAGAAAATGCAGTTGGGATTGCGATGGGGTTTCATGCCTTTTGTCCGTATGTTATCTGTTTGTAATCATTTAAAACCGACTAAAAAATCACATCAAAAGAGTCAGACCAAGCATACATATTAAACTACTGTGTGTGGTTACATAGAAAAGTAGTTGATGAACAGTCTCTAGAAAAATGTGAACAACCCCTGGAATAGTGATATGAAAGACAGATCAAAGGGCAGGTGAAATTCATTAACATGACGGCCATGGAAGATGAAAGACTTATTGTTCTCTCTCTTCAAAACATATTTTTCAATGGAAAAGAAATACCAAAAAACTGAAAACTTAACACAAACTTGTTTTGGTTCATTATATATATATATATATATATAAAACCTTAGTGTGAGAAGAGACCTTTTTAATCGAGATTATTACGCGTTTCTTCTTCGAGGTTGAACGCCATGTTAAAATGCAAAAAGTGAATGATGCTAATGACGTTGGGGAGCCCATAGAGGGCGGTGTAGTAAATATAGCAATATAGCCAAAGGTTAAAGTTTATCTTGTAAAACACGTCAGCAGATTGTCACAGTACCATATCCGGTGTTATGCGTCCTCAGGTTTTCATGTCGATCGGTAACAGGGCGTATGCACGCGCTTTGTTGACAAGCGCCACTGTCCCCACTAAATAGATTAAAATAATATGTCGGATCCTACGAATAGAACATCTAATCTTTCAAAGAGCACGCTAAATAAGCACTATTTCGATCACTATTTTGAGTTCCTCCAAAGACTCGCGATACGAAATTTCATGAACGCGCAAGAAAATCATTTATCCTTTTAACCGGAAGACCCAAGACACCGGTATCCCTTACGTTTGCCGCAGTTGTGTTACACTTTCCTGTTTGACTTCGTGACCTCGGCTTTATCTCAGAAAAATGGCAAAAAAGCGAAGGGACAAGCGAGAAGGTGACGGTTTGGCATTGACACAGGAGGAGGTGAAGGCAAATGACGTTGACTCACAAAAAGGGCTGAAAGGTATGTTCAAGCTGTCATGGCTAACTGCTAGCTTCATACATACCGGCTAAATAGCTTAATACCTACTATACTATAATACTATAGAATACAGCAGTCAGTGCTCCATCTTATTATTAAAATATGTATATTTATCCAATCACTACATTGGAGTCTTTGATTTTTGTGCCACCAGAAGTATCAACATTTTTTATTTAAAATGACAGTAACTGTCTCTGTACAGTCATAGCAGAAAAGCTGAGGCAGTTAACTCAATGTTAGGTCAATGACGAGAGCGCTCGTTACAGTTTACCATATGTTTTACACGTATTGTCTCAGAGGAAACTTTGTTGCACCGCCATTGGTCTTGGTTTGCAATAGAATAATAATTGTGTTTGTAACATTGACCATGGCTGTGCTTATTTGCCATCTGTCAGAATGTAGTAATAGTGTAAGTAATCCAACATAAGCCCCGAGTAATGTAAATGAAAGTAGGCAGCATTATTATGCATTAATTTAAACCTTACCAATAATCAATATGCTCAGTTGTGAAATACCATATATGTAAGATATGGTATTTAAAAGATTAGCCTCCAGTTTCATGGTTTCTGTACTGTTGGTTATGTTTATGCATGTTATACAACATGACTACATCTGTTAAGTAGTCCCTGGTGTTAATTTTAAAAAAGTAGTAATTTGCAAAACACATTTATATTTTAAGTAAATATATGTTTTTGACTTTCAACATAAATTACCGGTATTCTATTTCTAAACAGTGGCAGGGCCTTATTACTACAGCTGGGAGAGAGTATCATCCATGTGGTCCATGTTGTCAGATGATGTTATGCTTTTGTTTGGGCCTCACATTGTTAAAATAAATTCCCTGTTTACAGCCATTTTTTATTTTTCTCTCTCACAGTCGTCCAAAATACTGCAGTTGGCTCAGTACGAATGTCTCTACTGATCCTGGTCTTAATATTCATTGGCTCTGCCTCAGTCATGTACCTGGTGTACAGGAACTTTCCAGAGCTTTCAGAGTGAGTGGCCTATATTACTTTTATATATTCTTTATTATTCATTAATTAAATTGCATTTAAAAAAAATATAAAGGTATGGTTTAAAAATCAATTTATTTGTTGTGAGTATGTAAGGCATGATTGAGACTGAGATTAAAACTCCATAATTGCACTATTACTACATACTATGATAATATTTTTATTTCAAACCCCAGAGCTGCACATACCGACTAAAGAATGCATTTTCACTCTGTTGTGTGTAATTGATATGTTAAAAGGAAAAAAGGTCATTAATATGAAAATATGTGCAATATGTTCAACTGATATGTATTTTAATATTTTTTTCAGTGATGAAATGAAGAAAATAAAGATCCCCAAAGACATGGAGGATGCCAAAGCTCTAGGCACTGTGTTGTCTAAATATAAAGACACCTTCTATACCCAAGTGCTGGTAGCCTACTTCACAACATATGTATTGTATCCTCTGAGAAAACTTTATAAATATCATTATTGTTGTATATGAAACTAACAGGTGTGTCTATTGTTTTTTTAAGATTGCATGTTTTTCGTTAAGTTGTTGACCTTGACAGTTTGTTCAGCCTCCAAACATTTGCCATCCCTGGATCTATCTTCCTCAGTATCCTGTCTGGATATCTGTACCCATTTCCACTGGCTCTTTTCCTCGTCTGCTTGGTGAGTTTAAAAAGTGGGAAATTAAAAACAAATGCATTGCAATCTCTCTTTCTCTGTTGAAACATTTGTAAGAACACATAGATTATAAAAAAAACCAAACATTAAAACTTGTGTGTTGGCAGTGCTCTGGTCTGGGTGCATCCTTTTGCTATATGCTGTCATATCTGGTGGGCAGACCCATTGTCTACAAATATCTAAAGGAGAGAGCAAAGAAAACATCTGAGCAGGTAAGAGCTGGAACCTAAAGACCTATCGATATATATTTTTTTATAAAATGCTAATTAAATAATTTAATGTAACTCGTTGCAACAATCTTATATATACACTTGGATGAATTTTTAAAATGATTTTGTTTCACAACAATTCAAAGGAAATGTGTGATTTTAATTGGTTAATTTTCAGTAAATTTGAGTTGCGCCATTGTTTTTTTATTAACAGAGGAATACCAACAATTTTGTTCATTTGTGTAATTAATATTGGATTATTAAGATGTCTTTATTATTGTGTCCCTTTTATGTATTTCTATATCAGGTTGACAGACATAGAGATCATTTAATCAACTACATAATCTTCTTGAGGATAACACCGTTTCTTCCAAACTGGTTCATTAACATCACCTCACCTGTCATCAACGTACCTTTAGGAGTTTTCTTCATCGGCACATTTATTGGTAAGATGTTACTGAATTACTTCTTTTTTAATCCACAAATAGGAAAAGATAATTAACTTAAACAATATAGTGTTTTTTTAGTTTAGAAATTTGCACAGGGTTTTAATATATCACACAAATTTTACAACAGTAATTCGTTTTTTAAACCATCTATGATTTTTTAACTTTCCCTCCTGATTTTGCCTTTATTTTTAACCTGTCTATTCCAAGGAGTGGCACCTCCATCCTTTGTAGCAATCAACGCTGGCACAACACTGTACAAACTGACCACAGCTGGCGAGGCCGTGTCCTGGAATTCTCTGGCTGTACTTGGGATCCTGGCTGTGATCTCCATCTTGCCCGTCTGCTTCCAGAAAAAGCTGCGGAAGAAACTTGAGTAGAACACTGTAAAAACCACAGAACCTCATCTGCTGGCTGCTCCAAAAAAACTTCCTTCCCTCGGCTCAGGAACTCGCAGCTATCACATAATTTGCTTTTGGAAATGGTGTGGTACTGTTGGACAAAATGATGGGCTCTGACAAGAGCACTGTGTTACTTGCATGCAGTGGAAGGTTGTTTCTGATAAGTAAGAACTGGACGCTGTTTGCACAGTTTTTGTGCATAATATTGTTGATCATGGCACATCTTGTTAGTCAGAGCATTGGCATCTTTTTATGTGATTAAAGCACTGCTTCATTTTTAGTTCACAGATTAATTAGTATAGTTTGAAAACAGAGGTTTTCCGTCTGTGGTTTTAGAAATGTGTGCCTCTTTATTTAAAAAAAAAAGTTATTTCCATTAACCCCAAATCTCTGTTCTGTAACTATGTAAGAAACATTTATTTCCTTTTTTCTTTTTCATCAGAACAACGTATATATTTTTCCACTTCCACTCCCACCGTGAACTGGTTATCAGCGTTGCCTGTCTTGACAATAATGTAGAAAACTAGTTATTGAGCAACACTGGGGGAAATTAGTGTTTTCTAAAGCTTGTCACTATAAGTTGAAAAGTTGAAATAAGTTGAAAAACAAAACACTCAACAACTGCATTTTGCTATTATGACTCAACTTTAAGATGGATAAAATGTCACTATAAGTTGAAAAACAAAACACTCAACAAAAGCGCAGTAGTTTGGAATACCTCTGGTGGGCTGGATGGTAGTCAACATTACATTATTCAGGCAACTATAGACATCTTAGTTCTCAGACAGTAGTACATGAATTACCTCATACTTTCTTCTTGTTTGGTTACAACATTCATTTAAATATACTTGGATCAGAAGTCCAACTACTCCAGTGCACAGCTGAAAGAAATTGTGACAGAAATATTTGACTTAACCAGGCAAATGAGTGACTGTAGTAAGTGCCACTCATCTTGATATGCAGGGTTAAGTCTTAGCATTTACTATTGTACACTAAAAATAACCAAATTAGTTAGTTACGATTTAATGATTTTACATATTAAAAACTACTAAATATAAAAATACAAAACATTTTTACCATAAAATATGAAGCTGTTTATTTGAAAGAGCCAATTATCAGTAATTTTACATATTTTTTTCTAACAGTGAAGATGTGATCTCCTTTTGGTTTGATTTTTAGACGTGAGTGTGTTCGTTTTTCAATAATTGCCTGCTTCGTCGGTGAACAGCTTCACATGTTTATGCCATGAAGAGCTGAAGACCCAGTGTCCTCAGTAAGACTGCCAACAGACTGTGAAGTGTCCCAGTCTTGTATTGCTTCTTAAAAGTAACGTATTATGATATCTGCTTTGTTTTACCTTCTCATTAGTGTTTAGTTAAATTGTTTGCTTTTAAGAATTACCAAGATTTTTTTTCAAATATTTGTTACTCTCTTTTTGCCAAAGCACCAGGGTAACTAATTTTTCTTAAAATGATTTTGTGTTCACCAGAAGCACTGATGCAGTGAATGTACAAGTTTATTTGTATCATTTTCAATCTTTCTTTTATTTAATGTCCTGAAGCTTCACATTTTTGATAATTGTCAGATTTTGTTGATATGTACGATTAGTTGTTTTATCATCTTAGGACATTTGCTTTCTACTGACAGTAATGTCCAAACAATGTACGCATATTTTTGTAAATGCTCTCTCGTAATATGTGAGAGGCCTAATGTCTTAACACTTACTACTCTCATATGTCATACATTTTTAGCAGGACTTACTGTTTTTTTGTAATATACATTTATTTATTTTACAGTTCTAAATGAAAACATACGGACCTGTGTGTACACTTGAAGTCTGTTGTTGTCTTACGATCTTTGCCTTTTCAAAGAGGTAAAATGTTTAACCTGACATTATATATTTGTTTTAAATGTAAAATCTGATTAAATCTCTAAGATAGCTTTGATGAAATGTCTTTATTTCTTTATCTACTCAAATATTGAAAACCTAAAACGCTCCATGTTGTACTTTCTCTGTACCATCGGAAATAAAAATCAGTTATCTCCATGTATCCTCCTGTTAACATTTCACAACAAAGTATTGTTTTGTACTGGAGAATGTTACTGTTTTCCCGTATGACTTTATAGTCATACTCTTGATTGCACAACGTCTTAATTGTTATTTTATTTATTAAATCATTAAAAAATTACAAATTGTCACTACTTTCGTTAATGTTAAAGGTGCAAACCATAAATGAAAACTCAATAACATGTTAATATGTTTCAAACCTGTTACTGAGTTTGTTTCTCTTCAACAAGATTCACAAGAAAAGCAAGGATCCTGCGCCACCAGGTGGCGATATGATTTTAGTGCAGCGCAATACTTCATAAACACTGAAACACGCTGAGAGTAAAGGTGTTAAAAGTGCAGATACAGAAGTATTGTTTTGATTACATTTTGATATATGAAATGTTGAGAAAGCAACGCACAAAGTCGATGACGTAGCGAATAGAAAGATTGCAAAGGTCGTGACACAGGAAGTGAACGCCAAAACAGAAAAATGAAGGTTCTATGATAGATAATGTATCATTTGTGTATATTTACTACATCCAAATAGACTATAAGTATGACATTCTAACATGAATTAGAGTAAAATAATAACAGCTGAGGTGTCGCCAGTGGCCCACAATGCATTTCGACTGCAAAGGTCTGATTTCTTAGTCGTTGGGTAAAGTGATACATGATGCAGAATCAGACATGTAATAGAAATTATTTCAAAATAATATCAAATGCCTCATTTAATAAGATTCTACATTTTTTCAGTGCAGATTGTATTAAAATTCAGAAACACAAATAAAACTGGTTTAAAAACATAAAACATGTTGACGTGTCACGAAAAGGAAACAATAAAACTCCATCAACCTAGAAACAGATTAAATTGAATTTAAAAAACGATTGACATTATAGGACAGAAGGATATATTTAGTGAACTACATGTGTGTTGCTGCCGTGAAATCCGTGAAACCAGGTGCGTGTTTGTGGTTGTGTCGCGCTGCAGAGAAAGTATTTTACTGTTAAGGCGTCGTACCGGAAGCACTGTTACTCTCATCGCCAGCTTGGTATCGGATGTGATACTAAAGCTTTTCAGTGTCGTAGCTGCATCTACTGGGATGGCAGAGAGAAAGCGCCTCTCCCAGCCCCTTTAATATGCTCCCTGTTGTGGGGCTAAGGTTACCACCGGACCAGTCTCAACATGACCACCGGCTTCAGCTCCGGTTCCTGCAGGTTCGCAGATTACTTTGTGATCTGCGGACTCGATACCGAAAGCGGGCTGGAACCCGACGAACTGTCCGGTAAGAACGTTAGATCTGTATGAGGATAAATAATAGATCTATACAGTAATGATCAAAACAGTGGGGGTTTTAAAACAACTGTTTGTTGTCTTTAAGTAGATTATATGATGTGTGTAAAGTACTGTCGTTTATTTTAATATGCTACACATGCATTTAGGTTATAGAGAGAACATAAAAACAGGCCTAGCTCAGCTCCTCTTGTCTGCGCCTGTTTGTAGCGCAGAGATATGAGGATTACTGACCCTACTCGCTGACGTGATTTTTTTTTTTTTAAAAACCTCAAATATTGTCTATAAATACTCTCACATTTTCAGTGCCAATTATTATTACAATATTCGTCTCAATATAAATATTTGGGCGTTTGTTCTGCTGTGTTGATGTTAATTTAATTATAAACACTGAAGCGCATGTAACGGTTTTAAATCCTCATGTTAATACAATATAACCGCGATAGTAAATCTATTTACTTAAGGTAACACTGTAGTTGTTATGTATATTTGTGAAAAACTCCCAAGTATCATCATTTTATGTGTAATTGTTATATGCTACGCCTTTAACTATGTTGTTGATGCTGTGACGTTATCCATAGTTTGAGTGTGAAGTTTACTGCTAAATTGTTTACGTATCATCGAAAATACCATAAAGTAATGGACCACTTAACTGCAAAACAACGCTTTATTTTTGTAATATGGGTTTTTGGCCTCAGTGAAATATATTTCCCAGGGATTTGGAACCGTTTTCAGGGAATTTAATGGGACGTTAAAAAAACACTTTCATATTCATCACTCTAGCCAACATACCTTTTTTGCCTTTTTCTTTTAATGACTAGTGCTAATGTAGGTAGATTTGACAATTGTCTGTGTTATCTAAGGTTTATGTATGTGACCTTCAGGTATTCCTCAGTCACATAGCTATGAGATAACACCCTTAAATGTCTGGCACATACCAGACAAACACTGGTAACTAACAAACCTGACATGGCGAAAGGCATGAGAGTTTCTTTGCTTTAACAACATAGTGCATAATGTGTATTACTTTATATTGTCACTAACATGATTGAATATTTTGGCTTTACATGTATTACTGAAGTTTGAATACAATGTTGTCCACTGTAGAACATGGCTCCAGTGTTGTATATCCATATTTAGAGATACATTTGTCTTATTTTGTTGATTATGAGAAGATCTAAATCTTTGAAACTAACTGCTTTTTTCCCTCCCACATCACCTCTAAACCACAGTGCCATTTTGCTCAGTGTATTTCACATGTTGCTCATAATCCTTAATGTTTTTGCTCAATGGCAGGGTCTTCTGGTTATGGTTGTTTATCAGTCCTCCATTTCTCTCCTACATCCACGTGTCTTCCAAATATTATTATTCATGCTCTGAAGACAGTGGGTGGAGGATATTGGGCTGAGATGGGATGATGGTCTCTGTAGGTGTCACTTTCCTTCCTTCCGTTAAAATAACGTGTTATTGCCCCAAAACATGTTGTCATGCTGGCTGTTTTTTGTTGATTCAGGTTATAATGCCCCCCTTTATTTTTTACCACTGACCTCTGCCCTGACCGTGTCTTCAGTACAACTATACCTGTACTGTATGTCTACAAAAAAGTTCTGTTTGCGTATAGATTCATTAGTGATGAGACATCAGAGGGACGGATCATTGTCATCACTTGCAATTCCTACAGACCAGGTCCATATTGCAAACTAGGTGTTGTCAGCCTTTCTGTATCTACACGTGTTAGCAATTAAAGACACGGGCCTGCGTGAGAAACAGCTGTGAGTGTCTTTTCCTAGGCTAGTCTCTAAGCCTCTGATCATCATTGATATTTTGGTGCAGGTGAAATAGATTTGTTTATTACTTAAAAAGAAGTCTTGGTAATAAAGGTAATCTCCTAAAAAGTGTGTTTGACCAAACAACACGTCGGAGTTGTTCTGGAAATGTTTAAAAGATAAGAAGAAAATAACTTTAAGGTAAATTAACAGTGACTGGCAAAACCCTAATGCAGCTAAAAGTTATTATTAGCATATAACATGCTTAGCCAAATGTCTTTCTAGATGACAATGGTAACCCGAAACATGGACTTGTAGGAGAGGTATCTGTTGTAAAATCAAGTCAGGGAGCAGCATTTCTGTTGCATGTAATGTCAGGGTTTTCCACTGCACTGTTTCTAATACAGATAATGTATTCTGGGACAAACCCTGCCTACAGATAATTTGGTTTCATCTTAAATGCCTTAAACATAGACCTCACCTTGCGTAACTAAAGACCAAACTGCTGTTTATGGTCATTTGTTAATCTACTGACGTAAAGTATCATAAATATGTAGCCATTAACCCAATTAAGGGGTTTCTAGGCACCATTACAATCCTGGCTTCTGACAAACAAACAAGTAGTTAGTTTTTCTGTCCTCTTGATTTTTTTTCTGCTGACTTTTAGTCTTGTGATAACAGAAAAAGTCCTAAACAGCTGATGTCCACAGGATTGATGAAATGGACTTCTTGTTATTATCTGTGTGATTAATTATGACTCAGCATCAGCAGGTGGTGAAAAGTCTGCTGGGATTTTGTTGTGGTTTAATGAAAGCGTGTTCCTTCTTCAAAACACAACAAGAACTGCTTTCAGTTTTCTTAAGACTCAACTCATGCACTTCCCTTTTTTTAACTTCCTTTATTTGTGTTCTTGATTATGATAGAAGAGACTTATAAGACACAGATGTTTAAATCACATGCTATGCCTTTGGTGCAAAACAATTGCAAAATACAGATTTATTTACCAAACTTGAATTAACTGCCTTTGACAACTACACGGATCAGTGTTTTTCTGCCTTCCGCAGTAAACATTCGTTTATCGCCCCTGAAAGTGTAGCTTTAAAAAAAGTATAAAAATGTCACACTTAAACAAGCAATGCCAAGTGTTTGTAGTTGTATTGTTGTTTTATCGTGTGGTAATAAATTTATAGTAAAGTTTGTAAATGTTTTTTTTCCTCAATAAGCAGAATCTAACATTCTCAGCTGCCTAAACACTATGTTGGTTTTAGACATGTGTCAAAGACACCATAGAGGTGATTCTCTCATCACCTTGGAATCTGTATCCAGCTGCTGTGTTACAATGTTGTAATTGTTAACACTATAGCCCTGTTACTGATGTTCACAAAATATTTCAAACTTACAAATATTTGAAGTACTACACCATTATGGATGTTAGGGAAAGTAGGATTATTTCATAAAAAAAACATACACACTGAAAGAAAGTTGAATCTTTGTAGCCATTGTCAGCAATTACATAAATAAAAAGTAAAAATATAATAGTAAAATATATAAATATAAAATGTAAAAATTTATGACAACCCCTTCGTTGGCTGAAGCCCTGTGCTGGTCAGCAGCATGTGCAGCATTTTGGATTTAAAAGTGTCAGCAGTAGCTTACAATACGTTCATTCACTCTTTTACTAGCACTTAATCCTTTTCAGGGTCACAGAAATGGCTGGTGCCAAACAGTCACCAGGCGAAAGCAGGGTTCACTGTGGGTTGTCCTCTGACCACAGTAATATCCCCTATAGATTTGAATCATGTACTGTACTTCAAGGTAGAAGTGCAACCTACAGAAGCTTTTCAAGGAAACAGTAGCTGTGGCTCTGTGGTCAATCTTTACCTGTAAATTGCTCTCATTACTGCAGACTGCCGCTTTGTTATGCACATGTATTTACTGGGGTTTGCCCATATTGACTCTCATTTTTGAGTCAAAGACAGGAAATGGTTTGGAAATTCCATTGTTAGAGCTAAGAGATAAATGTGTGTCGTTTTACATGTGTTTGAAAATACTGAGTTTGATGTGGAAATGACTGGGAAATAATAATAATAAAAACATCCTCAAATGGATGGATTTGGTCATTACTTACATTAAGTAATTTACAATTTCATAAGAAAATAAAATTGAAACTCTCAATTGTACTAAGAGGAGCCTATTTAGCAGTATGCAGTAAAGATTTATATACAGTGAAACACAACGACATGGCCAGAACTAGCTTGATGCACATGCGGGGGTCTGATTAGCATATGCATGACCCTGCAGTCTCACGGGCAACATAAGTACACTTATACACAGGGCTCCACCTATTCAAATGCTAAATATCCTTTTGAATTTTCCTGACAGCCCCTCTCCCCCAATCCTACTCAGCAAACAAATCACAGTCTGTGACACAACACCCAAGCTGGTTTTCAGTGTACAACATGATTGTTCATGCACTCGCTCTCATTTGCTCATTTTGGACCCAAGTTAAATTTGTGGTCTGTCTGTTAAATAACATCTGTGAAATGTATTAGGGAAATGTTGGTTTAACAGATGGTTGATATCAGGTGCACTTCATGTTTATCTGAACGTACAGGATATAAGCACAAGTAGTCTTACAGGAAGTACTGGGTATCTATGTAAATAATTCACTGCCCCAAAGAGTTAAAGAAGTGCAGTTAAAGCTAAGTGGATACATGGTGTACCTTTTACATTAAATACAGCATTGAATTGAGTTAAGTTGCCAATGATAATCAAGATCCTTCCATTGTTTATTGATGGAAGTGTCTTTTCTCTTTAATATGGAGTAAATGTCCCTAACTCTCTTGTTAGTGCAGATCTCTGATCACATCAGACTCTTTGATGGTCCAATAGCTTCTTTTCCCGTCATGTAAATGAGTGTTGACACCTGCACTTTCATGTCAAAACACTGGGGGTTTTTGTGGTTTTCAAGCTTCTTTGAAAATCAACCCTGTGAATCTCAAGTTATGTTATGACTCTTCAGGCTGTGCTGATTAATGCCTCTGGTATATGTACAGTAACATTGTCCTGATGGTGCTCTTTATGTTATTTGCACTCCGATGAAGATTGAACTTCAAACTTTTTTTTTATGATGCCAAAGAGACCAAACACAGGCTGTAAAATGATGACAAGATCAACAATATCTTGAAGAAACTTTTTAAAGTTATATTTGGATTAATTTTTTTCAACCGTTTCTATTATAAATGATTGATCTTCCAGTAACAAAAAGTAAAAAATTGAACTGTAACTTTTGACTATTTTTTAAAATTTTAAATTGAAGTCAATTTTCCTGTTATTAGAGATGTTTTTTACATATAGTTATAATCAATAAAATAAGAAAAGACTGTTAAAATCTATGAACTTTTTTAACAGCCTTTGTATGGTTTTGCTTGTATTTTAGTGACAATCAAAAAATAATAATCAAAAAAACAAATTTGGTGTCTGATGAGAGAAGAAGATGTGACTTTAGGCTGAAAGTGAGCGATGATGCTCTGACGGCAACGGTTCCACTCAGCATTGCAGCTACTGTAATACTACAGTTTACCGACGTGCTGCTGAGGGAAGTCATGTCGAGTCCTGCTTGAATATAGTTTCCAGTCAGAGCCTTACATTCCTATGATGCCTGGAGGAACAAGCTGTGGGAGCTAAGAGGGTAGTGGTGTGAGCACAGAGTGGTTCCTGGCTTACAGCGAGACGGACGGCATGACGCCAAAGTACACCGACGTTCTACACCCACTCGTACCGGTCCTTGTTCTCATGGCATCAAAGCAATGTTTAGTTGGGAGTTCATTCATTTATATTTATTTAAATTTATAGTTCATCCCATCTGAAAATAATACTTTAATAATAATGTTACGCAAATGTTTTTAAATATTAATTTAAGAATATTCTATTAAGTTATAAATATAGATTTAGATAGTTATAAATATAGATAGTTATAAGTATAATTTTAGGCTTCAAAAACTGGCTTTTTTGTTTTTTTGTTTACCATTTCCTGACCTCAGTGGTTGTGATACCAGATCGTTTCACATAAGCAAAACAGCTACCAGGGCAACTAAAACAACAACTTCAGCTCTGGATATGGAACTTTAGAATTGAAGTAGATGATGTTATTAGCTTTTTGTAGCTGTATATTAGTTTAACCTATAAAAACACTGCATTGTCCCGACACATTTTCTCTGACTTGCTCCACTTGCTGAGACTTTAACGTTTCAGTGTTATTACAGAAGTGCATGAACTTTGTCCTTTTTGTAACTGACAAATCATTTAGATCATTTAGTGCCTGTTTTACTTCACTCTAGATTTTGACCTTTGTGTCAGTGTACTCTTGATGAGTTTGTTGACATTTGTTTATTTAAGATAAAGAGGCAACCTGCACAGATTTTAATTTAGTCCTCCTTGATCAGTTACCGAATATTTGCTAAATTACCAAAGCCAAAATTAAGGAATATTTTTTCGTCTTCACTTTTACAGTTTTACTCATTCCTATTTCATTTTAACTGTGCACAACAATTTGACAACAAGTTTGATCTGTGTGAAAGATGTTGTCAGAGTGGGAGTTTCTTGGCCTTGTTTTCTTAATGTGAGTTGTTTAGCTGTGAAAGTAACCAAAAGGTTAAACCACTTATGTCTTCATATGTTAACGTTGCATTTTAGAATTTGAAGTGACATTGTTTAAATGGTTCAGTCAGCATGTTCTCAAAGCTGGAGGTGTCAAACTAAAGTTTAAAACCTCTCTCCTCCTGACTAGTCATTGGGAATTTCCATTTAGTTTCCTGCTCAGCCATTTTACGCTGTTATCTGCCTGGGGATAGAACCTCGAACATATTTCTACACATACAAACTCATACTAGACCGTGTACAGGAAATAGATAGAGCTGTCTCTCTGCAGGTGATGGTTGAAAGGGGACGACCTAGAATTAACTTGAAAGTTTCCAGACAGTCTACGAGAACACTCAGCTGCTTCTCACCCCACACGTAGAATGGTCCCCCCTCTCCCTACCCCCTCTGACACAGATCCTGTGTTGTAAAACACAGTCGTGTTCAGATGGGTCTGCATGCGTTGAGAAGTGATGCGCTACCTATCCAGAACTAGGCCTTTAATGAAATGTTTTTTGTTTTATTTGTTGTGTAGCTTTATGCCAGTATATAGAGGCTACTAAATTCAGAGATGGGGCCAGAGGAAAATTGGCACAGGCAAACGAAGGTAACCATCCCACCACACACACTCCCAGCCCTTTACCCTGAACTCAGCTTTTTCCCCCCTCAAACTGGCGCAGTTTATTTCCCGCCCGCCCGCCCGCCACTTGTGTTGCATTTTAGATTTTGAGTTTCCAGTTAATTTCTGCGCAGGTGCTGGGACCTCACTGTTATGTGCACTCTGTTTTTTCTCCTGGTTTGACTCCTTGACCTCCTCCACCTCCTCGCTCCTCCTTTACATCTTTGAGCAGTAGCTGAACCAGCTGATGCTTGACAATCACTGCTTTCTATTCCTCGCTCTCACTCAAACCAACATATCTACGACTGCCTATGCTGGCAATGCTTGGTCAATGTTTACTCTTCCCCTACACTCTGAATGACTCTCAGTACTGCCTTGGTATGTGCATCACTTCTGCTTTTCTCTGGGCTCAAATCAACTCAGTTTGTCTTTTTTTTTTTTACTATTGATTGTTTTGTGTGTTTTTGTATTGCAATTAAAGCTGTCAAATGGCAAAAGTTAATTTCTTAAATTATTATGTTCCTTTTAACAATTATTGTTATTGCTATTAGCATTAGATGTACATTGGTTTAGCCTTTTTTTGTTTTGTCAAGGATAATGCAAATGACAGCTTTAAATTATGCAATACAAACTTCCAAAATATTTACTTGCTACTCCCTTTAGATTTGCCCCAGCAGTTTGAGCCTGCTTCTGATCATTTTATATCAGGGCTAAACCTAAAAAATGTTGGCTAAGTGTTTGTCCCGTTTGTTTTCTCCTTCTTTCTCTCTCTGTCTCTCCCTTTTTTTTTCTTTTTAATTTTTAGGTGAGAACTTTGAGCAGAGTCCCTTACGAAGAACCTTTAAATCCAAAGTTCTAGCACATTATCCTGACAATGTCGAGTGGAATCCATTTGACCAGGATGCAGTGGGCATGGTATGATCCTTGTGCATTCATAACTTACAGTACAACTGTCATTCTGTCATGAAACTAAATGATAAGGTTCTCAAATTAAAATAACGTTAAAATAATGTTTTGTTTGTTTTGTAAAGGTATAAAAGCATCATTAGGGTTTTAAAGGCAGATATCCTATTCTTTACATTTCTTTTAAGTGTAAACACTCCTTAATTGTACTTATTTCACAATTGAAATTATTTTGTTTTCTAAGGAAAATTTCGTATTTCTTGTGTAATAAACTTTATTGAGCTTGGTTGCATCATTTTGTACTTTGGAATGAGTTCATTGTGTTCTTGTGTTTGCAGTGTGATAAGCTGGTACAGATTACTGAACAGATAAAATGATGATGTTTGTCACCATTGTAGATGAACATTGATTCAACTAATGTAATTATAATTGTATTTTTGTGTATAACCCAAAAATACATTTAACTAAAGCATTGTTATATTTGCCAGTTAGAAAAGGTGGTTATAAATAAATGTCTCATTTAAAGATTTAAATTAGGGTTGTCAAAATATTAAAAGAATTAAAATAATTATTCAGTTGCGGTGAGTGAAAGTCAAGTAACAGCAGTTAGACTTATGTGTTTCACACCATTTTTTTTTCTGATTTATCCAAATGATGAAATAATTCATATGGAAAAATGTCAAGAAAAACTTTACTCATAACTGTGCTTCTGACAGTACAAACCTACAGTAAATTAAGCTGTTGTCCTAAGCATAAATAAAGCCCTTAGAAAAACATTTCTTATGCAATTCACTACATTGGTTGTATAACTACTGCTAGTCAAACTTTTTTCAATGACAAAACATTTTTGTTATTGTGTCCCTTGCAGCTCTGCATGCCAAAGGGCCTGTCTTTCAGGACACAGGTCGATTCCCGTGAACCACAGTTCCACTCTTTTATCATCACCAGAGAGGATGGCTCTCGCACATACGGTTTCGCCCTCACCTTCTTCGAGGAGGTGACAAGCAAGCAGATCTGCAGTGCTATGCAGACTCTTTACCACATGCACAATGCAGAGCAGTACGACATCTTGCACACACCCACCTCACCACAGGGACCCAAGGAGCACAGGCACCAACAGTCCCAGCCTCGTCCCGTACTCCATGCTGCTCCGGCCATCTCCCGCCTGCAGCGGTTCAACTCATACGACATCAGCCGGGACACGCTGTATGTTTCAAAGTGCATCTGTCTGATCACACCCATGGCCTTCCCACAGGCCAGCCGGAAAGTGTTGCTGCAGCTTCACCAGGCCGTCAGTTCCCCTCAACCCCCACCACTCCCACTGGAGAGCTATATCTTCAACATCCTCTACGAAGTGCCGCTTCCACCTTCCGGGCGGTCTCTCAAATTCTCAGGCGTCTACGGGCCGATCGTGTGTCAGAGGCCAAGCACATCTGAGCTGCCACTCTTTGACTTTGCCATTGGTGAAATGTTCAATCTGCTAGGAGTGGAGAACGTTCTTCAGCTGTTCACTTGTGCCCTGCTTGAAATGCAGATACTGCTCTACTCGCAGCGTAAGTCGACATTCTGCATCACTTTTATTTTTATTTGACATTTAGTTTCCAATGCAGTACAATCACTTGAAAAGCAAGCAGTTATTAATAGCAATGCCATTCAGTCATTTCTAGCTAGTCTGTTATAACGTTATAAAGATTTTTCTGTTTGGCATCATTAAACTGTCCTGTATGATGGATATATATATTTAAAAACAAATATTTAACATTTCTTTCAGAATTTCTATCTAGGAAGTTACAAAACCTCGTGTCAGTTTCTGTTAGTTTCTAGGCCACAGAGGCTCCCAACTTATTTTGGCTTATGACCCATTTTGACGTCCCAAATTTCAGGCGACACTCAGGACTTTTTTTTTTCTAGAATTAATTTTTGATCATTTTTGTTATTTTGTGTTGCAAATACACAGTGAAAGTGGAAGAATGCAGTTGTTTAAGATTGTGTGTGTTTTTTAATCATAATTTTAAATAGAATGATGATTCTATGAAAAAATATTTTGATCATTTTTTAAAAATCAATTACTAGACATTTCAGGCGACCCGATCCTAAGGTTGAAAAACAGTGTTAGACTGTTTTGAAGCCTTGGTCAAAGCAGGGGGTGATTTGGTCTTATAACGGCTTCCTCCATCAATCAAAACACCAGGAAGTTAGTCATGGCCTTTTCCTTTGCTTTGCTTTTGTCTAATGTCTATTAGAACATTTGTATCGAACTCAGTACATTGACATGTACAGGTAAGTCAGTTTGACTGTACCAAAAAAAATCATTTTAGCAAATGAAATGTGACATCTCTGGTCCTCCCTCGAGGCCTGTTAGTAGAGATTTATTTGCCACACAAATTTTTAGGAAATGATTAATTGGTTGTCAAAACGGTAGTCTACATACATTGGTTGTTACACTGTGAGTGTTGATAACCTAATAGACCTGCTGATTCACACCATTTTACATCACGCAGTTCTTGTTTGTTACAGTGTGTGTCTGTGCCTCAGGACACGATAATATTTTAAAGTGTGCTCCACTGATTGAATCCATTACAACGGCAAATGGTTTACCAAACGCCTTAGTCTGGGGGGAGGAGGAAGCAGCTCTCAAGGGGGGAAGCTGTGGTGTTGCTGTGCAACTAAGAGAGAGGGAGGATGGCTGTGGTGCAGGTTGATTGTTATTGGCTGGAAATGACATCATTCCTTTCTCCTCCCACGAGGCTCATCACTGCAGAACGTGTGAAGGATGCTGTGTAGAATCAAGAAGAAACAGGAGATTGTTAGGAAAAGACCTTTGAATACACACTACAGAGAGAGAGAGAGAGAGAGAGGGAGAAGGAGAGAGAGAGGGATGGTCTGGAAATAAAGAGTTGATTGTGGGCTATGTTCTTAAAATAGCTGTGTAATTCAGAACTGATTTCATTTAAGCCGGACCTTATTCTTCATCTCATTCACAAAGCCACAGGAAAGATTTTGAAATTCGGCCTCCATCCTCTTGCCGTTGTGGTAAACACATCACACTGTATGTGTCTCATGTGTTAACCACAATGACACATTTGAATTTAGCCTCTATTCGTTATTAATTCCTCTTTTTTCAGTTGTGTGATTTCTGTCACAGGACTCTTGAGAAGAGAGGGCGAGGCTGTTTGAAGCAAGCATAGAACTGGATGTTACAGTTGAACAAAGCCCTTTTTAAACATTCTGAAATACAATTAACAGAGTGAGAGTGACGTTCTGTCAGCCGAGAGAAACAATAAGAATCTAAAATGGAAATAAAAACCCATCATAGTTAGCATTTCAGCATAGTTATTTATCTGTCAGCTTTTCAACCACACATCATCAACCGTCTATCCCTTGTCTTTTGTGTAAACTCTGTCAACTATATAATAATCTATAACTTCTCAATTCATTCCTAATCCTAATTCAGAAGTTTGCATTTTCGTGATTCAGTTTTCCATCTGGAAAACTTTGTGCCTCTTTTTTCCTTCAATGTTCAATGTTTAGGCTTGAAACATCTGTCAAAGGGACTTAATTTAATAGTGATGCTGATGTGAGGCTGATGTCATCTTCTGTTTATCTGGTGTCTGGTAGCAAACTGATGCTGGGCCAGAGCAGCAGTAGTGCACCTTAGTGATTGTTCTGGTGTCAAAAGCAAATGCAGTTGGGTGGTAGACATTCAAGACGGTCGCCCTCATGTTTGTGCATAACCGAGGAGATCTTGTGAATTTTTATTCTTTGTGTTCAGAGCAACCGTGTTCAGACCTGTGTTCATGTCATTTCTCACGGTGACCCAGTTGATGTTTGTATTCTTATCCCTGGCCTGGAAGCGGAAGCAGCAGCTTGACCAAAGCAGGCAGCACATGACCAAATCAAGGAATGCTTTGAATTTTGACACCATAACAGGAGAAGCAGAGCTGCTGCTGCTGTTGCTGCTGCTGCTGAGTGTATGCGAGGTGTTAATAAGATAGAGCAGAAGTGTAGATGAGGACTGAGCACGTGTTGGTGTGGATGTGTGCGCAGCAGTTGCCTTAAGCATGACAATGAAGGGAATTTTGAAAGAGCATTACTGTGTGAAGTCATGGAAAAGGAATTTCATGGAGACAAGTAGACTGGCTGAGAGCAAATGTGTTCGCACAGTAAATATTCTCATAAGGTCAAGGGTCTCGGATGTTTCTCAAAGAACATTTCTTTTTACATTTGATGTTTGGACCTCAGAGGTTATAAACATTTTGAATAGAATTACTTTACTACTTTTCTAAATTAAAATATAATTGAAAAAGTAATTTTTAAAACTTGCGTTTTTCTTGCTTTCTCTTTATTTATTTTTAATGAATGTCTTATCTCTTTTTGCATGCTTGTGACAGATTACCAAAGGCTGATGACGGTGGCAGAGAGCATCACGGCCTTAATGTTCCCCTTTCAGTGGCAGCATGTTTATGTTCCCATTCTGCCTGCTTCCCTCCTCCACTTCCTTGATGCTCCAGTGCCATATCTCATGGGCCTCCACTCTAACGGACAGGATGACCGCACCAACCTGGAGCTTCCACAGGAGGTACAGGCAGTTTTTATTTTTGTCAGACTCTTAAATCAGTCACAAGTGTTATTTGGATGTTTTAGGTTATGACTATGGGAACTGTTGGTAATTTCACCATTATAATATATACATTGACCCACTTGAATAAACACCCAGATTTACCAGATTCTTAAACACCCACAGGCATTCGCACACATACACCTACGTACTTTTGCACAGACGGATCTTTTTCTTCAATATGTATTTCTTGTCTTCCTGCAGGCTAACCTGTGCTTTGTGGACATTGATAACCACTTCATTGAACTGCCAGAAGAGTTGCCCCAGTTTCCCAACAAACTGGAGTTCATTCAAGAGATTTCAGAGGTGCTCATGTCCTTCGATGTGTCTCCAGAAGGAAATGTCTCCTCCAGTGACAGCCAGATCAAATACCCTGGCTTTTGCTCAGTAGATGTGGTCTCTGACAAATGTAATGGCAACCTGGCCTCACCCCTGAACTCTTACCTGCTGAGAGAGAATAAAACTATAGCCAGACTGCAGGCTCTGGTGAAGAGGACAGGTGTCAGTTTAGAGAAGGTAAAGATCCTACTGCTGACGGGTAAAAAAAATGTATTACAAGTATTTTTTCTTTATCAATACTGCTTTGATTTAAAAAGGACAATCTTTAAATAATAATGGCATTTCTCGGTGTTGGAAACACTTTTCTCTAATTGAGTGATGTATTGAAGGCCAGATAAGTAGTAGGAAATGTAAAATGAACAAGTCAGTAATTTAGAAGAAAAAATGTTATTGGATTACACAGTTGTCTGTGTATCACTTCAGCTGACGCTTACGAAACAGCAAACATGGTGCCCATGGTATCTATTCCCACAACCTGGTATTATTATGGTCCAATATTCCACATAGGTGCCCATGGTATCTATTCCCACAACCACTGTTGTTTTAGAAGTGGTCTTTGTCAAATAAGAGAACATGATAAGTCACAGCTCTGCTCTCGTTCCTATCCCTTCTTTCATCTCATTTTGGTTCTTGTGCCTTTAATTATTGTTTTTCAAAAACAGATGGAGGTGAGAGAGGATGCCAGTGGCATTAGAGATGCACGGATTCAGTGTGACGAGGAGGAGCTGAAGATGCACCAGCTCAACATCCATGTACGCGAGGTCTTTGCCAACAGGTTCACCCAGATGTTTGCAGACTATGAGGTGTTTGTGATCCAGCCCAGCCATGACAAAGAGTCCTGGTTCACAAACCGAGACCAGATGCAGAACTTTGACAAGGTAATTCTTCAACGGAACGGTTCTTCGAAGTTACATTTTCTGTTATTTACGAGTTAATAAATTGTGTGTCTGTGTTTAGGCATCTTTCCTGTCGGACCAGCCGGAGCCCTATCTGCCCTTCCTGTCTCGTTTTCTGGAGACTCAGATGTTTGCCTCTTTCATCGACAGTAAAATCCTCTGTCACGATGATGAAGATAAGGAGCACACTCTAAGGGTGTTTGATGGTCGCGTGGATAAGATACGCATGTTAAATGTGCGCACGCCAACACTTCGCACCTCCATGTACCAGAAATGCACAAACATTGAAGAAGCGGGTAAGTGCAGAAGACAAATCTTTTTTTTAAAAAACTATAAAAGCTGTGTTTTGTCCTCACATGATTCCACATGCTACTTCTAGCATGAGATTACATACATGATAACAATGACAATGAGTGTTAGATTATGCATACATTACATTGTAATCTGGGAGTTTCTTAAATCACTGAATAAAAAGACTTGATTTTGAGGTAATGTTGACTTTCAAGAAGCCTGAAATGATTGAAGGACTTTCACTTCATAACTATTGTCCTGTTTCCAGACAAACTGCTAAAAAAGAGATTTGTAAAAGCCGATTTTGTCGCTCCTGGACCTCATACCACTGGGCGCAAGAACGACGAGACTCACATCCGTAATATTTGCTGTCATTACCTTAACTCTGTGATCATGTGTGCTGTGCATTGTTCAGGGTTTACCCACAGAGGATCAGTTGGGCTACATCCTGACATTTTACAATGTCATGTCTGTTTCTTTTAATGCTAAATTGTCCCCCAGCCCACCCACCCTCCACCAATCCTGGTTAATAAGAGGATGGTGTCTGGTACAATCTGCTGCACCTCCAAGCAAAAAGGAGCTGTGACGTATTCCTAAATACTGTAATATAAACTCTAAACCTCTGTGAGACCCTTTATGCACTGTACAATGATTTTCACAGTACCTGAAATAACAACATGCATGTGGTTTTGGGATTATTATTTCAGGAAAGTCTTTCTTTGGATTCCGGTGAAGCACAGCTTTAGACAGTCTGATGGGGTTTTTACTGGACACAATGTTAGATTTCATGTATTCCCATTTGCCTTCATTGTTTACATACGTACAACACATAGGAAACATCCACAGTACAGTGTATTTGTCCACTCATACCAATGTGTGGGTGTATTGTAAGTAGACATCAGAACAACTATTGACAGCTACATTCATAGATGACTCAGCAGGCTTCTTCTTTGTTCTTGTTTTTTTTTTGGTTTGGTGGGTGTTTGGTGAAAAGGTTTTTTTTCCTCAGGCGTTTTCTTCTTCTCATGTCAGTCATTTATTCTTTTTTCTGTAACTATGGACCAGGGAAATAGCTCCTTTTTAAAACTCTGTTCTATACTTTTTATATTTAGTGCAAAAATAATTGCTTTTAATGTTATTAGTATTCCTTAACTTTTCCTAAACTACCTAGTAAGAATCACTATTTTTCTCCCTACTAACTTTAAATGTCCCCGTGTCGTCTACATTCTCTGATCTCATCTCTGACTTTTTTCCCTCCATTATCAGAGAAAGCCATAGAGATGAGAGTGGCCAAGATTGACCACACTGCCCTCCACCCACACCTGCTGGACATGAAGATCGGTCAGGGCCGTTATGAACAAGGCTTCTTTCCTCGGCTGCAGTCTGATGTTCTTTCCACTGGCCCAACCAGCAACAAGTAATTATTTCACATTCAAGTATTTCTAATTTCTTACGTCTCTGTTGATGCCTCTGTTTGATGTGAGCGCTGGCGTTTGTTCTCACAGATGGACAAAAAGGAGCGCTCCGGCTCAGTGGAGGAGGAGAGATCGTCAGAAGCAGCATGCGGAGCACCTGTATTTAGATAATGACCAGAGAGAGGTTAGACTTCCTCTGACTTTTTATATCTTTGTCCTGTACTGTGTTTATTTATGCATGACATTTCTGTTCTCTGTAATATGACTCTTTATACTTCTTTTACTCTCACTTTTCTTCACCATTTCCTTCACTTTTTTGTCTTTTTGTGCCTGTTTTCACTCGTGCCTTCACACTCTCAGCATGTTGAGTGTTTGTTGCCGGAGCTGCAGCTCCTGGTGTTTCTTGACTACTACTGGCTCTCACAGTCCTTCAGGCCCTGTCTTAAGTCGGTGACAGTGGACGTGGTATGTGTTGGTGTAGTCCACAGACCACATGTGCTGTCCACCCATTTTCTTCCCTAGCGTCGGCCTTCCCTCCATTAAAAACAATATTTGTGTCCTCAATTCCTCTTCCGTATCAGTGGTAATTAAAACATAAACATTTCTCTGAGTAGTTGCCCTCCCTGATTAATCTCTTTTGTGTGTGTTTTGTTATGTGTGCTATGGTTAATAGTGTATAAATGAATGTTTTTGTCTTTCTTTTGTCTGTCTTTATTTACAACTGTTGTGAGTTTATGGTCTACTGACTGAAGTCTCTTCTACTTTTTAATAGAAGTATATCCAGGAAGCCAGAAACCTGGGTACAACCATCAGACAACCCAAACTTTCCAATCTGTCGCCTTCAGTCATCGCTCAGACCAACTGGAAGTTTGTGGAGGGACTGTTGAAGGAGTGCAGGAACAAAGTAAGAAATGATGGGTTTTTTTCGACAGACAAGTAATTTGTAGCCTCAAGAAAGATTTGACTTTAACTGTTACATGTTCCACAGACCAAAAGAATGTTGGTAGAGAAGATGGGTCGTGAAGCCGTGGAATTGGGTCACGGTGAGGTTAGTATCACTGGCGTTGAAGAGAACACTCTGATCGCGAGTCTCTGTGACCTGTTGGAGAGGATCTGGAGTCATGGGCTGCAGGTTAAACAGGTTAGAAAAACAAATCTCTGCCATTCCTGATCGATGATACAGGCAGGTCAAAGTCTGAGCTTATGTTCCAATTTCTCTTTCAGGGTAAATCTGCTTTGTGGTCCCACCTCCTGCACTACCAGGAGAGCAAAGAGAAGAATTCTGCTACTCCAGGTGGTTTGGGACCTCCAGGTTAAGACTTAAAACGTTTTCATGAACAAACACATAATTAATTAGAAAACAACATAGCTCATCTCTCTCTTTATACCCCTCAGGTTTCATTCATGACACTGAGAGACGCAAGTCTGATGGTGGAGGGTCAGCCATGCCTCCTCTTAAGGTGTCGCTGATCCAGGACATGAGGTGAAATGGACTGACAGTCATTTAGATATGAACTATGTGGTATAAAAGCTATGGGGAAACAATGCTTCTATGAATTCAGCTTTGTCCACAGCATAGAGCCTTGATAAGAAATACTGTTGATGATGTTTAACAGATGGCAGAAATACAACTAACAAAACCACTTATCCTAATATAATAAATGACAAATATGGAATACAGAAGACCACCAAGTTAAGATTACTCTGCAGTGTTGGAATCACATCCCAAAACTGTTTGTTTTCCCTGGTTTGCCCCATTCCCAGAACTGTTTGATAACATGACCAAGGACTATTACCGGGTTCTAAACGTTTAAAAGCTCAGTGAATAGACAAAGAGTGCCATCCTGTGGTAGACTGTCAAACATCACCTACTGTATGCTTACACACCAAGTATACAAATCAAAGGTTTAATGGTTCAGTGTTATATACTGATTCTTGTACAGTTCACATGTACATATGTTAAATATACACTTTAATAGATTATTGTCATAAGTGGTTGACTTTCTTTAGGCTTTAGCCAATGAGGAAATGTTACACAGACTTTGTTCTTCCTTAAAATACAACGAGATGTATACTATTTTGTCTCTCACAACAGATTTAGTTTCCAGATTGTGTCATTTTTTTTCCTTTTATTATATTAATTTTATGGCTTCCCAGTGGATTGGTTTAAAGACTCAATTTTACAGTTCTCTTATTTCTCACACAGCATAACAGCTGAAGTCAGGGTTCATGTTGGGTAAAAGCGTGACAGGAAATTTGAGTAACAACACGTTACTTCCAGTCTAGTTACCAAGACGCCCTCCAGTCTGACTGAGGAGGGGGTTGACAAAGGGCAAAGACACAGCTCCATATTGATGGACCCTCCTCCATACACACACACACACACATCTGCTGTCATGTCAGTAAACAGAAGCATCAGCTGTGTCTTCATTTCATAATTTTAATAAAATATGATTCTACTGATATTATTTTACACAATCAAGGATCCCTCTTGTTTGACCATTTGATTAATAAATATAAGATAAGTAATTAAAGTAAATTATTTGAATGTGGTACTTAAAACATTAGGCCATGAAAGAACTAGGTTGGGGGGGGGGTGCAAAGGGTAGAGAGGAGGAGGGGGTTTAGAAGGTGGAGAAGAGGTTTAGGCACAGGTGGAGTGGAATAATCTATAGTGACTACCCACAAAACCATGTCACACTGGTAAATTACAAAGACTCTTACCTCGTCTAGTTACAGTAGCACCATTTATGACTAGTTAAGATTAAGTGTAAATTTTCCATCTTCTCTGATCTGAGCTGATCAGACTCTTCACCTTTATTTGTCACTTTCTTATTTTTTTTTTCTGCTTCTTCACACAGACCACATATAGAATACTATCTCCCACATAACTGCTTTGTTTCCCCGACTGTGACTCAATGACGAATGAAGAATGTCATTCTAGACTCTACTCATTTATTATGTTGATGTTTTATCTGATTCACTTTGAATCTTGTCCTTTCTTTCCAGACACATTCAGAACATCAGTGAGATCAAGACAGATGTGGGCAAAGCCAGAGCCTGGGTTCGTCTCTCCATGGAAAAGAAGTTGCTCTCCAGGCACCTTAAGCAGCTGCTTTCAGACCATGAGCTGACAAAGTGAGCAGACGCAACCTTTTTCTAGTCGCCTATTCTTTGTTTCCCTAACCATTTTTATTTTGACCTTCTTTCTTTGTTGGGAAACGTCTATCTTGCATTATTAAAGTGACTTGTCATCTACCATTTATTAAACATTAGGCCTGTTGAAATTTCAAAGGATCACGGTGCAGTCTGTGTCCCGTTAAAAAATTCAAAGTCTTCTTCATAATTGATATCAGTAGTGAACTAGGTCAGACGGCTTCTTTCTGCCTATTATGACCCTATGCTGTCTAAATGGCCTTGTGAAAGTACCATACACACCTGATCATCTGTTTAAGTCCAAACTAAAACTCTTCAATCACATTGGAGAGTTGCATCACAACAAAAAAGAAAAAATGTTGATCTTAGGTGTAAACCATATGTTTCCAACAGAAAACTTTACAAGCGCTATGCCTTCCTTCGCTGTGATGATGAGAAGGAGCAGTTTCTGTACCACCTGCTGTCCTTCAATGCTGTGGACTACTTCTGTTTCACTAATGTCTTCACCACCATCAGTGAGTGCCAGTCTGATGCCACACAACTGGGCTGTTTCCTCTTTAAGTTTTTATTAACAGTTGTCCTCCTCACCATCCACAGTGATCCCCTACCATGTCGTAGTCGTTCCCAGTAAGAAACTTGGTGGCTCCATGTTCACCGCCAACCCGTGGGTGTGTGTATCTGGTGAGCTCTCAGAAACCGGAGTCCTTCAGGTTCCTCGGAATACATTGGAGATCACCTTTGAGGTAAGTGTTTCTTTAACCCAGCAGACCATTGTATTGATGACCTCGTAATTTCTAGACTGGAGAGACTCAGTGACTTTTTTTCTGCATTTATGGACCTAATCAAAAAGTGACTCTTATTCGCCGCTTCAAAGGGCTTAGTGTAAAGTGGATTTCCAAAATACTGAACTACAAACTCCTGAGCTATTAGAACATACATGTATATATATGTATATATATATGTGTATATATACATGTATATTGTTATACATATTTTGGGCTATGTTTTTTGTCAGGTATTGGTTTTGATATTGTTATACATATTTTGGGTTATGTTTTTTGTCAGGTATTGGTTTTGATGTGAGGCACCAACACCTTTCTTTCTCTCCCCCAGTGTCAAAACCTTGGCAAACTCACCACTGTACAGATGGGCCATGATAACACAGGCCTGTATGCAAAGTGGCTGGTAGAGTGTGTTGTGGTCCGCAATGGAATCACTGGACACACCTACAAGTAAGAGTTTGCACAGAGGAGAAATGATTCCCATATTTTCCCGGCCACATTGTTTTTAAATGATTAACCAACTGTGTTCATTGGACAGATTTCCCTGCGGTCGATGGTTGGGGAAAGGTGTTGACGATGGAAGTCTGGAGAGGATCTTGGTGGGCGAACTGATGACCCCCACCACTGAGAACGATGAAAGGATGTGTCGCACACCTCCAATGCAACAGTCACCAGGGATGATGAGGAGGTTTGTCACCATCTCACCAAACAGCAAACCAAGTGAGTTTGTACACTGCACGATAGAATGACTTAAAGAAAACCAGAGGTGGGGGGTTGTTTCACAGTTTTCTCCTCTTTTTCCCTCTCGTCTAGAGTTGAACACTGGTCAGATCCAGGAGAGTGTGGGAGAGGCCATCAATGGGATAGTAAAGCATTTTCACAAACCAGAGAAAGAGGTGAGAGACAAAGCCATCCAAACAGGCCCAGGCATGTAGTTCTATTATTCATCACATATCAAAGAGAGGCTGCTCTCTGCACTGGTGGTCTTTAAGCAAAAAAAAAAGACTACACAGACATTTTTAAGCATGGTTATTAATGACTTCCTGATCCTATCATTATACCCTCACTCCATCTGTTTCATCTGTATTGTTATTTATGAAAGTAAGTTGTATTGCTGAACCTTTGGATATTTGTCAAATATTTCCTGCAAATAATTTTTGCATTGAATTAAGCAAATCTCTTCTGTGTGTCTTGTCATTTGTTGTATACAGAGAGGCAGTCTGACGCTTCTCCTCTGTGGGGAGTTTGGCCTCGTCTGGGCTTTGGAACAGGTTTTCCAGCACGGTTTCAAATCACCTCGACTCTTTAAGAATGTCTTCATTTGGGACTTTTTAGGTAAATAAAAAATCTGAAGGTTTTTATTGAAAAAATTAAAGTAACAAATGAAGTCTTGCATTCTTGATCTGTAGCCTAACCCTATGATTAGGTTTAAATAAAAACATTTTACCACACAATGTTTTATTGTTGTAAAATATATCTCCTTTGGTTAAATCCAAGTTTTTGTTTTAAAATAACAACAACAATGTTATCTGTTGACCATATGATGGGAAAAACCTTGAAATATACTGTTTCAAAACTGAGGAAGCTGAGAGCATGGAGGTGTTGGTTTTGTTCATTCTCCATACCTTAAAGGGAGAGATTATTTTTGGCTCAACAGTGACCTTGAAAATATTTTGCTAATATTATTCTTGCCTTTGAAAGATGATCTTTCTTTTGTTGTTATATCTGTGGACAGATTTTCTATGTCTTGTGTATATAAATAATCAGTGTTCAAACTTCATCTTATTTCAACAGAAAAGGCACAGGTGTATTTTGAAAGCGCAGAGCAACGTGAGGTGACTCCAGATGAAAACTGGCAAACCAGAGTCCGTCACTTCTGTCGCTTCATGAGGGCCATCAACAGCACATCCAGAAACATCGGCAAAGATGGAAAGTTCCAGATGCTCGTCTGTCTGGGTGCCAGGTAAACTTACAGTACTCATTGAGCATATTTGGAGTGGTACAATTTTAAGACTTTTATTAGAGTTGGCATGAATTTCGACAGTTGCTGCAGACTCACATTCAAATCTGTCAAACTGTACTGGAGATGAGAGGGAGTAGTGGTTTCCTTTCTCTGTGTTAAACCATTCATCCTGACTGTAAGGCAGGAACATGATCTTTTCTCTGAGAATTCCTAAGTTTCTAATATTATTATGAGCTTGTTCAGTTTTTTTGTCTTCCAGGTTTTATGATATTTTTTTGTCATGTTGTTCACAGACTTAGTGGTTAAGTGATAGTTAATGATTTTTGATAAAGGTTTGTTTTTACTGAGCCATTGTATTATGGTGACACCCTTAGCCTAATGTGTCTCATTTGACTTCCAGGGACCATTTGTTGCATCACTGGATTGCTCTGCTCGCAGACTGTCCAATCACGGCTCAGATGTATGAAGATGCCGCGCTGATTAAGGATCATTCATTGGTGAACTCTTTAATTAGAGTTCTGCAGACACTGCAGGAGTTCAACATCACTCTGGAGGCGTCGCTTGTCAAAGGTGTTGGAATCTAAACCAAACCAACAAACTTCAACTTCCTACAAGATGCACCGGACACTGACAGATGGCTGGGGACCATTCAAAGAAGTACTGGGAACTTTAACATACAGGAGCAGACTTGAACAAAGGACATTCTCTGTTAAATCTTACAGCTACTGTTACATGTATTATGTATTAAGTGCAATGAGCCTTTCAAGATTTGTTTTTTATTTTTTAATTCTCAATGACGTTCAGATTAGATGTTAAAAATGTTTTCTATTATGGAACATGATTTCTGCTTGATTGACGGTGACCTATCTGTGCTTTAATGGTTTACTGACAGTGAAATATTTTCAGTACCGTGAACTGCTGACAATGGCATATATTTAAGGCAAACTGTTGATATTTTTCCAGAGAAACACAGTATTATTTTGTTAAAGCAGTCAGGTTGTTTGCTCTGTTATCAGCCCAGATTCCAATGTCATCACAGAGCGAAAAAACATATAATGTACAAGTATGCTTTATAAGTATGACAGGGAGGTTTTTAAGCATGATAAATACTCAACTTTTTAAAATGTCTGTTACATTTGGGATTTTTCCTGGAAAATGTACAGGAATGCAAAACTTTTACATGGAATTCCTTTGAGGAAACTATTCCTTCTTGCAAAATAAGAGTGTGCGAGTGTGGTTAATGCCCGTGTCTAGTGTTTGACATAAATATCCAGGTGGATAAAGGACAAAATCCCAAAGGCTTATGTTTTGTTCCTCAAACTAATGCTTGACTCACCTAGCTTTTTGTGCTAAATCAATCACAGCAACAGCCTCCATATACAGTCAAAACCTCCTACCAGCACTTCTGAACTCCTCACTGGTCTTCTGCTCCCTTTCCTGAAAATTGACCATTTCCTGAATTCCACCGGGGAGCATAATCGAATGCTTCTTTTCATTAGTGTGTCTTTTGCTATGCAATATGCCAGTCAACAAAACAAAACAAAAAACAGCCTCCTATGAACTTGTCTTTCTGGTGTCCCAGAACATTACCAGGCCCTCTGCTGTCACATATGTCCACATTTACTGTGCAGAATTAAGGGTTTGATACATGAAGGACTTTTTCCTGTGCCAATGTCTGGAACGACTGTGTTGTACTTGTCTGTGTACAACCCACACAAGAGCATCTTGGGAGAAATATATTTTTGTTTTCCAATGCAGTTGTACATTTATTGACATAGCTGTGTAATGTAGTGTTTATGAATTTGAGCAACAGTGTACAGTGTAAAAATATATTAAGAATAAAGCATCTGTAATGCATTGCAAGCTTCTTTTTTTTATTAGCGGCTGATGGATTTTTCTCCACCTTATGACTATATGGTAGTTTTCATTAATGTTTTTTTTTGCCATGGGCTGGGTTTCACAAGTCTGGTCTGCCTTTAATTCATTTTTTTAAGTTTTTTTAAGCAATAACTTAACAACGGGGTTTATTAAGTTATCTGTCACTTTCCCCACTTATGCATGAAAAAAACCCAAATTTTTAAAGAAACCCATTTAAAAATGATTGGCTTTTAAGTTACAATTAAGAATATTTGTCATGTGGTAAATAAATATGCGAAAATCTTGTTCTTTTGTATGACACCTTTAAGCATCACAAAAGCAGCTGGTATCGTTACTGAGTCGAAATTCACGGATAATTCGCTGCAAATCTCTTCGTGAACACGGTGCTGGAAGTGCGTAGCTGATAAAATGTAAACAAAGTCGTTCGCGCCATGTCACTGGGCTGTTTTTCTTTAAAGCTTTACATCCAGTTGCATGCTGGGACTCCGAGTTAGAAAAATACCCCAAACAACGGTTGACGTCACGGGGTATTCGCGCCCTCTTACTACACCTCCCATCATTCGCCGCTTGCGCCAAGAACGTGAGGGCGGCGTCGATTGGCTGCCACTGAGTTCAAACTCAAAGACTGCACTCCTTATATGGTCCTTGAGTGTTCAGCCCTTTCATTTCGGCTTTCTATGTTAATGGAATTCTAATTGCCAGCTGTATGCAGCCGTAGTAAGAGCATGCGCAGTGTATCCCCAGCGTACGGCGAAGATTCAAAGTTTTTGTTCAGTAAGTAAGCATTTTTCCTTCCTTTAAATATAAACTACGATTAGAAAATAATACAGTTTGACCATGTTTTGTGTGACTTTTAATTAGAGCATGTTAGAGGAAGCTTTGTGCACTTTCAGTTTTTAGTGACTGAGTTTAAACGCCACAAAGCGTATCCGACAATGGGATAACGTGGAAGTGAAGGAGAGCGTGGCAGCGTCAGCTAGCGAGCTAACGGCTAATAACAATGAGTCGCGTTTGGCGCTTAGCGGCTAAAGTTTAAATTTAAAGGGAAACATGTCTTAGACGTACTGTTTAATTTAATTTTTAAATCTAAACCATATTTATTATGCCCAAACCAACCTGTGGTGTTGTGTTTTAACACTAGTTTTGCACATATAAGCGAGTGGCAGTGAGTAGCTTTTTGTTTTAGATCACAGAAAACGCAGCTGCCCGCTTTTTGTGTCCCGTTCACAGTGCGACCATACGCACGACTTAAGCACGGCGTAATTCGTAACATGTCTGAATGTCTGTTTATACTCGTGTATGTCTGTTGAAATATTTTGTAGAATATTTCAAACTGTTAAATTCACAGTGTTTGTACTATAGTAAAACGTTACGGCTGCGCCGCGATGTTTAAACGTTTCTCTGAAGCTACTCAATTGACACATTAAGGTAGTCTACCTACATTAAGTGGGCCCAAATGGACGATGGTAACTTAACGTTTGAATGTCGCTAAAATACCCTTTTTATCGGTTTTCGCCACATAATCAGATCTCACTAATAATGGAATGTCGTTTATTGTCAGTTTCTTTCTCTGCTATGGAACGGCATATCCTAAAGTTCGAAATCCTTCCTTTGATACATTTTGTTTCATTTCATTAAAGATACAATGAAATAAATAATAAACCATGCCTTTTCGTTTTTAGATTTCTAAAGTCTGGGAAATCACTTGCTATGGTCTGTTTACGCGTGCTGTTTTTTGTTGGGCGCTTGTGGGACTGTTTTGTGGGACCGCCCCCTTCTCAGTAGTAAAACGCTCAACTGTCTGCACGCGTCCCTGCTCGTCAACAAAATACTGTGTTGGTAACTGTGATTTTAAATCGTTGTTTTCAGGTATTTTTGTGTGCATCAACAACACAGATCGTCAGATAGACTATGTTTGGCTTTCACAAGTCTAAAATCTACAGGAGTAACGACGGCTGTTGCATCTGCAAGACCAAGTCCTCCAGCTCCCGCTTCACAGACAGCAGCAGATATGAAGAAACCTTCAGGCTCTGCTTCGGGTAAATGCCTTAATCTAATCATTACACAAACCACACATGTCACATTTGATTGCTATCAGAAGCTTTTTATGAGACTTTCAAAAATGATTCGGGCACATCGACGTAACATGTACCACTGTTACTTTAGACGGGGGTGTTAAAGTCTGTATCTGAAGCAGCATTTTAAAGGAGTTAGTTTCTACTCTGACTAACACGGGTCGCCCCTAGTGGATGATTATGTATAGCATTTTATTAATAATTTCGAGGTTGTCTTTCATGCATTTTTTCGTAACTTTAATATTCATCAAGTGGGGCAGATTGAACACCGTAGCAGCCCAGTTTTGACCCACGTGCTGTATGTTTGACACCCCTTCTTTGGAAGCAGAGTTGTCATTTTTAACATGTCACATGTTTTGTGACATGTTTCGTTGTTGAATTGTCAGAGCTGAGTAATGGTAAATGGTTGTGTATTGGTTCACCCCATGTCTGACGTGTTGTAATGACAATAAAGAACATTGAGTCCTTGAGTAAAAAGGAACTTTTCAAACAGTATAAACAGCATAATAAAGTAGCAAGGGTTTTTGGATAATTGATCAAAGATGGCAGTTTCACGATGCAGCTGACAGTCAAGATAAAAGACATCTAAGGCACTGTAATGTAGAGAATATTAAAATAACATGGATTAGACAATATTGAGGTAATTAAGATTAACAAAAAACTACTTGAATCTACATATATAAAAAGATGCATTTTAATAACGTATAAAAAGAAGACAATCAATAACAATCTTTGGTGTCTTACTTTGAAGTCATGACGTTGTGTTTCTTGTTAATAATTTAAGGTTGTCAGAAGACCGTGTCGGAGACATCTGCAACGCCTGTGTGCTTCTGGTGAAGAGGTGGAAGAAGCTTCCACATGGCTCAAAGAAGAACTGGAACCATGTAAGTCAAAAACGCCTGCAGTATTATTACTCTAAATGGTCTGTGTTTATTTTTTGACTTTGGACAAGTAAATGACATTGTGTTTACCCGATTCATTAATTGATTTCTCAGGTTGTGGATGCGAGAGCAGGGCCAGGCTTCAAGATGACAAAGCCTAAAAAGATTAAGAACAGCGATGGGAAGAGGAAAAGCAAACTAAAGAAGCTGCACAAGTTGAAGAGACAAAGTAAACTGTTCAGTCCTGACTTTTGTTTTTTTATATTAATTATTTGTAGCACTTGCCAAATCAATCCCTGACTGTATTTTATTTGTTTCCAAGCAGACTCTGATGCCCATAGCACGACCTCTAGTGTTTCTCCCGCACAGTCCCCAAGCTACAGCAACCAATCGGATGATGGTTCTGATATTGAGTCCAAACAGAGACGTCCCACTCCCTCCATCTTTTCCTTTTTGGACCGTTCCTACTGGAAAAGGTACATTACGACTTTGATGAATGGAATGTTATTGCAATGTATTGAGTCCAAATCTAACCATTTTTTGTTGCTGTTTTTTTGTTTTTAGACAAAAGGTTTGCTGTGGGATTGTCTACAAAGGGCGGTTTGGAGAGGTCATTATTGACCCACGGCTTTTCAAACCCTGCTGCAGTTCCAAAAAGCAGAAGACGCTGTCTTCCACACAGGTTCCTGATGCTCTTCCTCCACAGCTGCCAGAAACTGTGAAAGAAGTGTGGTGATTGTTGTAGTTACCCCGTCTTCCTCCATAGCTATCCATGGCATCTACCTGGATTTGTCTCCAGTGGCAGACCTCCCATTCCCTCACACCTATTAGATTGGTATTGTTAGATCATTTTGAATATGTTTGTTGTTGTTTTTTCTTTCCATGTGGGTATTTTTTTATTTTTTGTAAATAGATCATTTTTTTTATAAAAAAAAGGAAAAAATAAAAAAAACCATAGGCATTAGTATTTATAGAATGATGTAACACGTTCTGTTGATGCTCCATTTCCAGCTATGAAATTTGGTTTGTTCTTTTTTGTTGTGATTACATTTTGTCACTTTTATACATATCAAAACAGTTAATTCTTTAAAACTATCGTAAGTTTTCCAGTGAAAAATGCCAGCTATTTTTACACAATCTTTTTCATGTGTCAAGGATTTTCTCCAATGAAGTGCTGCAGTTTGTTTCTTGTGCGAATGTTGGCGTGTAGGATTGTCTTGTTCACAGAGGTCTGTTGGTGACAGCAGGGATCATTAGACCAACGGGCCTCTGAATTTAGCTTTTTATGTATATATGTATGGATGAAGAGGGATGATAGACATTTTCTTGGCCTGAACATGCCATAGCTTTTACTTTAATATGCAGTTTGCTCACATTGACACAGGTAGACGTTATAGACTAAGTAGTACATTCTGCTGCCCTCCTGGAATGACAGTGATGTATTTATTTCTGTTGTACAGTTTAAAGTGAAACAATGGAGTGTAAAACATGTTTTTTCAAAAAGAAGATGATTTTGTAAATACAGTGTATTGGCTCTCAGTGCATCTCTACCTTTTCAAATTGACAGAAAAAAATCAAACCACTAAAATGGAATCTTTTCGTATATATTTTTTTTAAATTGCTGGAAATTCATATTTAATTCATATCCTGCATCTAATTGTCTGGGCAAAGCTGACATGGATCATAAAATACAGAGAATCTGTGTTTAAAAAACAATCAATCAGAATCAATTTACTCCAAAATCCCCTTTGTTGGTCCTGGTTTGGGATGAAATAATCAAAAAGCAAATCTGCTTGTTTCTCATGGCTATTCTTAAAAGGCTTATAGAGATGATGTGTGATGATCACTGTTTTTTGTTTGTTTGTTTTCCAGAAGCATTTGTCAATGTTCAAACTATGCAGACATTATGAATGTGAGAAGTTCTCTGGGGCCATCTGTCACTTTGTTTCTAGAGTAAAGTGATGGAATCTTTTTCAACCAAATTGACATGGGAAGAAAATTCTCTAAGCAATATTTCTACTTTTTCCAAATAACAATAACTGACTGATGTGGTATTTTTTGTTATTAACACTTGCCTTGCACACTTTTTATTCCAATGCTCTTACTGTCCTTTAAAGTAATTCTGCAGCTATAATGGTTTAATTTTTCATGTTGCCTGATTTGTCACTGATGTCTAACTTCACTGTTGCTTATATATAATACTTTCTGCGGCAGGGTAGCTAAATGCTGAACATTACTCCCACTGAAGGGAGAAATGCTGCTTCCTATTAAGCTGGAAAATAAGCTTCTTTCCTTTTTCCCTCCTTATGGAGTTGCCATATTTGTTTTTACTAGGTACATTTTGGGATGTGAAATGTGCCTTAATGAATTACCTGATTCTCCTGTAATTTATATTTATTTATTACAGAAACTTCTTTTTTTCTACTAAAACTGAGATAACTGGTGTAGAATTTTCAGGAAAGTCTTTTTTAAAGTTGGTGCACTTCTTTTGAAAATGCAGTGTAGACGTTTTAATGCTTTTTTTATATCGTACAGCAATGTAGAACTGTGTTGTAATAATAAAAAAATGAAACAACAGCAACGTGTTATTCATTCTTACCAGCAGAGGGTGCAAAGTAGCCATGTAAAGGGCTGATTCTTACAGAACGACGCTGTCAGAGATTAAACATTTTCATAACCACAATGAATCACTGCATTGTTTATGACTACACATAAAGTAATCGCTCTATAAAACTGTGTTTTGCACTTATGAATAATGCTTTCACAAATTCTGACAACAATAGTACATGGAGATGTACTTGAATAGAGTTTTTTAAGAATTAGAGTTAGTCGTGCGATTAACCAGTGACACGGTGTATGCTGATAATGCAGGTTGAAATAATCACTTGCAAAAACAATTGTGTAGGAGGATTGAAGTGAGAGAGGATCACAAGCAATTCATGTCACAGGTAGAGGAGTTAAAGAACATTATATACATGTAAAAGAAAATCTGGAGTTACAGTTTAATTTTTAAAGTCAAAAGATGTCCAGCAGTGACATTAACTCACTAATTTTTCTGAAATAAATCCTAATTAAGATCAGAGATGGAAAAGACCGCAAATAGAGACAGAGCCTTTTACCTTCACATTTTTACTTACAATATGAGTCAACTTTAGCTGTTGGTGGAGAGAACTCAAACTGCTGATCACCATGCTGTATCGCAGGAGCACAAACCACTTCTGCTTATGTTGTCAATGTTTTTATGTTTCCCATAGATAGATAATATAATAATCTACTATTTAATGTAATAATACACATTGGTGATATTGTATTACCACAATACAATATCACAGCCCTCTACTGTGTGGCCAAGCCATCAGCTATACATCAACTGGCAGGAGCCTGGTTTTAAGGGAAAATCTCGGTAGAGGGCAGTGTTCTTGTAAATGTATTCATATTCACACACCACTGGCCCATTCCACGGACACGAGAGGATTATCTTCAGTAATACTATAGTAGTATGTTTTATACATTTCTGCTATAATCTGACCAAATTCTAACATTAAACATTAGAACTTATTCTACCACAAACAGTAACAATGTTATTGAGAGTTCCAAGTACACATCACAATCACACTGAACTTTTAGCAACTAGTTAAAGCAGTGTTCCCCAAAGTGGGGGGCGGGCCTCCCAGTGGGCATGAATGTATTGCGGGGGAGGAGGATTGGTACAGAAAGACGAATTAAATAAAATGTTAAATGTCCCTTTATTTGTGTTTCAATTAGAAAATTAACTGATTTGCAATTGTATTTTCTTGGTTCATTGACATCAGCGGTTTTGTAGAAGAAACTGTGTTTTAAATGAAATTCAATGGAGATTTGAAGCAATAGATGTAAATGTGTTGAGGGGGGACGACGACCCATCTACAAGAGGAGGGCGCTGCAGGAAAAGTGTGGGAAACACTGACTGAATGTGTGCATTAACCTGAAATGTTACAACATTTATATCTGATCATTAATGGTAACGTTCACTAAGACTGAATAACATTAGGTTCCCATGAGATTTACTGGTCCTGAAGATGGTCTCTCTGCCTGCCCCTCTCCCTCTCTCTCTCTCTCTCTCTCTCACACACACACACACACGCACACACACTAACTCACTCCTTTTCTCTTTTCAAAAGCCCCTTGTGAGGCAGATTGACAGGCTAGAATGAAAATGAGGCGGACGCAGCCTCACGGCTCCAGTGCGTACGCGTCCCTTTGAGCAGACTCTAAACTTGGATCATATCACCATGGGACCTGTTTGGGCTGCGAGGCACTTCTGTTTGTTTTTGCTCTTGTTAAATAGTCGCCAAAGCGCTGCGCTACCAGAGATTCGAGGTGGGACTGTATAGTGAGTTTGTATGAGTGTGTTTGTGCGTGTGTTTCAGGAGTGAGTGTGTGTGTGTGTGTGTTGTGCTGTTTTCGGGGATTGTGCCGCTTTACGCACGCTTTGTCAGGAGTGCGTGGTGATTGTTTCTGCCCAGTGCCTTTTATTGAAACATTTATTTAAACATTTTTTCTCTAGTTTTTCCAAACACTGTTTCTGTGCGATCTAATCTGTCCCCTAATCCAAACACCGTTTGGTTCTTTGGAATTTATTAACTACAAACTACAATCTGTAATTCTACAGATTAATTTTTAATGGATACGGATTTTCTTGCTTTACCATTTAATTACTAGTTAACTCACGTGTTCATTTCACATCTTTTGCTAGTATTTTTTTATTTACCTCCCACGTCTAAAGCGTGGACAGAGTTCTGATGAACGCACTTTGCCGGTGGACGCTGTTGTTTTTTAAGTGTTGTTGTGGTGGCGGTGACTTTGAAAGACTTGTGTGGATTTCAGCAGATCCATGTGCGGACGGCAGTGATGGCTGTCACATTGATGCTATTTGTCAGACGACCCAAGGCTCGTACAAGTGCACGTGTAGAGCAGGCTTTAAAGGAGATGGACGACACTGTGAAGGTAAACTCACCCCACCGCCCCCCTTCACATACATACATTTTTAATCCCATCTCCACACCACAGATTAAGGTTAATCCAGCACGGATCCACTTCAAAACGCACAGGGTTTGTTTTCTTTTGTGTTTGGTAAGGTTAAACAGCCGATTCCAAAAGATTGTTTTTCATTGGCAACTCAACATCCCGTGGAAAGCGTTATTTTGACAACAATAGTGTCAACAACTGCTAAACCATGTGCTTTTTGAACAAAAACACTAAGTGCCCTTTGCCCCATCCCGCTTACATTAGTCTGTAACATCGAGCTTCAGAACATAAATGAATTTCAATATTATTTGAATAGTACATTTAAATACTTTTTGACTAATTCATGTGTTATTGTTGAAATCATAAATTCAAAGATAAATGCATTATAACGTGAATGTGAAACTTGATGTGACTGGTCTGATAAATAATGATGAATCAATGTGTTTTTAAATTTGTGAATCACTAAAATTAAAATTAAAAAAATATCCTGCGTTGATCAACAACAGCTGACTGTACAAATGTAGTATCGGTTCATACTCCCCCTAGACTGAAATTTGATGTTTTTATGTGGTGGGTAGCATTTTGCTAATTGTTTTTAAACACATAAAGTCTTACTTAAACAATGAAATGGAGAAACCCTTGACACTGGAGTGGTTCAGTTTTGATCATTTCTTTTAATTTAATTTTTAATGCACTCAAGGACTTTTGCTAAATGGTTATTGACACTGGTTCTTGAAAGAAAAAGTGCTAGTTGTCTCGCAGTTGAATCTCCAGGAGTTTAATTATGCTGAATTATTCAAAGTTGGCACAGATGCAGTTCCTGCATTAGCACTCTCTAGTTGGCTGCAGAAATGTATGAACCTGGTATTAAAGTTTTTTACCAGTTTAATGACCGACCCAGATTATTCCTACAGCCCATTTTAGTTCCTGACAAAGATTTAACTGATGACATGACCTTACAGCTTCCTGATCCATACTGCTGTGGTGCAACATTAGAAACCGCTCTGACAGTGAACATATAAATGTAAGGGTCTGTTTAGTGACTATGGCTGTATATACACATTTATTCTTCCTGTAAAATACAACAAACAAACACACACACACACTGCTTCTCGTCTTGTCATTCTCCACATGTTTGGCATTTCATCTGTTGATCAGTGGGTGAAACACTCATCTGTGTGGTTTGACTTTGCAGACACGGATGAGTGTGACATGGAGCACAACGGCGGCTGTGTACACGAGTGCAACAACATCCCTGGCAATTACCGTTGCACTTGTTATGATGGATTCCATTTAGCACACGATGGACACAACTGTCTGGGTAGGAGCACTGACTAAAAAAGTCTTTAAAAAAAAAAAACAGCCCGATGATGAGTTCATGTCTGTGTGGGCAGTTGGGAAGTTTCTCACACACTTTGACGTTTTTTTTTTCAGTCCTAGCTTAATACAAACAGTTTTTTTCTTGCCCGTGCAGTGATGTAAAAGATTCATAAATATTTATGGACGAATATTTGATCTGGAAAAAAACCTAATTGTTTTGGCAATGTCGAGGATGAGTTTTGTAAACACTGTTATTCAACACGGCCCACGCTGTCCTGCAGATGTGGATGAATGCAAGTTCAACAACGGAGGATGCCAGCACACTTGTGTCAACACCATGGGCAGCTACGAGTGTCGATGCAAAGAGGGATTTTTCCTCAGTGACAACCAGCACACATGCATCCACCGCTCTGTGGGTGAGTGTCCACAACAGACAGTACTACTCTGAGTTACTCGGGGTCATCTGTGGTACGAGTTTATCGACAGGAATATTTTTATTTTCCTGTAAAAAAAATGTTTAGATGGTACTTCTACTTCATCATCGACTTCACTGTTGACCTTAAAGAGCTGTTTCTGCTTCTGCAGCACTTTTGACGTGTCTATTTTCGTTACCTTAAAATACATACTGTCTATTTTTGTCCAACTTTGCTACACCCTTTGCCTATTGCATAATTTAATATATATTATGCCGTAATAATTTTCGTAAATTAGCGGCTGGTTTTTAGCTATTTTTGGGACAACACTTGGTGACATGTTTATTTATTTTTTATTTAGGTTATATTAAATGACTTTTTTTTTTTTTTAATTAAAAATCAATAACAGTCTTGGTTGTTGACACAGAGGTCAGTATCAGGTTGCTCCTGTTTCAGAGGACAGTCAGATGTCAGACACCAGCAGCTGTGAAGGTGCAATAACAAAGTCGATCTGTACACACTCAGGAAGTAAACTAGAATTAAACAAAGTTCATGTTATAATGTGAGTAAAGTCTCACTAAGTTTTCTTTCTACAAGCTGCAACTTAAAGGTTATTTTGTTTGTAAACTAACTTTCAGTGACTTTTGTGAACTATTGGTTGCCACAAACTACTCTCTCATCTTACAGCACTCATATGTTTTTATCATGTATTAAACAAACACCACCTTAAATTACACCATGCAGAGTGAAGCCTAGCTGTTCATTCCCATCCAGGTTGAACAAAATAAACTCTGTAATGTCAATGGTTGACCTATTGACTCTGAAGTCAAGTCAGACCAAAACGGCTGAAGAGGATTGTTGTGGTTTTACTGAATCCTCCCTCTATGGTATGTGACAATCGTATCAAGCCATTTAAAACAGGGAAGGAGCTCTATGCAGACAATTCACTAAAATTCACATCCACATCCAGAACTGAAGACACAATAAGTGGTGACAGGCCGAAGCTGGCAGCCGTCACAGCAACAACGTGCTTTGGGTAAAGGATCTCAGAGTCTGGCAGAACAGAATAAGTCAATAACTGCAACATTCAGCTCTACGTGGTCCGTGTCACAGATTTGTCTCAAGTGCCTTTGTTTTGTTAAGTCAACCTAAATGCGAAGACTTTCCACTCCATCGAGTCCTGACAACCCTTTAAATCTCCTGGATCCGTGCGCTCGGCTGTGACTCATCTGGATAAAGGCTGCCTCATAATCTCATTTTTCCAGCTCCAGTGGTGTTATGCAGAACCTTGCGCTAGTGAAATGTGTTTGCAGATCATAGTTGTTGGAGCACGCGTTGTGTAGTTTGTTGTTTTTCTCTTCAGATGTGTGCACAAGTAACACCAGGCTGGTGTTGGAGTATTGTTTAAGGCTCAGGGACAACCAGTGTCCTTTAAGATTCCAGATTAATCCCTGACTGTGTGAGCCTTTGTGTGGAGCCGGTCACTCACTGTAGGAGAGTTTCATTGTGTGCCTCGCTCTCTTGTGTCCCAGAGGGCCTCAACTGTATGAATAAGGAGCATGGCTGTGCCCACATCTGCAAAGAGACGCCCAAAGGGGGTGTGGCCTGTGAATGTCGCCCAGGGTTTGAGCTGGCCAAGAACCAGAAAGACTGCATCTGTACGTTTTCACACATCTATCTATGGATACGTTTGACATTTTTTCATGCTGACATGTTTGCTCTTTGTCCACCCCATAGTAACGTGTAACCACGGCAACGGAGGCTGCCAGCACACCTGCGAGGACACAGAGAACGGTCCCATATGCAGGTGTCACCTCAGGTACACACTGCAGGCCGACAAGAGGTCATGTGTAGGTAAGCGCACAATCTGGAACGCTGCCTTCTTGTTAATGCCAATTTTGGTTGTTAAAACACACAAAATGTGAGGACTAACTTTTCTGAGCATGCAAATTTATGTCCGTTATTGTTCTTTGTTACTGTCCCAAGATCTCAATGGTCTAGTTCAGTGATTCCCAGATTATCCAGTTTCACTTAATTGGGCTGAAAACTATTATTTATTGATGACAAATCATTTTTCTTTGCTCGTTAAAGCATGAAAAGAAACAATTAAATACTCTTGGCTATGAAAACTAAAAAACAGATAATCAGAGCTGTTGAAGAAGATCTTTGTGAGTGTCTTTCTTCAATCCCTGCCAGTGTATCAGCATTGTCTTCAACTAAACAGGCCAAGATTTTAGTCAATTATGAGGTCATTTAAACAAGAAGATTATTGTATTTCATTTCATTACTTTTTGTGAGATTTCTGTTTCGTGGGTTTTCCTGATGATATATATGTGCCATGGCTCAAAAAAGGTTGGGGAACACTTGTCTTTCTTCCTGAAAAAGAGAGAAAATATAAAAAGCAGAAAAAAAGGGAAATGATGATGAAACTAGAAAAAGGCAAACTAACAAAAAGAATGAAAAGATGAAGCTGAAGTTAATGAAATAATTTCAATTTCTTTTGTGATTATATTTAACTACTCCAATAAAATGAAAATCCAATATACTTTAGTGGTGACGGTAAATGGCAGTCAAATGCACAGAGACACTACAACCAGCACACATTGCTGTTGCTGTTGTTTGTCCTGTAAACGTCTGTATTGTTCAAAGAATACAGCTTTGGTATAAATGAGTTGAGTAAACCCTGAATACACCACGACTGTAGATATCACTTTCCATCAGTCACTTCTTACTGACACAATGAGAGCTGCATTTTTCCACACAATGCTTATGGAGGATAAGGATCGACCCTCAGATTTGTAGTGGAATCGCCCACATCCAGTAGCAGTGTGTGTGAGGTCTGTTCATATCACTACAACGTTTCTCTAGATTCACTTTTCTGATCCGATCTGCTGCTGCCGCTGCTGCTCTCATCTGTTATATGACATGAGATTACGCCACTACAAGCTATATACTGTATCTCAAGTGTAAACATGCATCTGGTTACAGGAGGGTGACCACACAAACACCCAGAGCTGGAGTCAACACAGCATGTGTGTGTGTTTTTGAACCACTGCTGGGGAGATTACTGTATGATTTCGGCTGAGTGTGTGTGTGTTCAAGAGCAGCATGGTTCCAAAGTTAAAAAAAAAAAAACTTTAGATAAATTGTTTAGAAAATGTCAGTTGAACCCAAAGCATTTACACAGTCAACGACACAGAACGAGGTCTTGGGGATGAGTTTAAGACTGGATCAGACTTGTCAATGTATTTGTTCACAAAGCATATTTATCTAAATGGACTGAATAATAATTTAAAATTAGAACTGAAAATGAAAAACATCTTCATAAAAAACATAAAAGAGAAAATAAGGAATGTTTATCTAGTCGTTGTTATACTATACTATACAATATTATACAATACTATACTATGCTATACTATACAATACTCTTCTATACTATACCATACTATACTATGCTATACTATATTCTTCTATACTACACCATACAATACTATACTTTGCTATGCTATACCCTACTATGCTATACTATATAATCCTATACTAAGCTATGCTATGGTATTCTATGCTATGCTATGCTATGCTATACTATACTATACTATACTATGATACCTGTAATGGTAGTTTGGTCCAGTTGGATGCCACCATTCCTAGAGCTTGTGTCCTCTTTATGTCTGGATATATAAAAATTATAGCCTGTCACCGTCGTAGTTAGTCTGGTAATGTACTACATGAGAAAGCACCGTGCTACTGTGGTGTATATTGGGTAATTGAGATGCCAAAACAGTTCTTAGATATGTAAGAAAAGTACCAAGAGTCTTCATTGTTTTGCCTGAGGCTCGAGTGGAATTACAAGAAGAAAAATCACAGAATTGAGTTTTTCTTTTTTTTTTTTTAAGGTGTTGTCACGACCAAAGTCTTAAATAGACTGAGTCTTCCCAGGTTTGACCATGTTAGATGCTCTACTCTGTGTTACTTATATACGGTACAAGGTTGTCTGTTTACTGGAAAACAGGATTTTGATTTAAATGAATACTGTGGGAAAGTCACTGGCCGGAGCAGAGAACATTTTTGAATCAAATCCTTCAACTTTAATGTTATTTGTTTGTGTTTCCGTGTCTACCAGAACGTGACGAAGCCACCACTGAGTCCTCAGACCACAACTCCACGTCCTTCACCGAGGTGGACAAACGGGTCAAACGCAGACTGCTCATGGGTAATAATTACACCTCTTGTATTCACACCATAAACATTTAGAGTTTCAGTTTTTTTATGTGACAGCCTAGTGAGCTGCCAGGAACCACTGTGGGGTGTCAAACGGCACAGAGGAGTTATGTCTAGTAAGCCGACACATTCTTCAGCCTTTTGAGCAAACTGTGAAATGACTACGCACTCGTCTGCTCGCCCCCAAACTTCCAGCATGAAAAACATGCATTTGTGACAGTGTGGTACATTTCACATTTTCCCTCCATTTGGGAAGGTCTGTGTGTAAACTTTTTCTCCCGTAGTTAGTATTTATCAGTTCAGTGATTCTGGATGACTTGATGCATGAAAAATATTTATAATAACTGGCAGAAAATCAAGTATTTGAGTGTAGAACAGAGTTGAAGACAGTTGTCCAGCATTTGAAACGATACACTGTATGTTAGTAAAAGGTCAGTTTGAGAAACCAAAGCTAAACATTTAAAGGATAGATTGGTGTAGATTATTATTTTCTATAAATCAATAAGTGCCAAATAGCCAATGTTTAGCAAAAAATATAAAGAACCAAATAGCTGGATAAGTGAATGGATAAGTAATCAAATCAACACAAAAATGGCTAATTGTTGTTTGAGAAACAATTAGTAAAAATACAAATTGTAAATTAGTAAAAATATACACAGAATTTTTATGAGCTCCCTCTAAGTAACTTTTTTTTAAATTAATTTTTGGGTTTACTTTTCTGAATGGCAGCTGAGAAGACCAAGGCCAAAATGGCTACAAGTTGGCCTTAAGCTGTAAAATCAATCAAACATTTAATGTTTGATTAATATACCACAGGGCTGATAAATACAAAGGTTTTAGTGGTGCATTGTTTCAATTAGTCTTGTTTCCTCATTAACCCAACATTAGAAACTCAGGGATTACACTGCATTTTCCAGAGGAAGGATTTACCACATGTTGACACTGTCTACACCTATTTTCAGAGACCTGTGCAGTGAACAATGGCGGGTGCGACTGCACCTGTAAGGACACATCTACAGGTGTACGCTGCAGCTGCCCAGTGGGCTTCACACTTCAGCCGGACGGAAAGACATGCAAAGGTCAGAGTGCACAAAACTCTCCCACAGCGTTAGAGGAGGAAACATGGCACAAAGCCGCGCTGCTTGGTTTAAAAATAGAGATTTTTGGATTTGCCTGTTTCCCACAGATATTGACGAGTGTGAACTTCAAAACGGCGGCTGCGAGCACTTCTGCAGGAACACCATCGGCAGCTTTGAGTGCAACTGCAGAAAAGGCTTTAAGCTGCTCACAGACGAACGATCGTGTCAAGGTACAGACTGCTCTCTCTGTCTCTCCTGTCGTCACTGAAGACAAACTCTACACACGCAAATAAGAAGCATGGATGGTAAACTGTATATGAGAGAAGGACAAATCAAGTCAAGTGCCTGTAACTGATGATGCTTCTTCTGACATGATCCTCCGACTTCTTACTTCACTTTCCTCTCAAAGGAAACACATGCAGATTATAGTTAAATTGAATTATATATCTCAAAATAAAACCATATAAAAATATACATAAACAAGTAGGTCAGTACTAAAGAGAATGTGTATATATGTACACACACATATATCCATGCACAGGTGCACATACACATACCATATACATGTATAATAGCTATAGAACAAATGTACGAAAAAAGATGAGAAGCAGAAAACTTATAACAAAGCAAGAAAATGGTTAAAAAAATATAAAATGAAAAATAAAATATACAGTGGATTTTTTTTTCCTCTTTACTTAAGATTAAGAGCTTTTCCAAAGCTTTCAATTAGCCTAATTGTCACAGTTAAAATATCATCATCAATTTCTTAGTCCGACTACTTTTAAAACAATAAAAACTAACATTGTCCCAAACTGATGAAATTGAGATGAGTTTTTTTTCGTTAGTTTATGTGGTGCTTGGAAACATCACATAAACTAACCTAAGCTCATTTCTGGGTTTTGTTGATTTTCCTTTGGTCAGACAAACCCTTTATCTCCCCATCATTTAGAGTTGATGCCTTAATTGGTGTAAAAATACAAATTAGGGCACTGAAATGAAGCACTGACTTCAGGTTAACCTGTAATTACCTTGAGGAATCAGTGGCTTTTCGCCCACATGGGTGTACATGGGAAAAGCAGAAATAAATGCTTATGTGTGTCTGTGGGTGGGAAATCCCTCCTGATAAAGACAGCGAGCGACTGCTCTGCTATTATGTCATCTGTCTGATTTTGATTACAGATATAGATGAGTGTTTTTTCGAGCGGACATGTGATCACACGTGTGTGAACTTCCCCGGTGGTTTTCAGTGTCTCTGCAACAAAGGCTACACCATGTATGGACTGGCCCACTGCGGAGGTGAGAGTCACTTAGGTGGAGGGACTTATACATGTCAAGTTGAGCGTAACAGTCCGGCGGTAGGAAGCATACAAAAGTGGGCAGTGGCCCATTGATGTGCTGGAGAAATTGAGCCCGTAATTACAATAATGCCTTTTCCTTCTCCCTCTCAGATATAAATGAATGCAGCGTGAACAATGGCGGCTGTGAGCAGGGTTGTGAGAACACCATGGGTGGATTTGAATGCTTTTGTCATCCTGGCTACAAACTGCACTGGAACAAAAAGGACTGCGTTGGTAAGATGCTGCACCTGCCCAAAGATTTGTCAGTAAAGACTGTACTTCACTGCACATTCACTTGAAAGTGGGGGCAAAAACAGGAGATACTTTGAATTCTCTTCTCTTTACTTCTCTTTAATTCTCTGTCACTTTGGTTGCACCATGTTGCCAGGATGCTGGACTTTTGGTGCCTCGGTATCATGTCCGCTTCCTCGCTGTCACAATCGTCATCAAAGTTTTCTGTTTTACCCTGGAGTCTTGTTGTGGTTTTTATCTAGAGGCTGAGGGTTTACCACCTGCAAAACCCCCCTCTAAACCCACACTGAACTGCAGTAAGCAGGAGGGAGGAGACCGATGCTTCCTCACATGTCAGTCCCAAGTTCATATCAGCAGTGGTAAGTTGGTGGTACTGCAACTCCATTTCTACACAGTGTGCTTCTGTTGTGATGACTAGAGTCTGGGATTAGGTCCATGAGTGCTTGTCAGAATATATGTCATTTAACATGTACACAAAATTCCTTGTCCACAAAACATTTTCTCTATTCATCATTCATATTTACGTTGTTGCCATGCTCACCAAAACAAAATTTCGTTGCTAAAAACAGCATCAACCAAAAGTAAAGAATAATGACCAGTTATCCTCGGTTATTATCTAAATTTACTTTCTGGCAAAAAAAGATTGATGGGTTCAGGACAAACCCCTGGGCTTATAAACCTAGGTCAACTGCTACCTTATGTCCTTGACCTTTAATTTTAGAAATTATAAAAGTGCCATGTCAACACTGACTCTCCTACAAGTACATCCCAACGCTTGCTGAGATTGTTTTATAATTCATGGACAGAAACACTGAGTCTGGCTCCGTGAGCTAAAGCTCAACTGGGAACAACCAAATAATGGCCAACAACTACAATTACGTTCATGAATCAATTTACCCATTAATCAACATAAGAAATGTAAGGAAAAAAGTGATATTTTTTCCTTATTTGTGTTTAATATGTCTCTGTCAAACAAATTCTTTACAATTCAATTCCCTTTTAAATCAAACCAAAGTCCTAGCTTTGAACCCTGACTTGGCATCATGTCAGTTCTTCAATGGTTAGTCAGTGTCACTACACAGCCGGCACTCCTATAATACGTGTGGGTTTAAAAAACAGTTGGAATTCATGTAAACAAAGTGACAAAGCACGGACTGCAGCTTAAGTAAAGTCTGTGTGAGACAACATACCAGAGCCAAGTGTGCCTTTATGTTTTTCCTCCCTGATAAAACCCCACAGAGCAGCATACAAAAAGATCAGGTATCTTCTGAGGCAGCAAAGCCGGGAAAGATCCTGGAGACCTGATTTGTTTCCATTACCTAGCTCGGTTAAGCTGCTACAGCTCCAGTTCTGTAAACCTTCATCATCATCAGTCTGCAGAGTAACTTTTCATGTTTCTACATGCTTCCTGTTTGCTCTCCGATTCGGCTCCTGTGGCCCTGAACCTTTAGGGACGGAGGATTCCTACACGGTCACCTGTGGAATGCCCCTGCCCTGCTTGGCTGACGCACAAAAGAACAACAGCGGCTTGTATTGCTTGGGCACGTATCACACATCAAAGATTTACATCCATCTTTCTGCTCTGCCACACAAAGCTGTAACTCAGACACAGCGTGGGCCGTCCTGGTTATCAGTAGATGTATAAACAGTCTTGTTTTTCTTGTAACTCACTCCTGCAGCTCCAGAAACGGCTGGCGTTCCTCGCATTAAGACCACGGCCACCTTCAGATCTGGCACTGCAAAGTGCAACTTGAAGCGAAGTCAGGAGAAACTCAGGGAGAGTTTGAACTCTGCACACTCAGGTACACAAAATATCCCCGACGAGTCTTCTGAACATCGCGACAAATTAAAGACGAGCTCTTTCCTTTATTTTACTGGCAACATCTGAAGCCACGGTGATTTGAACAAAACATCACACACGATGACTGTAAACCATAAACCAAATGTCAAAAAAAAAAAAAAAGAAACTGGGGGAATGTGATGTGGGTTTGAGTATCTTGAGAGTCTCAGGCACATCTATATAAATTACCCTGACAGGGGGAGGATGTAATTGCATGCCTTTCACTCAGGTCTGACCCTGCCATCACTTAGACAGAGTTCCGATTGTAGGATTACGTTGCTCCTTGGATCAGAAGCAGTTAAGTAATGGGCAGCTGGACGCTGCTGGTTTCTAGAAGACATTTCAGCTCTCATCAATTTTTCAGGATGATAAAGGTGAAACATCTTCCAGAAACCAAGACGGTCCAGTCGCCTCTTACTTACCTGCTTCAGATAAAAGAACCAAATGTTTTTTTCTTGTTAGCCTTGTCATGTAATGAACAGTTTCACAGTGATGTCTCATTTTTTTCTGCTGCCTTTAAAAAGACCAAACTAGCTTCTTAAAGAGACAGTTTTCAGTATAAGACATCAAAATCATACGTTGTCCATCATGTGGTCTGTAATTTGCCATTTGTGACTGTGTGTGTTTGTCTGGGTGCTGTCTGTGGTGCTTCCTCCCTGTGTCCACAGACAGCAGGTTCCTCTTCACTGAAAATGTGCAGTTCAGTTACGTCAGCCTGCGCTGTATCTCGTCATCCGGACAGCGGTTCCGCAGCCGTCACGGCCGGAAGGCGGGTGAGGAGGACGGCTCCTTGATCACTGCTGAGTTTGAGCTGGATGTGAACGTAGAGGAGGTAACAGGTTGGTTGGTCTCTCTGCACATCTGCCTTCCTGTCTCCTGTCATTCTCATCCGTGGTTTCTTCTGCCACTGTCTGTTCGTTACTAATCAAACCACACAGTTAAAGTATCTCCTGTTTTGAAATGGCTTTTGGTGGTGGTGGTGATGTTGGGCTGAAGGTTTGAAGGTTTAAAGTGTTTTTTAAATCTGTTTCCTTGACTTCTTCTTCAACTTGTTGTTTTGTGGTAAGCATGTGAGCATCCATCCAGGCATGAAGTTTTAGAGGCAAAACATTGCAGCAGAAACAGATGCAGTATCAAGTGCTTCTCTCAGCAGAGAGCTGTGACCTGAACTGTGTGCGCCGACGCTCAGAGAAGAGGCTCCGGAAGACCATCAGGACCCTGAGGAAATCCATCAACAGGGAACAGTTTCATCTACACTTTGCCGGGTCAGATTATGAGCTTTCCAAGAATCCGGAGCCACCGGCAGACCTGGCAGGACACTGTGTTGGAGGACAGGTGCTGATGGGCAGGAAGTGTGGTGAGTTTATTACTGCGTTTTGGCTCCATCATTTCTGTTGTTTTTTTTTTTCTTCACACTACTAGGTTTGCTGCGTACATAACTAAAACTGTTTTCAAATCATTTCAGTATGCAAAAAGTTAAAAGAGAGCAGGGCCTGCCGAAATAAAATGCTGGTTAATGTTTGTTGTCTTCAGAGAAACGGGTCGTGTGAAACAATCTAAACCAAGGTCAACTGCTGCCTTACGTCCTTGAACTTCACTTTAAGAAAAATAAAACTGCCATGTCAACATTGACTCTCCTACAAGTGCATCCAAACGCTTGCTGAAATTTTACTCATTTATGTGAAGAAACACTGAGTCTTGCTCCGTGAGCCAAAGCTCTACTGGGAACAATCAAATAATGGCCAACAATATAAACGTTAATTAATTAGTTTACCCATTAATTAATAAAATGCTGGTTGTCTTCAGAGAAACTGGTCACGTGAAACAATCTTGACGTCTTTTTCCATTTTCATTTTCCAAAGCTCTTGTGTTTGTTCTAGAAGACAGTTCAGTAGACTGTAAAAAAACCTCTTCCGTTATAGTGTCTCTGAAACACTGCACTGGTGTGGATGACACATATAACTACAACAGCTTCTGCCTACGTTAAATCAAATATGTTCATGTTAAACCTGGACAGCTCTCTAAGTGCTCTTGATCTTTATTGCTGCTTACTTATCTTTCAAAGATTTGACATTTTCTTCATCATCTCAAAATCATATTCCCCAACACGGCTTAGCAGAAATGTCTGCGAGTCGCTCCCTGCTCACACAGAGGAGTCATAGTCCTGACTTTAAGTAATTGAAATTGTTCGCGCCAGTGAGATATATTTAGACAGGCTGTTTTAATGATTGGATTTGGAGCAGGTGTTGGCCAGATGAGTGCCATATTTGGTTTGCAGCCATGCTGTAATGAGGTAGCTGGAGGGGAGAGCTCTCGTGGAAGAACAGAGCCACTGTTGTTGGTCTGTGCAGTTGTGAGATCTTCCAGCATCACTGCTGGATTAGTGTCTACCACGGGGCTGAGTGCTGGTCCCCTGGTAGCTGTTGCCTCACTGTTGGGTTCTATATACAGTTTGTGATGGAGAAAATGTCCATTAAATCTGACCACACGTTGTAAGCATTACACAGTCGGCTGGCACGTGTTTTTTCTGGCTGTTAGGACGGTTTGCCCCTACGTACGGGCCTCCCAGAGTTTTCTGATTGCCGTAATATCATCAAGAGAGAACGGGTTTATTTCTTCTGCTGAGGCATCCTAACTATTTATTCACTCAGTACATGCATTGTTACTCAGTGTTTGCATTGATATGTGCGCATGCTCTTGGCACACACGCACAAACACAGGCAGACACTTTTTTTTCTGCCTTCAAACAAATTGCCAATAATTTGTCTGGCGGGATTCCTATTGTTTTAAGAGCTTCTTTTTTGGGTGAAACCCCAAAAACTTGCCCCAAGCTAGAGCTGTCCTCTAGTTTCCTGAGACTGTTGAAAGGAAATTATTTACTTTACACATCATCAGCTTCACATTTACACTCTTTTATCTCTCGGTGTACTTTTGTTTTCACTTAAACATCCTCCTCAAACTTCATGCTGCTGCACTTCAGCTGTGCTGACATGATTCCAGCTCCTGAACTGCTGCTGCACGTCACGTCTTTCACTAACACAGGTCTTAAGTGACTTGATTCCTTAACTCCCCCGTTACGCTTTCAGGTCAACATTAAGCAGTCTATTGGCCATGGCAGGGGTGTAGACATGTAATTTGGGAGTGGAGGCGGGGGGCTGAAGAGGCATTCTTCTTAAACTCCAACTCTTTAAAGGAGCTATATTTCCCCCTCCTCCCTCATCTCCTGCTCTCTGGCTTAGTGAGGAGTGCAGTTTAGTCCTTTTTAGTGCACCCACTCCATTGAAGAAAACCCATTTGGGGGCTTGTTCTCACTGCTACACAAGGACCAAAACACAACATTTGGGGCATTTGGAGAAAGAACTTTTTTGTCTTTCATTTGGTTTTCTATTCCGAGCCATTTGCACTACAGTTTATCACGATTTTTTGTCTATTTGAATTGATGTTTTTATGGTGCTGGATCCGGTTGTGCTCAAATATAGTACACAGTACAAAGGCTTTTTTTTTTCATTTACATTATTGGACTTCAAACTCATTCAGGGCTTCATCAAGATAACATGTGATATTCATATAAAAAGTGAAGGAGGAACGATCAGCATCACGACCACAGACGCTGCGTTTCCTGCACCTCCACGCGTCCGCATTGGTTCGACCGTTGTACTCAACTTGTTTGCGTGTTTGTTTTAACATTGAAGATGTTTAGGAAGTGCTGTTGATTCAAGGTGGCAGTTTGAGTGCTGCGTCCCCCCAGCCCCCCAACTGGGGCCACTTTGCATGACCCCGGCCACTAAATTGCTAAAGAGAATTGACTTCAGCCACACCATGGGAATCAATTAGCATCAGCTGTTTGGGCCTCTGCTTGATGGGCCCGAGCAGCGATTGGGCCGAGCAGAATGGGGAGGGGGTTCAGAAACCTGACCCCTTTTATTGGGTTCAGCTTCTAACCACTGTGATACCGTAGTGTTTTCCTATGTCATCAAGTCGGCAAAGACTGGGGACTTGAATAGAGGTGAAAGGTCTTTTAAACCTCTTTGGGGCCATCAATTCGAGGGCTCTATAGAAGCGTTCTTTGCATTTGAAAGGCTTCAAGGTTTTTTTTCCCCTCTTTCACTCTCACTCTCTCTTCTCTCACTGCTTCCCTCTGTCAAATAAAAGCTGTTAGGGGACAACACAATGATGGGTCCTCGTGGTCTTTTAGAACAAACAAAGAGCTCCAAAAAATGAACTGCTCTTGAGAGAATTACATTTTCTTGCTTCAGAGGAAAATCTAACAATTTGTTGAGCCCTCTCTAATGGATCTACATAAAGCTTTTGTGTGGTGGATTCTCCACTCGCAGACAGCTTAAAAGGCCACAACTGAGGCACTTTTTATCCTCAAGGGCCTAGAATTGAATTGATTTATTCTTGTGTGAGATCAGCCTCAGTTTTCAAGTCAAGTTCTTAAGGCTGTCAGACAGACGCAGTCATTCCTAAATTAATTACAGGCATTACTTTGAATGGGAGGAACCAAGGCAAAACGGTGATTTAGTCCCTTTAATTGAGCCTTTGCACTTTGGTAAGATAAAAGGAAAATAATGTCTTTGATTTTGTCTCTGTCTTTGCTTTTAATTGAGGTGAAGGTGCGCAGGGTGGTATTAAACCTCGTGCGCTGACGTCTTTTAGAATTCATCAGTTTTCAGGTTTGAAAGAGTAGAATGGTGTTCATAGTTCAGCCATCACTCTTTTGTTTATGTACATATATATGTAGTATTAATTACTACTAAATACTCATTTTATTAACTGCTACTGACAGCGATTTGACAATTTACAATAGGAAATAAAAAACCACACCACCACAACATCCGAGATCAAACAGACATCGTCAGTCACTAACAGTGTCTGTAACCAGTTTCGTCAACTCCTGAATTATTTCAACCACTTTAAAGGTACAGTGTGTAGGATTTAGCACCATCTAGTGGTAATGTTACGTGATGCGCAAAATACCACTCGTCCTACCACTACAAAACACGGTAATGCTGCAGACTTGAAAAGAAAAATCCAAAGAAGGTCAAAATAGAAAGTCTGTGTATGTGTGTGTGTGTGTGTATAGACTAGTTATATTATCAGTAAAATTATTTACACCAAATTTATTAGAAATATAATACAAATTTTCTGTATCTTAATCTTACACTGCAGCTTTCATTCAAACACTGAGGCTCCTTTTACATCCAAAAAATGTTTTAGCCAAAACACACGCCTGAGACTCAATCAACAAGGCTTCGGACAGTTAACAATGAAAATGAAGAAACAATTACAAAATCATAAACTATTTACCGGAAGACAAAACACAACATCAGAGCCCAAACAAGGAAATAATGAGTCAGTCCAAAACTCCAAAGCCAGATTTTTCTCTTTTCAAACTTCTTTCAAGTTCACAAAAACTAAACCTTTGTTTAGTTTTACTACGTACAAATGATTTTAACAGAGCACTAAAGAAGCAGCTATTATTGTGGTCAGTGAACGTTTATAGTTGAAGTTCAGCTCTCCATAAAAGTTATGTTAAGGTTTCTATGTTCCCAATAAAGCATGGGTAATTAAATGTGTTATGTGTAGTTTACCCATTGAAGGGAAAGACCACAAATATAAAAAGTAGAATAAAGTACTGTTTTGTTTTACCTGCATCAAAGCTACTCTCTTGATTGTCAACATTTATTATTTTTTTCCACTTGCACTAAACAGGCAGATGATGTGACAACTTAAACTTGGAAATAAATCATTGTACTATTGTCCTTTTTCATAGCCTTTCATTCATATTCAATTATTTTCCAACCCCTCTCCTTCCAGTTAACCTCCTGGGCTTTTTTAAAAACACAATGACTATCTTATTTTTTAATCTGGTCCGTGCTTACAGTATATGCAAATATTGCATGATGAGACGACCAAAAAATGATAAACGGAACATGATTTCATTTAAAAAACCTTTATACTTTTAATGTGTTTTGGCGGTGAATAATAATCTATTATCCACTTGCTTTGTGAACATCCTTTTTTAAGTTTATTCACTCCGAGAAAGGTTGTGCTGATCTCCTTTATTAGTCTTGTCATGAAATTGAGCTGCCCTGTTTACAGTACACACTCACCATGTGGTTAGAACTGTATGATCATGTGTGACCCGAGGGAATATACTTTTAACCTGTTGATTTATGTCCATATTTTTCACACTCTGTGCCCCCTGTTATACAGTGTGTCACTGATGTCTCTCCTAAAGTTTCAAGTCCACACCTGTCGCTCTGCTTTCAACTTTTAAAAAAGGTTGTTGTTTGTTTTTGTGAAGAAAATCTTGAGGATAGGATGAGGATATTTTGTCCTTTAATTACTTTTGTTTCCGCCTGATGACAGTAGGAATGTGATGTATCACCTGACACCGCCACAGGACTGTCAACACTGAATTATGACCATAATTTGAGGATTCCTTTGGGAACTATTGCTCATCTAAGTTTTTTTTTTCATGTAGCCAGTAAAACATTAAGGTTTAATTTACAATTAACCTACGGAATTATTTAAAGATGAATTACTAATCTCTCTTTATATCTCTCTCTATTTTTTTAGTCAAGTGTAGCGTTGGTACTTACTATGATGCAGACCAGGGAAGGTGCGTGACGTGTCCAGCTGGGACATATCAAGATGAGGAGGGACAGATGTCCTGTGAGGTCTGTCCTGGGGCTGAAGGACGAGAACTTTCCAAGACAGTCGGAGCTCGAAATATGTCAGAGTGTGGAGGTAAATAATGGCCTATAACAGAGAAGGAATGTTGTATGTTTATATTTCACGGTCAAACTTCCTCATTCATATAATATATAAAACATTTACATTTTGTGACTTGGTGATGAATAAAAGAGACTTGATACATTTCTCATATTGATCCAGTTCCTGTTTACAGGATAATTAAACAAACTAGCTACTGTATCCCTTTAAGGATTGTGTTTTGTTTTTAGTAACAACATTGTGGAAACTCAAAGCAGCAGTGATCAGACAGTGATCAGGCCTGGATACTTCTGTGCCTGAACTATCTTTGCACACGTATGCTCGAACTTGACATCTAATTCAAAATAGCTGACGTTTTGTTGACCCATTTGCTTGTATTGTCATGATACACAAGCCAGATTAAGTGGGTCTAGAACAAGGGATTTCAGAGTCTAACAATGTGTGTTTCACACTAGGTAGTAAAACAGACAGTCATAAAAGCAAAAAACAAAAAAATAAATAAATGTTGAACTTCAACAAATATTGGAAGTGAGCGTGCGGGATTACAGATCTTTGTCTGAGCAGATGTTTTGTTCAGTGTAAGTCAAGAGAAGCTGAAACCACAATGATGGTGACGTTATTTTTACTCAGAATATAAGGTGGGCTGACGGAAAGCTGAAAGAGCCTCCATGTTTTGGTCTTTCCTTGGCTCTTATCTCAGTCACTTCAGGATTAAATCTGTGATCTTGTCGCCTCTCACAGACTAAACAGCGGGAGCTATCAGCAGACTCCCATCGGCAGCCAAGTTTGTATTAGTCACCCAGACGATAGTGTGTGAGAGAAGGTGCACTTTGCTTAAGCTCACTCTTATCTTAATGGAGGGTTGAGGAGTAACTCTCTGTATCCCATGAACTACATTTTATAAAGGTTGTGTAATTACACAAACACGAGCGGTACAGCTCAGAAAGTTGTGCAACAGATGTGTGATTCACTGTTTACGCTCCGACATGACCAAATGTTTGTGTGTGTGTATGTTTTTCAGGTCAATGTTCTCCAGGTCACTACTCCCATGATGGATTCATCCCCTGCCTGCCCTGTCCACTGGGATCCTACCAGCCAGAGGTAGGCCGCACTTCCTGCTTCCAGTGTGGAGGGAACCTGGTGACCAAGCGCAGTGCTGCTGTAACCTTCCAGGAGTGTGAAACCAAAGGTGGGCAGGTTGAGTTCAGTTTATACAAGGGAAATGTATGTTTCTGGTTCCACTCAATATCAAAACCAGTAGAATTTCTGCTTTTTGCTAATAAGCAAATTAGCAGCCTCACTTCACTATACACTTTTTAAAGGAGAGAAAACCACAAAATGGCAAAAGAGAACACACAAACTCTCTAGGCCTTCTCCTGTGTGCCTTTTTGATTTGTACTAAGTACCTTTATCAAAAAATTAGCACAAACCTACCTGCTGTAATCTTTGTATTTTTATAATAATAATATAATATGCAACATTTTTACAATGAGCCTACCACATTTATTTGTAATTTATATTTGTCTCTGCTATAAAAACAAGCACCCATTGTTTTCTTTAATACCAAGCATTAGATCTGTACTGATTCATCCCTCAGTCCAACGGATAAAAACTTATGTAATGTTCGGTTTTGACTGATGGCCCTGTTTGAACGGGACCTAAATAATACATAACGTACACCTCATTTTGAGTTAGTCATGTATTAGTTGTTTCACTTAGTGAAACACGTCACTCTGCTGCCCTCTGCTGCTGTTTTTGCGTCAGTACATGACACTAGCTCAGGCGCTTAAAAAACATGTTGAGATCTCTGTTGGAAATAGTGTGGCGAGTGTTTTAAACGTATTTGAAAATATATTTAAAACTCTCTAAACAACTGCATAGCATGTATATAATTTTGTTCATCTTATTAAATCGAAACTCTCCGTGTTACACTTAAATGTTAGAAATACAAATATTGGAAGATATAAGCAGTAACTTACAGCCCAACGGCCCCTGTGCTTGTCTCTTGAAGTCCACTGCTCTCCAGGACATTACTACAACACCAGCACCCATCGCTGTATCCGCTGTCCTATGGCAACGTACCAAGGGGAGTTTGGTCAGAACTACTGCATGGCCTGTCCGGGAAACACCACAACAGATTTTGATGGCTCAACTAATATCATGCAGTGCAAAAGTAAGATCATAAATATACAGCAATGCATATATATATATATATATACACACTCAAAAGAAAGAGACACAGTTTTAAAAGTTTTTAAAGTAAAACCTTTAACTATTGCAGTGGTCATTGTACACTTGTTTCACAAATGTCCCTGTTAAAACATGTCCGTCATGTTTCTCATTACAGACCGGCAATGTGGAGGAGAGCTGGGAGATTTTACTGGCTATATTGAGTCTCCAAACTACCCAGGGAATTATCCCGCCAATGTTGAATGCACTTGGACCATCAACCCTCCACCCAAACGTAGGATCCTTATTGTCGTCCCAGAAATCTTCCTGCCCATTGAGGATGAGTGTGGAGACTATTTAGTCATGAGGAAAAGTTGTAAGTTATTTTTATTTTATTTTATGGAGCTAACATTTGTGGGAAATATTATCTAGGTTTAATCTTATTATGAATACCACTCTACCCAGCTCTGTCCAACTCTGTGACAACCTATGAGACATGTCAGACATATGAACGGCCCATCGCTTTCACTTCCCGCTCCAAAAGGCTCTGGATACAGTTCAGGTCAAACGAAGGCAATAGTGGAAAAGGCTTTCAGGTCCCATATGTCACATATGACGGTAAAAGAAAAAGATATTTCATGCTAATGTTTTGTAAATGTTTTGCTGTGTCATGTTTTTCTAGTCACACTATTTACATGTTTTTGGACTTTCTTTGTTTCAGAGGACTATCAGGAATTAATAGAAGACATTGTGAGAGACGGTAGATTATATGCTTCAGAAAATCACCAGGAAATTTTAAAGGTATTGTCTTTCTTTTAGTAGTATTTATACACTCAAAAACATAAGAGTAATTGGTCTATATTTAGCAAAAGCAGACATTTCTATGAGTAAAATAGGTAAAAACTGTCAAACAACTAAAACCCTTATACCCTTATATAACAAAGCATTGCTCTCTGTACTTAGTTTATTCAAGATGTTTTTGTGATGTGAACACTTCTAGTTCCCAGATAAACCATTACAAGGATAGAAAAGTTTCGCTGAACTTTGAATCCGCTGAGATTTAAACTACAATCAAATCTCAGCGGATTCAAAGTCCAGCGTGCTAACCATTATACCATGGAACCATAAAAAGTGACACTCCTACATTGTATGTAGTGGAAAATTATTATTTCTATTTCACATTACTTGGACACAATAATGCAAATGGGCAGCCTGTTTACCAGATAACAATTAGTTATGGGATGCCTGTGGGAAACTTAATGCAAATCCCCTGAGGCAGAAAGGAATGCATGTATGATGAAGTAAATGTCATGTTAGAAGACAAAATGACCCCACAGTTTTATTTGACTGTTGACATGCCCAGTTCATAAAACTTAACTTTTAATTTTATTACTTTTTCAGACAAATTTAAAGTTGTTAAAATGTTTAGTTTATTTACTTATTTGAAATAAATGTAAATGAACATATACTGTATATTATGGATTTATCGTAATGTACCCAAATTATAGCCATATGCTAATTTTCTCACATAGTTCTTTGGCAGGTAGATGCTAAAGGAAATAAGACATACACTCACAAAGAATAAGGTGAAAACAAAGAACACAATACATGATGCTACAACACATACTATAGAGTAATAAAGAAAAAACAATTCTTGAGAAACAAAAAGTTTTAATGATCAGGGACCTTGGAAATAACAAAATAGGAAACTATCAGAGCACAGTGGAGGGTTGTACATGTAAAACGGGCCCATACGGGCACTTTTTTTAAAAAAAAACTGTTTTCAGTTTCCTTTGGGACAGACGAAATAGAAATGGCGCCTAAATTACACTTACCCTTAATGCACTACGGACGTACATACCGACATGCTAAACCGCTTAAATTTAAACCAGCATAACAAACACAATACAGTATATCGCCGACAGAAATAATTTATTTCCATATCATAGCGGCCAGTGAGGTACACACTATTGCAGTATCAACATTCAAACCGAAGCAGAATCGTAGCACACAAATACTCACGCTCGCACCGCTGCACTTCCTGGTCCGGCAACTTAACGTATCCCGGTGGAAACGCGAGCAATGGGAGAGCTCTGTTTTTATGTTCCACCTTGGGACAGGGGAAACTTGTGTTTCCTTTTTAATTTGGGTGGGTGCGCTAAGTGAGGTCAGGTGACGTCTCTGCCTCACAGTACACATACAGTTAGAAAAACAATAAAATACACTACAAATGATAGAAGACAGAGTATTGCAGAGTATGCTGCCTATGTAAGTTGACATTGTTTGATTCCTTTGCTTTTCCTCTTTATATGTAAGTTGACGTTGTTTGATTCCTTTGCTTTTCCTCTTTAGGACAAGAAGCTCATGAAGGCGTTGTTTGACGTGTTGGCTCATCCACAGAACTTTTTCAACTACACAGCTCAAGAATCCAGAGAAATGTTTCCTAAATCCTTTATCCGCTTCCTGCGTTCCAAAGTGCTGAGATTCCTTCGCCCTTAAAAAAGTTTTTGCTGGTTCTCTGGATTTTAAATCACTGGCTTATATTGGATATTGGTTAAGGCAACTGGTTATTTCCAAATGTCACTTTTGCAAAACAAAAGCAAAACCTACTGTCTTTATATTGATGAAGAAGGTTGAAGACCCTTGATCTAATCTTTTCAAGAAATGCATAACTGAAGCTTTAAGTGAAGAAAATCATTTGTGGAGTGGCATTGGAATAAGGTGAGATCAATTGCAGGTTTTGGCCCTTTCTGTAAATCTTTTAATTATTAACAGCAAAACATTACATTCACCTGTAGGTGAAACATCACTGTTTAAGGCACTTCATGCCAACACATGATCTGTTTCTTACAGAACTGTGGCTGTGAGTAATAATTTTTACCAAACAGTCATGCTTTACACTGACCATCAGTGATAATTAGGTGACCAAATAGATAACTTAGTCAACTATTACAGAACAGAAAAAATAACAACAAAAACAAAAATGTTTCTTGAAAAAAAGCCCTATACAAGAAGTAGTGGCACCACAAAAGCAATTATTTTGATCAATATTTTGTATATGATGTAAATAGTTTTAGGTGAGATGCTAATTTGTTGTAGCAGCTTCATTCATTTTCAAAGTATAGCTTTGGTGCAATGCTGGTGGCCTTTGTATTTTTAACACACCAAAAGGAGCGATGTCGGTTTTGTACATCATTGACACATCAACTGCTTCAGCAAAATTAAAACATTACACATGAGTACATTGTGTACAATGAACTATCAACCAAAGAGAAATGATTGATGTGCAGACAGTGATGTGCTGCCAAAACCTAAACACAATGTTAAAGTCCATGAAACGTCCTGTAAAATAGAATTATGCTGTTCACTTGTCTTAGATGATACATGTATGTATATTTTTATGGATTTGTACATCTAATATGCTGTAAATAAAGATAGGAACGTTATTATATGCTGTTGTCTCCTGTACTCTTTCTTTTTAACACTAAGGAGAACTACATGGCGCCATTACATTCAGTTATCTATCATACGACTGCTTTGTCGGAGCAGGTAAACTCGTCAGCACATGAGTAAGAAACAGTGTTACAAAATTTCACCAACGATCCCATTGTTGTTTTCTTATGCTCTAGAGATTAAAAAACAGCAGCTCATTGTAGATACAAATGTAGAGTGATATTCATTCCATATCTCTTTGCTATTGTAATAACATTAAAATTCAAATCCAGGGGGAAGGGATTAGGTGAAAACACATTTACATTTTAAGAAAAAACATATTTCCACTTCCCACCACGACGGGGGACACAATCACCAGTGTGTAAGAACCAACAGGCTAGACGTTTCTATTTCTTCTCATGTTCTACTGGGCTTTGTTTGGGTTTTAACTGCTACTCTGCATCCTTTAAGTTGTTTTACTGCCACCTGTTGGGTTTATTTTCTGTGAAAAAAATGTAGAAAGAAAAATACTGACAGATGACTGAAACACCACACGCTTTATCAAATGGATTTTCATGATATTCTCATTGTTCTTATATCGAATACATTTGAACGTTTTGCCAGATTTGGATATCCAAGCAAGTCTGTAATAGCTACCGTAATATCTCGTCCACCAATATTTATGCTATGGATGAACTTAATATTCTGTCGTTGCCATGGAAAGCTTTCAAACATACCACCGCCCAGTATGCGCGCAGCTGTGACAAAAACACCGAACGCCTTCGCCGGAAGTTGGAAATCACCTGCCAGGAAACAGAGGCTGTTTACGTCTGAATTAGCCGGGGTGCTAACGTTGGCAGATATTAGTAGTGTATACTCCTAACTGCGAAGTATTTTCAATTAAAAGTCTGTTTTTTGAAAACTGAAAATCGGAGGTACACTGATAATGAAGACTCTCTTTGTTCTCGAAGCTATATTTTTGGCGTGTTTTGTGCTGTTAAGCCAAGTGACAGCAAAGGTAAGGCAAATGCTAGCTGCGGAAGAGAGTAGTTAAATTTTGCACAGAGAAACTCATCTCCCCTTTGTCATTTGAACTCATAAACTCGCCTTCAAATATCAAATATAAATGTCAAACGACAGAGTCGCTATAGCAATTTAGCATAAGCGTAGCTAATGGTAAGCTAATACGTCATTGAACGACGTCTTGCTAAAATTAAATCAAATATATGACAGTAAACAGTACTGCAAGGTAAATTTTACATTAAACAGAACTGATTGTTTTAGTTCCCGACGAACTGACCCCGCTTACTATGTTATTAATAGCTACAGTCAGTGTTCAGGACTTAAAATTTTCAGTTAAAACGATAGAACCAGAAGTACTGGTTCAACTGAGAAATGAAGCCAACACAACTTACTCATACGATAATAATAATATATTTCTTATTTTGCAGCTAATAGTAGTTTTGTAGCTGCCATTAAAGACAATAAATATACATAATACCGAATTAAATAGAAACTTACTATGCATCATTTAAAAAGCTCAAAGTTTAAAGGTGGTTTCTATTTTAAAATAATTAATTTGACAAGAAAATATAACTGATATAGTTATATAGTAGTTACAGATTATCAATTAGGAATAAATAGGTACATGCTTCGAATGAGTATACATTATATGCACATCAATGTAAGATAGTAGTAATTATAGTTAGTTATTTAACAATATTATAAAAAAACAAAACTTACTGGTCGAACTGAAAACATTTTTTGCAGTTGTAATGTAATATTCAAGTTTTTGGTTTTGAAACCTCTGTTTAAAATACATTTTAGTTGCCCCTCATTTTAATTTATCTCCATTAATGTGTTAATTCTAATACATTAGTCTTGTAATTCATTCAATACTAATTAGTACAATATTTGGTTTTACATGACAGAGAATAAAAAGAAAGGACAAATCGTGTTTGTTTGTTAAATTTCTCCACAGTTAATCAGAAAATTAGACCCAAATCTTATATGCAATCCTTCCACAGAATTCTGAAGACATCCGCTGTAAATGCATCTGCCCACCATACAGAGATATCGAAGGGCAAATCTATAAGCAAAATGTTTCACTCAAAGACTGGTATGTGTTATTACACTTTATATCTTCTGATCCAGATCCATATCTTCTTTGTCTACCAAGTTTTTTGATGTTATCTCTTTGTTTTTCCTGTTTAAGTAACTGTCTACATGTAGTGGAACCTATGCCTGTGGATGGAAAGGATGTGGAGGCTTACTGTTTACGTTGTGAGTGTAAATATGAGGAGCGGAGCTCAGGAACCATCAAGGTGATTTCACACAAATGTGAGTTGTGACTGATTTTGTGCTATTTTTTAAACCAGTCTTCTCTCTGTGTCTTTAGTTCACCATCATCATGTACCTCTCCATTCTGGGACTGCTGCTGTTCTACATGGTCTACCTGACTCTCCTGGAACCAATGTTAAAGAGACGTCTCTTTGGACACTCACAGCTTATCCAAAGTGAAGATGAAGTTGGAGTATGTGTCTCTACCACTACTTTAGCTCTACAGCGGATAATCTTTTACACTTATAAACTGACAGGAGCTCTGCTCCTCCATTTACATAAAAACAGGTTTGCCTGCTTTGTAACCACAAGAATTTCATTATGTGTGTAAATAACCTCCCTTTGAATGTGATACTATAATAGATTCAGTCATTGCAGGTAAAATGTAGCACTCCCTGCAAAGGTTTTGCGTCAGGTAGGTGCATGGAATTGGGAAAGTGTTTTTAGTGCTGTGTGGTTAACAGCTCAGATTTCTCTAAATACCTCTAAATATTCATGTACATATAAGACAACATTGGTTTATTTTGGCAAAGTCTTTGTTGCAGCAAACTCACAGTTTATTACAGAAACAAGTTCAACCCTAAGCACAAGTTTCAACACGTTTTTCCTTGTAAGAGAATATCAAATCTAAACACTGGGTGTGTTGATTGCAAAACAAATCTCTGTATCTGGATTGTAGATACATCAGAAATAACTGAACGTTTTTGGTTTAATGTGACTGCAGTGGGTTAGAGGACATTAGCCAAGGAGTTGGACTGTTATCCATCTCAGGACAGATAGCATCATTGTCCGCCCGTGAGACAAAGGCTGACAGTTGATGGGGGAAAAAACACTGTTGTCATGTTTTATAGATTTCTTCATATTAGATAAAAACAACATGAAATTTAACACAAAATAAAATCAAAGAGTTAAATGCAAGATTTACAACCAGAGTTTGAAGATGAAGAATGGTAAAAAAAATAATGCCTACATGAAATAATAAATGAAGTGTGAAGTCTAACTCTGGTGAACGCCCAAATGTGCCTAGAGCAAGATGGTTGCATCTGATAAATAAATAGAGTGACTGGAATTGGAATGTGATTCGGCTCCAGGGATTTGATCCTTACAATCAGTTGAAATGTTTTAATTGTGTCTAATCTTTACTGGCCCTCACATTTGTTCATCTCTGTGTTTTTCAGGACCAGCAGCCTTTTGCTAATGCTCACAACGTGTTGTCACGTTCTCACTCTCGACCAAATGTGCTGAACAAAGTAGAGCATGCCCAACAGCGCTGGAGGAGGCAGGTCCAGGAACAGCGGAAATCTGTGTTTGACCGCCACGTTGTTCTCAGTTAAATTGCCCTGTGATCAAGACTAATGATGAATGGGAGAGGGGAAAACACTGTGACAGAGCTCTAAATTTGTATCATCCCTCCCCCCCACCCCACCCCCATTAGTTGTGGTTTGTAACTCATCAAGTGTGATTCCTTGGTGAACATGATGAAATAAGTCCCTGGCAGATGTAATGTCAGAGCAAGAAGCTTTTAAATCTGCAGGCAGCACAATAGATTACAGTCAATTCATTTTCTTTCCTATTTTTCTTTTACACAGTCTTGGATGAAGAGTGGTTTGCCAAATGCAAAATTAACTCTCTTTCCTGTAGTCTAATTTGCAGATGTGCCAAGCCACCTGAGAATTGCAGTGATAGATTCCGTGGCCAGGACTAATACATTTGAGAGGAAAAAGCTAAACTTTCCTAGATTTTTTTTATAACATCCTTAAACTCTTTCTTGCTGCTCTCAGAAGGAGGTAAATTGGTCCAAAGCTGACTTTCAATTTTACAAGCCAAACTGGCGTGGAGAGAAGAACATCCAGATGTTGGTGGGTGCCACATATCATGACTGGATAAGTGCTCTCCTGGCTGCAGCAGCAATGACTTGTTAGCATGTTGCTGGTGGGTATTTTCCAGACAACATGAAAGCTAATATAATGAGGAATTTCTTCTCTCACCACAGGAGAAAAGAAACAAGTTTGAAGATATAAATCATCCAGCGTTCTCTGTAAATGCATGTTTTATAATAAATCTTTTATAAATGTGTTTTCAATTCTTTATACCTCCCATAATATTTAATGTCTCACAAAGTGGTAAGAATCCCATCAGTTAAGGCATTACTTTAAATCTAATTGTATGAATTAGTTTTTCTGAACCTTGCAGAAACCAATACCTTTTTGTCAGTGATGTCAGTGTTAGTGTCTGTGACGTTGATCCTTATTGAAGGTCCTACTGAAGCCAGTGTCCTATTTATATGTAAACCCTTTGTTACTTCTTTATGCTTAATCCAACACCTACACTGTTGTGGTGCATTCGTGTTTGTCTGAGCTCAAAGAAGTTATTTTGTGAGTAGCTGGTGTTGGTACATGAGCAGGGTGAATGAAGGAAATGTTCTTAATTGCTGTACTAAAAATGTGACAACTTTGAAATAAACATATATAATGTTTGTGATTTACATGTCTGTTTCAGTCTGAGTCTGAGCTCAGTTCAAAGGGTCTTTCTTGCAGACACTGAGCCCTTGGTGTGTGCTCCTTTTATACCACATTCCGACCCCCAAACCTGGTAAAGGTTTACAAGTGTGTTGTGGACATCCACCTTGGTATTTCTATATTGGCAACAAATATAAAGGTGTAGTAAAACATTTATTAATTAATTTATCTTTTAAAACATCATTTTTCACCATTTCATCTTAGAGCCACACAAAGAGACAGAATTATTAACATCTTAATTCTCCCTGTAATGTCCAATTATATCTTCTTTCAGCTGCTCTTTTCAGGGGTCACCACAGCAGATCACCAGACTCCATCTCACCCTATCCCCTATTTCTCTCTTACATCAACCATCTCCAAGTCTTCACTACATCACTACAACCATAAATCGTCTCTAGGGGTTTTCCTTATGAATCACTAAACATACATATTATTTTGTTTTGGTTACCAAACACCGTTGGCTCCTCCTGTTGTAACTGATAGGAATTCATTTAGTTTTTCTTATATGTTCTTCCAAAAAATAAATAAATAAATTCCAAACTAAATTATATACTGATGCTACCCCACAACCACTCGTCCTGGGGAATGTCGTCTGGCAGTCCTAGCACCTCGTACAAGACAACCCAGGCTCTTCTCATGGATTGTTCCACGCTGGTTGAATGAGACAGCCAGATCAGGGGTATTCCTGCCTATCTTCAAAAAGCTTTTGAAGGAAAGTCTTACATAAGGTGCTCTCTGAATAGCTGGGTCTCAGCTATTCAGAGAGCACCTCATGTAAGACTTTACATCGGGCACCAGTCTTATTACTACTTGTTTTTTGTGGCCACAAACTCTGAAGATAAAAAGCAGCCCAAACATCTCCAGTTCCTGTGTCCCTGATATGTTCCCACTTCCCACTTCATTCAGTAACAGAAGTCTCTGGTTGCTTTTTATGAACTCAGGCACATCTGGAAACCACTGGGAAACAGTTAAAGTCATCATTAAAACCCCGTTGAACAAAAACTGTGACTGCAATAATTTTCAGGATGTCTTCAAATGTATGAAAACAGAGATGTTCCACCAAAAAGTATCAACAAAGTGATTTTCAAAGCAGTTGCATCACTATTTCCTGTGTCCCCCATCTCGCTCTCCTCCTCTTTGCCTCTCTCTCTCTCTGTCCCTCTCTCTCTCCCTCTCCCTCTCATATACACACATTTTTCCACATGGAAAAAAAGTCAGTTTTCAGTTTGTACGGGCAGACAGCGGCACAGACTCTGGGAGAATGGATCACTGACTAAACTGTGCAGCAGCAAGAAGGAAAAGGTAGGTCTCATTTCTTTGTGCACTCTTGTCACATTAAGCGGCCAAAAGCTACCTTTTAATGCGGACCTGAAGACTTTGTAACGTCTTTAAATAATTGTGGTTGTTAAATAATTATTTTTCTTTAATTTATTCGCACACATGTGACGACAAAGTCTCAGATTATCCACAGAGAGAGATTTTTACAGACCAGATCTGTTCCATTGTTTATTCTTTTAATGGGAAGGATTGATTCTTCGCCGCTTCATTGGCTGCACTAGCAGAAATGAGCCAACAGGGTGCACCCCAGCCTTTGTGTTTGACACGCTTTGTTGCCAACAATAGAAGTTTGGCAACTTCGAAAAAAAGTTATTTACTATCTCACCTGCGTATACCTTTTCATGTTTCAACAGGCCAAACGTCAGTCAACATTTAATGTGTTTTCTTTGACAAAATGCCAAAATCACACACACAGAGACATTAATACACAAGCACAGACAAATGTATGTATACACCCAAACATAGGGATTGGTGGGTGTGTGCGACATGGCTCTTTGCTTTAACTATTATTCCTATAGACAAGCTCACAGAACTACACACCCTACCTGAATGACTAGCTAGTCTAAAATCCAAATCTGAACTGTAGCTTATAATCCAAAAACTTAGAAAAAGAACCCTAACCCAATAAAGTCTGCCTTAGTTGTTTAAGCCTTTTTTTTTCCTCATGAGGAGTTTTTCACCCGGTGGTCCTTAAAGAGTTAGTGTTTAGTCCTCCTATTTTATCTAACAATCACAACTGTCGTGCCAAACCACAGTCCTTATTTCAAACTGAATTTTAACCAGTGGGAATCCTCTGCAGCTTTGAGGACCATGCAAAATGTTCTGACCAGCAGCAGCTTTGAGTCACAATTTTGTAAGTTGGGATTTTCCAAGTGTTCGTACACAGGAATGTGCATAACTGTGCCTGGAGTCAAAGATTTGTCCTCAAAACCAAAGACATGCACACCCAGAGCACACAAAAACACTGTGTCGTGCAGACAAACAGCAGTGTGAAACATTATCCCTGTACACTGCCCGCACCTTGAAGGTTTGTGTAAATCAGTAGTCAGTCTGATGTTGTGGCTGGTCTGCAGAGAAAAAAAGAAGGTAAAATGTAACCAGATAAAGAAACAGACTGACCTTGTGCGCAGAAAAGTGTTCCTCACAATGTGCATGTGCAGCCGCAGCTATTTAAAGAATTTTTTTGGAAACAGTTATTTCACTTGGGTGGACAATGGAATTCTTAAAACACAAGGAAAATGTAGCAAAATAGTGTATGTTATCGTCTTCAGGAGAGCACCGGGTCACAAAGTCTGAGACGTCTAAGTCACGTCACACAGACAATGTTTGGTGGCCTTAAACTTAATTCATCACCAAGGATCAACCAAGTAACTTGTCTTTCTATAACATGTGATCTCTGACAACTCATTTACTATGTAGATCAACTTTCCAAACCTAAAATACGCAACTTTAAAAACTGATGTTTGATTATATTTTAAAGTAACTTTTTTGCAAATTCTTTTTGCTGGCTCCCAGCTATTTCAATCATAATTTTTAGCTAAGTTATTTTTGAATTTATTTTTAGGCTAACATGTCTAAAAAGCTCTATTTATTCTAAATTTTACTTTGTATTATAATATTTTATAATAATTATATTTTAATATTTCAGCTGTTACTTTTTAGTTTTATTTATACAAAATGCATATTTATCTCTAACATTTAGCAATATCATGCCACCATTTAACTTTTTCTTCATTTTGTGTATCTCATTTAATTAAAAATTTTTAATCTAATTTTTGTATGCTGTTTTGAATATGGAGACTTTTTTTAGTTTTGCTAACTTTCCTTTACTCATGGCCAACTTTTAATTTACTATTCTTCACTAAGTTATGTTCAAGACTCGTGGCTAACTAAATGAAATGTTTTAAAATGCTATGATTTGTTGGTCTCTCGCTTCAAGTGTTAGGGTATTTGAACGTCATTAAATCTAGCCATCATTTAAAAGTTTTGGCTTCACTGTCCCAGTGTCCCAACCCACCATGTCATCATAGTTTAAATCATATTCGTGTCATGACGTACAGCACTGTTAAACTGGTGGTCATTTTTAATGATGGATGGATTTATTCCAAATGTGACCAATAAGCTTTAAATAAAGCTAGAAAAGATGAATGAATGAACATATACAGCTTTTATTTTTCACATTTATATCCATCAGACATGTTAGTCCTGTTAATGCTGCAGTGATATAAACATGAAAGTCATTTGACTCAACTCATGGAAGTATTTGTCTCAAATTATCAAATGTGTTTGCGGTCACTTTTACCGTTTTTTTTTTTCTTTCTTTCTTTCTTTCTTTTTTAAATTGACAATTTTGTCCAACAATACAAATACTCAAAGACACAAACACTGTGGAATGTGTGGACAGTAAAAATAAAGGTCTTGGACATGAATCTCTGCTGTGTATGTGGCAAAAACCACACAAAGCTGTGGAGTAATCCCCGAGGATCTGTGAGGATTTGAAACTCACAGCGGATCTTAGTTAAATACCCGAGGTTTAGTGATTCATTTGACGTAATGAAGTGTTGTTCCACTGTGGCTGAGCAGGTGAATAATCACGGGGATGGAAAAGAACATCTCACATTTCCATCACCACGGCTCGTCCTCTTCTTTTTCTTGCTTACGATCTGTGAGGGTGTAGATGGAGTTTTATGAGGCCAGCATGGCTGTGAGGCTTCACTGGATGTTTGTGAATGAACACTCGCAGCATGTTTTGATTTAACCTTACTTTATTCTCGATGTGTCATGCCAGACAGAGGATGTGGCCTTTAATGAAAAATCCAGATGGGTCTGTAATCAATGGGGCAATGAATTCCATGAGTTAGAGCTTGGGTAATGTTCTAGTGAAACATCCCACATAAAGGAGCCAATGTCTTCATCTTTTGTGCTCGGAGAATGAGAATTTGCATTTTTTTCAGGAAGGACACCCCTTTATGAGACCTTGAAAGGTTTTGAGTGGGTGTCTTAAAAAAGCTGCACAGTGGCAAAGTTGTAGGCTTCCTGCTGCCTTGGTGGTCCCAAATGGGATACTGTCTGGATTTTTGTGACTTCCTCTGTTCTCAAGTCTTGGGAATGATAAGACGCCCCCGAGAGACTGAGAGCAGTAGGTTGATTGGACAAGTCTACTTTGGCATTTTGTTTAATGTAACTCAACAAAGCGAATCACTTCAAATGCTAAGGACTTTTTTATGTATAATCAGGGAACAAATGGCCTTGTTTATTCATTTATTTATTCAAAACAACAGGAGCCTGTTCTCTGTCTATGTGCGCTTGTGTTCTGTTGTGTTTCTATTAACCGTTCTGTTACCCTCAAATGTTCAAACATCTTGACCCCAAGGAACATGACTGTATACAATGTATATGCATACAGGACATCAAAAAAATGACACTGTGATTCAAACTACAGCAGTTATAACTATAAAACACTCCATGGCTCAAAACTAGTCAGAATGGCAAAAGAAATAGCTTTAAAATAACAAAAAGAAAGCTAATAGTTAGCCCAGAAGTCACTAAACATTAAACAGGATATATAGCAAAAAATGTCTAGCCAGCCCCACGATGAGGAAAATGTTGAACAAACACAAACTGAAAGTTTTTGTTTAAAAAGTCAATGTCTTGATGATTAATCAGGTTTAAATTCTCTATACATATTAAATATTCAAGGTAGTGGTGATATATGACAAAGTATCTACACAGTAGTAGAAGTACAGCTACAAGCTGCACACACAACGTTACATCTGTCAGAGACGTGAACAGTCACGTCACCTACAATAACTGTCAGTTAGACACTGGGTGTGGATGAGCTCCTCCTTCCTGTCTGCTGCTCTGCTCCACCTGTAAACACTTGTCAGGTGTCATGAGATCACGGTGTAACACTTGTGCTTCACTGCTGCAGATAAATAACCACTGGAGGTCAGCAAAAACAAGGTGTCCATTGTTTCCTTCAAGGTCATTAGTAGAAAATAATTTTTCCTTATTATTATTTCCTTACTGATTTTTACGGATATGTTTATTTCTGAAATTATTTGACATCAGACAGCAGGTATTTTTAATAAACATATTGGGACAAACCAACTATTTTTAAATGTTATTCAGTGATCTATTGTTGACAGAATCATCCTTTACAAAAACTATTATGGTACATTTTTGAATGTTTGCGGCACACATGTGAAAGTAATCCTTTCCAGGGTTGCTGGGTGGTTACAGAGATTACCTAGTCCATAAACTACAAGTAAAAAACAAAAAAACAAAACCCAAAAACAACGTTTCACAGAACATGCAAACCTTCTGTATGTTTATTTTTAAATGTAAATGACAGCATTCTCTACTCTTAACAAACTAGCAGATTTTTTGTGAACACACCTCGGGGTCTGGATTATGTCTAATGTCGGGGTCCAGGCCTTTGACCACACTATTGGAATTGCTGTGTTAGTGCTACAAGGTTTGAAGACTTTTAGAATAGAATACAAATGTGGATTATAATGTATTGTTCACTTCTTTTTTCACTTAAATACTTTATTCTCCCAAATGTACAGTGATAAAGTTGCATCACAACTATTTTGCCTAATTTATGCCATTTTATTTATGACATTTATTATTATTTATTATCTTTTTTAACATCTCATTCTCATTTACCTTATCCTAAAACCACTTTTACACACAATATTACAAATTACAAATGTTGATCCTTGTAACTTTATGACTCATCAGCACCACTTTGCTCTTCATATTATGACTTTATTCTTATACATTTACATGTTTTAATTCTCCTAAATTACAACTTTATCTGACGTTTTTCTCATTAAGACTTTATTCTCTTGCACTTTTTAAAAATCCTCATAACTTTAAGACAGATTTTCTCTTATATTACAATCATTTCTCAGAATTTGACACTGTTATTCTCATAAATGTTCAAATGTATCCTCGTAATTTTGCTTGTTTTTCATATCATGACTATACACCATTGAGAGCAGCTGTTATTTTCTTTCAAAATTGACAAATTTATGAACTCCTTTGTGATACTTGTTAAAAGATATACAATAGATTAATAAGTAATCTACCTTTAATTAGGAAGTGGGTTGTAAACCATGGCTGTAGTTTGAGTAAAGACATGTATGTGTGGGTGAAATGTATTCCTGTTGACCAGTAGTGGAGGAGTTGGCCACAACAGAACAATGTGCTGTAGAGCTGCTGCAACATGGTTTTCTGCAGCTGCCATTCAGCAGTAGCTGAATAATCATCTGCTCTCCTCGGTCCAGCATGACAATAAACAAGAGGGAGACGTTTGAATAGTTGTGTGAATGTCTCTGTGTGTTTGGGGGACAGAAAGGGAGGAGGCTGGAGGGAGGGAGGTGGGCAAATCCTCAGCCTGAAGTGAAGAGAAGGGGGAGAAAAAACTGCCCATCTCCGTGGCATGGCAACAAGTCCTGCCTCCCCTCCTGTGAAAGAGGAGGCAGGCTGGAGTTTTTTTTTTATTTTTTTCTTCTCGGTTTTTGTTGGAAAGACATGAGTGGGAGTTTTTTGAGAAGCGCAGGTATCCGGCACAACCAGCCAACCCGTTCCCAAGGCGTAAACCAAACAGGATTTCTACTTCTGAGGGATTATAATCTGAAAAAAATGACAGCGGCCATGGATGTGATCAGAAAGTCGGAGGTAAAAACAAAAACATTGAAGCCGCTCTTGTTGATTGAACCGTTACCGAAGTGCAGGCTTCTCTAACAGTGGGCGACGCGTTAATAACCTTAAGTATTGAATTAAATCAGTGTAAGAAATGTCACGTTTTACGTAAACAAGCGCAAGGTGCGTTCAAATGCAGCTCTGACGTTCATGTGACCATATTAGGTCATTGACATGTTATTAGGGTGAAGAGCAGTTTCTTAGTTTCTTAGAGAACACCAGATCCTGGCTCTGTTTGTACGGTGGAGTTTTTGTTATCTCTTTAGGAAGAACTTCGCTGTTTTTAAACACTGGCTCTTCCTGCAGCAGCAGCAGTTCTCATGGGAAACAAAAGCCCGGTCCTTATGAGGCAGAACCTCAGTTCAGTTGCTCTGGTGAAAGTTAGCATGAAGATGTGAAGTGTGGTTTGGGTTAGGTTGAGGCTTACACATTAATTGGTCCGGTCCGAATGAATGGAGATCCACACAAATGCAGAAGTTGTGTTTGTGCACCGGTGGACAATTTTACTTTTTTATTGCGCATGCCAAAAGCTGCAAGTAGTCCAGTTTATAGGTATGTGAATTGTGTATGGTGTACAAAGAGTCATTAACTCTGCAGTAAACAGTTTCATGACTTCATATATGCAAGAACAGCCAAACCACAACAACAACAACAACAACAACAACAACAACGTCAACAATAACAGCAAAACTAAGCTGTATTCAAACATTAACTGTTGCCATATATTTGTGTGTGATTTAATTTAAAGTGATAATATTTAGGGATACTGTTTTTATACACAACTGTTGCCTGTTACTGTGTTACTGCTAATATTGTAATACTGAACTTTCTAAAAAAAGATACGATATTATATAATATTAATAACTGATTATTTTATATAATTTGATGTATTGAGTTGCAGATGAAAAAATAAAAACAGAATGGTGAGTTAGAAAGGCTAAAAGTTTGCTAACTGTTTCACAGTTCCACAATAGCCCACTGCTCCGATCAGAAGTGTTGTCATCAAATCCTCACATGGACAATTTGAAAATAAAGCAAATTTTTTTTTAATACTTTTAGCCCTAATAGCCAAAACCTGCGTGCACATAAACTCACTCAAAAACGTCTACTACGAAAAATGGAACATAAAAATACACAAATATATAATTTTAATAGAGGTTGAATAAACCAGATAAGAACATGTAGATAAATTATGTTTGATGGGTTTGAAGCCCTGGGAAATCTTTTCCACGTCTTTACTACAACCCTGGGAAACCCTGCTTCTCTGAGGCCCACTCGTATTTTTATCCTAACTGTTTATAGAAAATACTTTCAGTGTACATCTGAAATCCTTATGGTTTTATCTGACCAGGACTGGGCTTCTTCATCTCTTCTCCCTGGAAACTTTATTGTCTGAGCCAAACAATGACACGCAGTGATGCTGCTGGCAGCGTAGGGCTATAAAGGAAGTTCTTTACTTACTTTCTCTAATGACTTTGGCCTCTCTCCAGGTAGTTTGATGCTGAGATGTGGTAAAGTTTAGATACAACTAAGATTTTCTATAACACTCAGGTATGCTGCCTGGTTGAGCGTTGTTTGAGATCGGAGTACCAGATGAATTAGGGGAAAACATGGCTTTACCTTTGTTTTTAGTAACACCAATAATAACCACTAAGTAGACAATGTGCTTCCTGTTTACAGAAGCATACACCCAGCCAGAACACGAGAACAGCCATGTGATATTCATTTTTAGGTGTGTTATTATAATGTTTTTTTATGGATGTAATGGTTTGTTATGGAATATGGAATATTTCTGATGTGAGTTGTTCATGTTATTAACTTAAACATAATGCTCAGAGACAATTAATTCTAAAGCTCTCCTGGAGATAATGACCAAGAACAAAGAGAATGTTCCCTTTGATACCAAGAAATGTAATCATCTCTCATGGAAGCCTTTGAACTGAACTCGTACTGTACACGTACACATTGCTCCATATGAAGGTAAATCAACATCATTGGTTTGTGGACAAAACAAAACACGAAACGATGCTCAAAACATTTTTTTATGTATATTTACTAAACCAAATAACTAGTTGATCTGGTCACAGATAAAAACAGATCCACAAATCTCATGTCTCATTGCACCTATACCTGTATTTCAGATCAGTTGTGTAAATTCTGGTTAAGATATCATCTAATGGCAGAGACAAAGTGTTTGCTTTCCTACGAGTGCTGAATATTGTAATAAGGTAGCTGAGCTGAGGGTCAAGTGCAATTCAGTGTGACCTTGCATTCCTGTTCATGCAATAACAAAAGAACACAGTTATGGAATTTAATGGTATCCACCACAAATATGTTCACGTTGCCTTGAACCGATTAAACTCAGTGATCTTAACTCCACCGTAACCATTTGGTTGGTGATGAATCTATTGCAGTGCATGTGCAGGTGTAGTGAGTTTGATAAATATATGTTATTGAACATTTACTTTGTGAACAGATAAAATAGAACAGAGCATTAGCCAAATACAAGCGTATATATAAAAACAGTAATTCTATCATGGACAAAAAAGAGTTGATAGAACCAAAGTTATTTATAAAAACCTTCCATTGATTCCTAAAAGTTTAATTTTCCATTCACTGGGGAACTTTGAGTTTGACGTTTCTCCTAAATGCTTGTGTATGTGTGAACACGATGTTCTGAAGGCGCCTGTAATAATGTTATGATCGTCCTCCGGGCTCTTGAGTGTAACTTGTTTTTCTATTGAAACCTTATTGAGCATAACAATTTGACGGCGAATAATTGCAGTCAATTGCAGAAAATTGTGCAATTACCAGCAGTAAAAACATTTGAAACAGAAATGTATTTTTGTACTTTTCTTCATTTGGTTATTTTGTGTCAAAGTTAACTGACACCAGTTTAATACGTCCTACTGCATTTCAGATAGATGTGTCTGCTTTCCATGTGTTTTCTTCTTCAGCTGTACAGCTTCAGATGCAGATTTTATCTATCTTGCATTTTTTCTTGTCTACTTTAAAGAGAAAATATGGCATGACTACTAAGAAAAAAAGCTGACTTAGCTGAAAAGGTTCCAACAAGTGAGATCCACGGTACCTGGTAAACCGAGCCTTATATTCAGAGCAGGGTGAACCATGTGGGGCTAATTATTCAGACATAACTCGGCATCCAACAGCCAGTAGCGTCAACCTTGGTGGTTTTCTCTTACAGAGCTATGGAATTTGTGTGAACAGAGCCATGAACAGGATGTACACTCACTAGAGAAGAAAATGTGATTCTTCTCCTTGTGATTTCCAATTTTATACTGATTCTTTTGCATAGTATACTTTATTTAATAGCACATATACCAGTAGATTAATCACAGAGAATAAAATTTCGGCATGCCTGTTATTTCCTAATCAATCATGTGTTCTGTTCTGCCAATTAATACATGTCATTTGTTTTAGAGACATTTCCAGATGTTTCAGCCCATATCTCTAGTTCCTTCAAATTTGTTCTACTGGTGTGGGCCCTGGTCTTCAGTCAGCACCACAACACTGATTTTCTAATGGATTATAGTCGGATGTTTGTGCAGAACATTTTGGTCTGTAAAGGCATTTCTTTAACCACCCAGATCTTGTTACTTTCCACACTACATTATTTGTCTTTGAAATGAATTAAAATTGTTTTTATCTGTTTTCTCAAATTTCCTTTTGCACATTTCACTTACTGTTTTATTTGAAGTGCAGCGTCCTGACAACCTCACAACTCTCTGCGCTTATCACTGCCACTTTTGCCATCTGCCATAATTATAATTATTGTAGCAATGACATTGATCAGTGTGTGTCAGTGAGTTGTGACAAGTGAAGAGAAATTTCAGTTATTTTTGCTCATGTTACATTTTATATATTTATTTTGCCCCATTGGTTCTGTTTTTTTGTGTTTTGTTTTTAATATGAACAAATGTAATTAAGCAGTTAATGAATGACCATCCACTTAGATATCATGAATTGCTCGTGCTTTTACAGGCTGAATATTCAATGCCAGGTGCTGAGCCAGTGCATATTTCAATGTGGACAAATAAGTCTCAGCAGTGTGTCCAGGTGTTACTGCCACAGACCTGTGTTTTCTTCTTCCATTTCAAAACACACTTTAAAAAAACAAAATTCAGCCACAATAGTGCATTCCTACGTGGACTGGAGTGTGTGTTAGATGATCTGTCAAATAGGAGATACTGTATTTTAGCTAATTAAGACTTGACAGATGAACACATGCAAACCACACACACACACACACTCCCTCTCACACACATTCACACGTGATAAGCCTTTTTGACCTCCTCTCTCAAAGTTTTATTGTACACAAAGGGCCCTTTGACTCCAGTCCACTCTAGATCAATGGAGACAATGTCGTCGTCTCATTCGATCGTGTTGTTGAGCAACGTTTCTGTCATTTTCATGTTAGTTTCAGTCATTTGCAATCCTCCATACCCAACTATCGAAACCATTACATCATGTTTGAAAGGTTTGCACACACGTCACAGCTAATGATTTCAAAGCCCATCATTTCCTACTGTGATCACCAGCTCCCCTGATATTATTCTGTCATTGTAAAGTTAAATTAACACTCATCAAAAATGTGACTGTAAATATTTACAATAACAGCTGTAAGTTAGTTCAGATGATGCCAATTCAATTTCCCTCTGTACAAGCATGTCCCTAAAAAAAAGACTGGGAACACAAAACAGGTTTTGGACACACCAGGTACTGGTTTCTGCTAAAATGGCACGTCTCCTTTTCTTCAGTGAAAGCTGATGTTGCAATCAACTTTAGCATTTTTTATTTCCACACACTCATTCCCTCTAAAACTATACTCAGCTGCTGCTTGTCTTACATAGTTAAGCAAGAATTGTTTTTTTAATATCCTGCATCACTAGTTGTGAGTAATAGGGAGATGTTTCATCAGAGTAAAACTATTGTAAAATCTTTGGTTCAGACAAGTGGGAGAGAGTGAGTGATGAATGTGGTTGAGTGCACTTAAAAGGTACAGTGGAGTTCCTTACAAGTGGTTCACAGCCTGTGATTTTGTTGAGGGCGATGCTATCAGTCCTCAGGAAGTCTTGGTGTTTACACTACAGAGTCCGTGTTGGTCTCCTTTGACCTATTTCTGAACAACATATTATTAAATATAACAAGGTTGTGTTGAACAAACTTGAAATATTATTGAGTCATGAGTATTAAACAGTCTGAACTTATTAGATGCTTCTATTCTCACAAGTGGACTTCTTGGCCTTGGGTGTGAATTCAAGTGGACTGTGACTGTAATGGATCTTTTTTCACAATCCTTCCCAGCAACTCTTAAATCAGATTGGCAGCAGGAGAGGATAGCTGTAACCAGGACAGGATGCAATCACACTTTGCGTTAGATGAAAATAATGATGCATGCCCGCTCTTCTTAATATACTCCACAGTAACAGGAAATAGCTGANGTAACAGGAAATAGCTGACAGCAGGAGTCCTCCCTCTCTCTCCTCGTATGTCTCTCTACAGGTTTCAGCTTCACTGCTGGTTGGCTAGGTTCTCCATACAACAACTTCCTGTAAACAAGTCACGCTGCCAAGCAGCCTCCCATCCTCCACCTCTGATCCCTATGGGATCTCAATCTGACCTCTTTGTGCACCAGAACAATTGTTTTGAGTTTTCCTGAAAGGGTCAATACATTTTAATAATACGATTTCAGGGGTAATGGCCTTCAGAATAAGGGCTAATTTTAACTGTCCAATCAGGAATTATGTGTTATATGATATGGCTACCAGGGCCTAGGCATTAATTATTTCATACATTTAAAATCATAGAATCCAATAAATGTCAACTCCTCTGTCATTTTCAAAGTCTGTTTGAAGTGTATGCTTGATGCTCACTGCCCCCTGTCTGTATTTTCATTTTGTCAAACATCTATGTTGTTGATGTTTTCTTTGTGATAATTTGAAGAGCAAATTTATACAGTCAAACTGTATTTAACTCTCAAACCATGGGTAATATTTGCCCATGTTGGGTGCTGTGAGGTTGTGACAATAACAGTTCAATCATTTTCATGTCAGTTAGTGATTGTGAAATGCAGCTACAGTTGGATGCTTTGAGATCTCATAGTTGTACTTATTTTCTCTATCCGCCAACTACTGTTGACACAAAGTTTAACCGCCCTAAAACCAAAGTGTTGGGTAACATCAGTGTCCCTGTTCAGACTAATGGCACTCCCTCCCACTTCAGTCTTTTGCTGTGGTCGTAAAAGAATGCAAGTCATCTGATGGAGACACTGGATTAATTCATCACAATCAGTATGAACTCCAACTATGTAAAACAGAATTTACTGACTACGGTCAGTGACACTCCAAGTAGTAGTAGCTTCAGTGTGCAAGCTGTGTTTAATGGAAATGGAAATTTAAAACATTTTATGTGTGTTTGTCCACTAGGTGAGTGGGTGGGCACGAGACCAAGATGACAGCCAACAAGAGTGCGAAGGCTGTGCCTCGTGCAGGAGGAGGTAAAACTCCACGGGACGCCCCTGAAAGGTCAGTGACACTGGGAGCAGTTTTAGTTTGGCCTCTCTCTCTACATCCAGTCATGTTTCCTGTTGTTAGGATCATTAGCTTTTAGCAACATATTTGTTATGCTTTGTTATTTATGCTCCCGGACGGGTTCGTTTGTTTTAGTCTTTTCTTGTAATTTCACTCATGCCCAAGAATGTCAATCATAACATGATATTTAAGAAGTTGTGAGTACAATCCTACATCCTGGACAAGGGCCCCACACATCTCTGAACTGTGAGTAGTGCGCTGGAGCTTGTGTGAGCATGTTGAGATGTGACAGTGTCCTGCTGGCGGACAAAAAAAAGCATTTTGAATGATATGTGATATCTACACTGCTCTTTCTCACACTGTATCATCCTGCAAGCTCTGATTTTATTTTAACAGAATGTGTAGCCACAGGCAGGAGGCAGCTGCAGAGTCTGTGTTAGTGTGTTGTATTGATTTAACAGCAATGGTCTTATTAAATTATACATTTGGCATAAAGTTCATTTTATTATAGAGCTGACATTGGCAACTTGAAACATGTCAAATTAGATTTCTTTAAATAGGTGACAAAACTGGAGAGGGTCTACTTTACATTTATTTTGCATTTAGTTTTGTCTCTCCTCAAGCACTGGGACCAAGCTGAGATCCATTAACGGACTTAATGGCATCATCATACTGTGGCTGGATTGAAACATTTAATTTTTTTTGACAGAAAAAAAAAGTGATAATATTAGAATATACTTTTGCCCTTGTTACCACTCTTTTTTTCTTCATCCTGCTCAGTGAAAGGAAGTGGATTGTGGTTGACGTGCCATAGAAGCCTGACTAAAAGCCAAGGGGCCCAAGCAGTGGCTGGCACTTAGCTTCATGTACAGTACTGAGCGTGTGGCCAGTCCAGAACTGGGTTTATTTTTACGTTTATTTTTATTTTTAAGTATGATGTAGACCACTTCAAAACCCTGCAAGTCCAAGTCCTAAAAGACATCATTTCTGCACACATTAGCTTTTATTTCTTCAATTAAGAATAAACATAGAGATCAATATTAATCTTCAACACAGCTTATAGAGAAATATTTATCGTATTTTAGGGTCTAAACGATTTACCAACCAAAGCACTTTGCAGCAGATTTGCTGTTATTTCCCCAGTGTTGATCAATAAAGTTTATTATTATTATACATTTTGTTACAGCATTATATTGCAATATGACAAAATATAAAAACATTTATTGCAGAATTTAATCTGGAATGAATTCTCACATTTTCGTATAAATATTTTCTGCACAACAATTTATTTGTTTTTCTTGCTTTAGTTATGGTCTAGAAACAAAATATCTTTGGGGCTTCCTTTTTTAAGGTTTTCTTTGAATGTTGAGACCGCCTACTGATAAGGTACATTTATAGAACTTTACATTTTTACACCATCATGTAAGAGTGCAATATTGAAATGTGAAATAATTATTAACCATTTCAGATGTCATTGACGGAAGGTTTCTATTCTATGGCAAAGATCTGTCTATTTTTGTCCAAAATGATTGGCAAATTCCAAACTATATTGTATATTCTAATTCTGGTACATGGTGTGCTTCATACTTGAGAATACTGAAGTATAAGTGAAAATCTCTAGACATGAGTCTTCATGTTGAGATATTTCCAGAGAGTGGTAAGGCAGGGTTCATCCATCATACTTGGAGTTTGCAGATTGGTCTCTCTGTTGTAAAAGTTTCCCCACCCTGGAGCAGGAGGAATGATTCAAGGGAAGGGCAGATAGGTGTGAAGCGTGATCTGTCCCAACCTGCAATGTTGGATCACAGTCTGCAGCTCTTAGCTTCCTCCTTCTTCTATAACGCTTGTTATTCTAACCAGTGTGTTATGACATCAGCTCTCCCTATGATTCACTTTCGCAATAGTTAGTCAGATTTTAAGTCATGCCAAGGTTTCTGAAGACAATGAGTGGAAAGTTGACTGGAAATGATAAAGTTTGCTTCTCTGTGTGTGTACGTTACGCTCATCGGTGCAGTCAGAGGTGAGAATGGGACTACTTAACAGCTAGAGTCACATAGCAGTACGAATAAGAAAACGCTCTGAGGACCAGAAAGGAGCAGTGAGACTTCCAGGTAAGGGCGCTGTAATAAATTTGTGCTTTCTGTGTGAGGTCCACCATGATTCTTCTCATGTGGAAAAGTCCTCAGTGGCATTTTGATGTAGTCTGTGTTTCCTTTGGCTACCATTTTAATCCCATGCTGCCAAAGACAAAATACTTTCCTGTGGTTTTTCTTAATAAGTGGCTCAGGTTTTCATTCAGCCTTTGAACGTGGAAGTGAATTAAGAATTTTCTGTTCAGGCTGCAAATTTGAATTCCACCTTAAATTACCCAATATGGTTAATGTTTGGACATTTTCATCACACCTTTGTCTGTCTGTCTTCTTTTAGGTGCCGGTCCACATCCCCGTGTCCTGTTCTCTCAGCCAGTCAGGGTCATCCGCCTGTCTTCAGCGACAGTGAGAACTCTGGGAAACAGAGTAAGTACGTCCGCACAGACGGCAGGTTCCTGGTACGTGCTGGCTGGAACAGCAAGACAGCGAGCCTGTGCAGCAGTGCAAGACTCAACAGTGATGGTAACTCCCAGGGCCGTCTGACCAAGTCAAAGAGCGTCAGCTGCCTGGACAACAGGCTGTCCATCTATAAGCCCCAAGATCAAACCAAGGAGAAACAGGGAAACCAGGAAGACAAAGAAAAACAGAGGGATTTCGTAGTTGGAAGTGGACTTAACAGTCGGCCAGTGACCTGGAGCACACTTTCACTTGGACCGTCTTCTGTTCAAAGTCACAAACGTACCCGTTCAGTAACTGGTGTACCCCCCACCACAATTCGTAAAAAGATCTCAGAATGGGAGTGCAGGAGAGTGGCTCTGCCTAGGATGAGCTTGTGTCTGGATAAACGTGGAGGAGAGTGTGTGGGGGGCAGCGAGGGCTGCCCAAGTCTGCTCTCGTCTCCCTGCAGCGAGAAAACTTTTGACTTTAAGGGAGTTCGCAGGATGAGCACGGCATTTTCTGAATGCTCTTTCTCGGAGGCCGAAGAAGGAGTTACAGACAAGGACAACCTGGGTCGCTTCCAGAAAAGGATTAGTAAAACAGAATCTTCTGGAACTTACGTACGTTCCCTGACGGCTCGGAAGGAGAAGTCGGCTGTCCTGAACAGGATACAGAAGATAGAGCAGGCTCTGAAGGAGAATCCCAGTACACCCCCTCCACGGTATCTGAGTAACTGTTATGCGCCAAACCAAACAAGAAAGAAATCTTTTGTGATAGGAGACGACTTGGACAGCACATGCACCAGTAAGCGCAGTAGCATTTGCTCAGTGGCCACGGAGCCAGATGTTGGGCCAGTGTTGGATAAACTTTCCAAACACAGACAGAGGTTAAGTGTGAGCTCGGCTAGGTCTGCCAGCCCAGAACCACCTGGTCAACAGGAGCCTGCTACTACACCTGTTAATCCGTTACCTAAACCCAAACGCACTTTTGAGTATGACGCCAAACGAGACCCGAAGGACATAATGCCGGCCAATGGAATATCTCCTGACAGAGTCCTTGAGTCTCCACCACCACTGCCCTCTACCCCTGCTCCCAGTACAACATGGACGGCAAAGACCACCACAGGCAGCACACCCACTAAAGTCCAGAACAGGTGAGAACTTCTAGGTCCTAAAGTAGGATAAACATTAGCAGGATGAGCTATTTACAGGAAAACCATGTGATAATAATTTAAAATCCAGACTGACTACTAGATGTGGTTTGATGAATGTCTATTCCAAATTAAATTACTTAAGATATGCAAAAGATTAGAAGATAACAAAATTTAAAGTTAATTAAAATTAACTAAATGAAAATAAAGTTAAAATCAGCAATAAATACAGCAAAATAATTCAAAAATAAGCACAAGCAGATAGCAAATAAATAAAGTTAGATACAAGTTGAAATTATGCAAGAAAAATAAGAAACTCAAGTTGCATTAAATTGCTAAGAGGAATCCTATAACATAGCAACAATAGCTAAAGCCTAGCCAAGATGATAACTGAAGTTGCTTAGAAGGTCTGCTTGGGTCAACTGCTTTTTGAAAAAGCAGTAATGTAACATTTGTATTAAAAAAATAAATAAAAATAAGGCCTTTATAAATAAAAAATGTAAATAAATAAAAAAATAAATAAAAATAAGGCCTTTGTGTTAATTTTAACCTTTTAGCTGGTCGGAGAACTAAGCAACTGTAGTTTTTGATTCTGAGATCACTGTCCAGTGATTTAAAGAGTGAGGGTGGGGCCTCTGCAGATTGGACCCCATGTGAAATTAAGAAGAAATCCCCAAACATTCTTCTCTTGGACTCTGTGTTTAACATTCCTGTGGCTGTAGCTTTTTCGGAATCTAAAAGCCACATGTCAATGGTGCAACATGAGCATCGGTGAAAATAAAAAAGGATATCAGCAGGTTTACTGAAGTAAAGATTTTCTGCAGTAAACCAGCACAATTAAATAGTTTTGGTTTGTTTTTGTATTTGAACTATGTCAGATTCAAGTGCTGTAACTGGTCGTTTGACTTATTTTTAACAATCCTTTTCAGGTCATTAGCAGATTTAAAATGACATGCTGACCTTTTTGAGTCTTATGTGTCCATGTCTTAGCTAGGTGTTTTTTTTTTCCTTTGTCAGGGAGTCTGGTGAGTCGGAGGACGCGAGTTCTCCATCTTCTCATTTGTCCTCACCTACAGAAAATGGCAGACTGACCACAGACACAAAGACCCGGCCCAGTTCCAAAAGCACTTTAGAGGAGAATGCCTATGAGGACATTGTAGGTAAGAGCATCACTTCATAGGCTTTAAAAGCATCACCTGGCATTGATAGAAGCTGACACAGTGTTGCTTTACATCTTTCACGTGAGCTGTCATTTGTGAAAGCATCAAATTTAAGAACAAAATTTAAGGAAAGCTGGGGAATGAAATATGTTTACATAAGTTATAAAATCGTTGTGTTGTGTCACCATCTGGACTTAGGAGTATGTCCATGATGGTCAGGGTGCTTTTGTTTTGAGAGGTAAGGGAAATCATGATCAGCCCCATAGTTGAGGTGATGTTGTGGTGATAGTATAATTCTGTGGGGGATTGTTCTCTTTGTCCAGAAAGAAGACTCTTGTGAAAGAGTAAAAAATAATGAATGAAAAGAAAAATACATTCAGGAGCAAGAAATGGGTTCTTTTTGTTTTTTGTTTCCCCAGAAACATCTAATCCCAGTAACTAAACTAAAATACTGAGAGGATTTGTTAAAAATAGTCCTCTTGGCTATTGTGGCCAAATGTACCAGGATTATGATGTTAGTTTCTCACATATTGTGTATGTAATGATGGATGTGGTAAGAAGCCAAATTCCTTTTCACTAGCTAATGACCCCAGGCCTTCTGCCCTTTCCGTTTGCCAACTCCCCCAGTGCATACTTAATGTGGTGGAGATGTGAACACAGTCTCATGACAAAGCTTGGATTTCACATGCAGTGCATGAAAATCACACTCACACTATTTTTTTTCTATCATAGGAAGTTCAGTGTTGACCAAATAAAGGCTGTTTTGCAGTGTTTTGTTGTGTGCAAATATTAGTTTTCATGTTGCTTGAGTGTCAGTGACCTGTGTGCTCTAAGGCATATTTCAACTAGAGAATGTCCAGAAACAGCACCGGGCCAACGCTGATGTCCATGTGAACTCCAACAGAGCCAGCAGCATTCATTAGGGGATGTAACGATACACTCAACTCACAATACAATATGAGTCACGATTTTTTTTTATCATCCCTTTTTTATTTTTAAAGAAATGAGATCCAGACAAATTATGACCAAATACAATGATCCTTTATTTGTAAGAACTATGTAAAATACCGTTACCAACTGAAATGGTCTTGTTTACCCCATTAACTGAAAATATCTTAAATAATAGAATACAAAAAAGGCACATCTCTTTACAGAATTACTGCACACCAGCATTTATCTCCTGCCATTAAAAGTAAAACTGGTCTGGTCTTGTTTACCTCACTAACTGCCAACATATAAAACAACAAAAGAATCCATTCCTTTCTTTTCAGAAACACAAAACATTGTTTGTGTCTGTGGAAGAAGTTCTTCCCACATTCCGTTTGAACATTTGAATGTCACTTAGGCTACGTAGGGACTTGAGGTCTTGGTTTAATATCTGGTCACATCTGACATTTTTAGGCGCCACATACTGTATGATATGATCACTGACTTTTTAAAATAACTCAGCCCACTCCTTACGCATTGATGAAAGACTCATTTTTTTATATCAACTGATGTGAATTGTCACGCATTTGTATTTGTTTTTTACTTGCTCAAGATGCATTGTTATTCTCCCGTGAGGTAGCCTGTCAGTTGCAACCACGTACTTATTGGCGCCTCTTGTGGCAGCCTGTGTCTGTTGCAAAAACTCACGTTGTAGATTTCCCCATGTGGGACGAAGAAGGGACTCAATTATTATTAATATTCTGTACAATTGTTGACGTTAACTATAGTAGCTGTTATATAATATTATTATTTTAATTCATTAATTTTATCCATAGTTTTATTGATACATTTTCTGATGTGTCAGGTTGAAGACTTTTGTTAGATACAGAAATATTTGTTTCCTGTTTACTTGACATAGCCTACTGTTAATGAGAAGAAAACAAAACTGGCAGTAAACATTGTCCTGCTTGGTGTTCTCACTGTGGTTTGTGTTGAACTTGTACCTACACACAGCACGTCACTCTAGTTCCCACAGAGCTGCGTCAGTTAGTAACACTTCAGGAAGGAGGGAGGGAGGATTCAAAACACAGTGAGAATGTTACACAGGTGATCCTGCCCTTCCCATTAAAAGGACAGAATTGTTCAGAATTAAACACCACTGAATATTTTAAACAGCTCATTCACTTTTATGGAAAATTCCAACCTACTCTTCTCTTGAGGAACAAACATCTGTGTTTGTCTTACCAGCAGTTGTATTACTAAGTAGGTGACTGTGATTTACTGTTAACTATTGTGCCTGTGACTGATTTTTTTGGAGCCTGGTCATGTTATTTTTTCCCCTCTCAATTAAATTTCAATCAAATCACACTGTGACAGCTAGTCACACAGTGGGTCCTATTGTTATTCTGCGGTTTTAATCGAAAAGTTAAAAATACAATGTATTCCCCGACATAATTTCTCCAGTGTGGTCACAGTCTTCATGAGACTGACACACTGTATGGTTTGTGGCTCCGCCAGATGTTCTTACAACACTGTAACAGTGTTATTTCTTTTTCATCTGCTGCATATTTCTGCTCAGACCATGACTGCTTTAAGCAGCGCTGTGGTAGTGTTTGTCCACTTTACAGGGTAATGTGATACTGACACTGTTGGCATAGTATAGTCCTGTGCCTCACCCTGCCCGCAGAGTCCATTGTGTTCAAAAAAATGTACAATCACAGTGTGTCATGGAGGTGTGTCCCCTCCTGGTTTAATACTGTGTGTCTAGGTCAGGATGTTTGTAATCAGAGGAGTAGATTAGTACCCTCCAGTACACGAGCAGCTCTATAGACATATCATTTTCCCAGCAGGCTCTCATTACGGTACTGCCTCAGTTTAATGAGGTAGCACTGCAACCTGGGGTCAGACAAAGCCCTCTCATTCTGTTCGTCTGTTTTACAGTGAACACAAACTCACTCCAGCTCCAAGTTAATTTACTGTGTGTCACAACACAAAGCCTTAAATATCCACAGCGGTATAATCTTCTGGTGTATGCATGCTTTGGTGTGTGTTCACCTGAGGAGGGGTTCAATAATTAACCCAAAACTAAACAAGAGGATGAAGCTATGGCTGTACAGAGAAAAAAAAGAACCCCTTGCTCATTGTTTGTGAGGCAGAGGTTATTAGGTTTCTCTCTCCGTATGTGCAGAAGGAAGAAATTGTACCAACTCGATTTTGACTCATTCCATTTCTGCTGACAGATAACATTGCCTTTCTTTCATCAAAAAGTTCCCCTTCATGCATTTCTACACCATCTGGCTCTGTTTTTATTCTACTCTGTGCCTGCTACACTTTCTCACAACCTTTTCAGACCCTGCCAAAAAAACTATTCTCAGAACACATGTCTGAATAGAGGTGGACTATGGTGTTACACAAGTTTTCTCCCTATTGAAGTTGGCCCTCTGCCAGATGACATCAGCGAGAACAGTGAAGAGCTCTGTGGTACTTATTTTTAATCTCTTTATGTTGTTATCTGTGGTTAAAGTAGAGAGGAAACAAAGGCTGCTCCTCTACTTTCAGCCAGGTCTTCAGGTAAATGGTGTTTTTAATGAAAAAACCCCAAAACAAACTCACTGTTAACTACGAAGTATGGCTATTTGGTTTAATTTAGATAATCAGAGTCTGCTAAGTTAACCTACTTACGCTTGTTTCTCAGCAGACAGTTCACATGTCTGGACAATGACTCACCACTGTGTTGTTCTCAGAAGTTCTAACTTTGCACACAAGAGCTGTGAGGCCCAGTGCCAACAGTAACTGTTTAAAAAATAGGATTTTACGTGAGGCATCTTTGAGCGACCCCTGATTTACCTTACTTGACTCATCTCCTCTTTAACTAACCATAGGGAAGCCCTCCTGTGCCCTTTGACTCCCACTTCTGCTCTGTTTTGACCCCAGAGCCTCATCCATCTCCGCCGCCATCGCCTGCTGAAAAACCTCCTCTGTCTATGGGCAGAAACTGTCAAGTGAAGTTTATTACAGTGAGGCAACACCCTGTGTTTCTTTTGCTCCAACAGAGAAGGAGAACCCATACGAGGATGTAGATCTGAGGCGGAAAAGTATGGGCCGGAAGTACTGTATGTCAGAAAGCAGCAGATCTTGGACAGCCCCAGGCATCATCCTAAACTCTCCACCTCAGGTATGAGACCAGCCTATTGGCATCTACAGCACTGCCCTGGTTTCATTAAATAAACAGACTTGTTTTTTTTTAATGGCTGCAACTTGATGCGTCTACAAACGTGTAAAATCTGGACATGATTATTGAAGGTGTTTTGGTTGTGTTCAACAAAAAGTCAGAGATGGATGATGTCCAAGAAACCCATGGTTACAGTGATGAGGTTTTACTGTATTAATTAGTTAATAAAATAATTTGTGCACCCTTTTGTCTGTAGTGGTGATAGACAGGTTGACAGACAGAGGCTCAGGCGGAAGGGGTTTCAGTGTTGTGGTGAAAATAGAAAAATGTAGTAGAATTCACCTGAAAGAATGGAGAGAATGAAAGTGAGTAGTTGGAACAAAACACGTGAATGAGAAAAAGTCGAGATACAAGGAGTAGAGTTGCTGAATGTGTGTGTTCAAGTGCCTAGTGTGAGTTCAGAAAACCAAAGAAATAGACAGTTCTGTAAGAGGTCAATAACAGGGTACTGTTAGGGTTCACTGGGTGGACATGAAGAATTTGCCAGAGTGGTTTTGTGACAGATAAATCAAAAGGATGGTTGACAAGATGATAACCTGATATGATGTTTTAAAATACTGTTGTTTCAATAGCACAAAGCTATGTTTTAGTGGCAGGGTTTACACACAGATATTTTCACTGAAAGAATCCATGTTGGTGGAATGGTACAGTATGGACAAACACAGAGGAGAGATAGTGGATTTATAAGAGAAAAGGTTGTTCCTAACTAAGCTTTTTGGTAGGAGAAAAAGGAAAGGAAACTTAGGAAAGGAACTGATTGGTTAACAGGTTGTTTAAAAAAACTAGAAAGTACACAGAGCTTCTCAGCATTTTTAGTAAAGCCATTCCTAAGATAGTATTTGGAATAAACTGCATGCATTGTACTGACTTACATCTGGAATTAAATAAAAAAATCTTTATTGATGATATTTCCATTTTTGATCAGTTACCATCTAAACCCAGCAGCCAGTCACTCCGCCTGGTTGGTCAGAGCGATGGAAAGAGCCATCGGTTGTCACAAATATCTAAACGCTACAGCCACGACGAACTGCTGCTTCATCCTCAGCTGGGTGTATCATCATCACCCTGTGGTCTGCTGGATGACACCCTCTGTAGCACTAGTGACTCCCTGGGCACACACAGGCACTGGAAGATTCCTAAGGTACGGTGACTTCTGCTATAGCTCCTTTTAAAATGGCCCAGGTCTGTAGTTGTGTGTAGAGCTCCAGCTGTGTTCACTGTTCCCTCTATGCTTCGTAGACCAGATCAGGTTTTTACTGGAGCCAGGCCAGTTCTGAAACATGGGTGATCTCTCATCCAGTTTTTTAATATTAGCTGCGTTGATGCGTGTAATTACTGTATGGGTTTAAGACCTCATTGTTCTCAACAACTCACCTCTAAGTTTTTCAAGAAGACCTGAGGCACAAGTAAAATATTTGTCAACTATTTCTTTTGGCCAGGTGTAGCCCTGACTGTCTCTGTGTTTCTGATCCAGAGAAACAAAAATCAAAATTTCCGCAAAGGAAAATGTTCTAATTTCTTTTCACAGCTGGTTCAGAGGATCAACTCCATCTACTCCACCAAACGTGGGAAGAAGAGGCTGAAGAAACAGTCTATGTCCAATGTGGAGACTGCATCACTGAGAGGTGAGACTTCTCTCTTCCCTGTGTCCTGTGGACAGATGATTGAGAAAATATTGCGTTTGAGCCACCTTCTCTTTCCCCTTCTTCTCTCTTTCTTTGCCCCTTTCGTGACACAAACACTTTGGTGAAATTGCCATTTGACCCGTAGAAAACATTCCTGTCTCTTGTCTCATGTCTCCAGATGACAACAGTGAGAGTGAGAGTGACTCTGACGACAGGTTCAAAGGTGAGTGTTCACGGTGTTTACTCACCGCACTGAGGTGTTACGTTTCGCAGCCTTTTCCCACATATATTTTAACAGCTCTTGTGCAATGGCTTGCCATGGCTTTTGATTTAATAATCTATCTTGGATCAGATGAAGACCACAAAAATTTAGATTTTCCTTACTATGCACATTGACCACACATTTATCACATTTAAATCCAGAAATGAATAGTTATGACCTTAAGTGAATTTGCTGCCTTTGTTTGCCAGTAGTTTTTGAAGATTTTTTTTCTGATTGCTAAAGTGTAATACTGCAAAGGCAGATTTGTTTTTTATTATTTAACTTAAGTGGAATTGTTGTATGTATTGATGTTAATTTGTCTTTTTAGCTCACACGCAGCGGCTGTTGAAACTGCAGTCCATCCTTCGACAAGCCCCCAGCTACCGCACACTGGAGCTGCAACTCATCGAGTGGCAGGAGAGAGAGCTCTTTGAATACTTTGTGGTTGTTTCGTTGAAGAAGAAACCCAGCAAAAACTCTTATTCCCCTGAGGTCTCCTATCAGTTCCCTAAGGTAAAAGGTTCCTCTGTTGCTCCTCGTACATTTACCCCGGCAATAAATCTAAGTCAATAACATTTTTCACATAAAGCACATACTATTATATTAGAAATAGAAAAAAATGAATAAACATTTTAATTTTGATTTATCATATACATTTCAAATTGTTAAATCTTACTCTGTAAGCCCTTAGAGGCAAGGACTTGGATTGCAATTTTTGACCTTAACTTATATATTGCCTCTGCAAAATACATGGGTATTGTGCATCACTTTTAAGGTAATTTTGTCAAATCTTTACCTGTGCTTTGACTTATTTCTCACAGATCAGATTGTTATCATGAGCATTACTTTTAAGATAAACTAAAAGTCTACTTCAGCACCACATTTTTCTCTGTGTCTAAGTTCAACTACATTTTTCCTCCCACATAATCATATTACTAACATCTCATGAAGTTGGAACAGTACTGGTACATATATTACTGAGGTATAACACATTGTAGTGTTTGTATTTAGAGTGTACTTCCCTTAAGATGTACATGAAGTTTTCCAAAGTCAACTTTCTAAATGTGTTGTCTATTCTTTCATGTATCTCCAGTCTTCTTCTTTTAGCTTTAACCTTGTATGAGAAATATTATACAGGTCACTGGCTGTGTGACTGATATTTATCTGCAAAGTTTTCTAAAAAAAAAGCCAACAGAGTTGTTTGAAGGAGAATAAAAAGACCGGAACTTTCTTAACGTCACCTTCTCCTCTCTCCTCTTTCCTTCTGTCCTCTTCCTCTCTCCTCTCCTGTCACAGTTAGAGAGGCCCACCAAGCAGATGAGGGAGGCAGAACAGAGGCTCAAAGCTATTCCTCAGTTCTGCTTTCCAGATGCCAAAGACTGGAGCCCTGTCTCTGAGTACAGCAGGTATAAACATTCATCTGTAATATACACTGTCAGACTTAGGAAATTTATTAAAAGGTACAAGAGAAATAGTACGTGTATTTTTAGTGCTAGAATCCTGGTATTTATTTTACCTCTTCCTCCAAAGCATTTATCATTAAATTTGTCTGCGTACAGTATACACCTAAAACTTCACTACTGTAGTAGAACCTTACAGAGGACTTTGCTGGCCTCTACTTTATTCCATGTTTGTGTATGCACAGTTGTCTCCAGTGTTTGCTTTTTTTCTCATGTGTGTACATTTTGTGCTCTTATTCAGCGAGACCTTCTCCTTCATGTTGACTGGGGAGGATGGCAGCAGGAGGTTCGGGTACTGCAGACGCCTGCTGGTAATCCACCGTTGCCTCTCCATCTTCTCATTTCTCCCTTAACCCTGCGGTGCTGTTTGTGGTGATACTGAGTTTTATGTGACCCCGCTATAATGGTTTCCTGTTGAGTCAGTGATCTGTGTCATGATCATCCGCCGTGGCAGCAGGAAGAAGATCATGTAATTTAAAACAACAGATAAAAGTACGCTTACACTGAGGAGAGTACATACCTCTGTCAAGCACAAATAATTCAAGCGCAGCTCTGTGCAAAGTGCATTGAAAATAACGGGGGGGGGAGGGGGGAAATGTAAATTATATAACTCTATACTCCAACTAAATATAGCACCACAGGGCTTTGATACATATATTTTTTACATACATAAAAATACTAGTGTATTTTTCCTGCCTTGTGCCTAAACAAAGCACCAAGTGTGCTCCAACGTCCTTCCGTAGCAGTCATCCTGCTAATGAATAACAGACCAACACACAGTGCCTGATCTACATTTTCACCTTAGTCTAAACTCGACTAGTTTAAGAATTGTTAAAAAAAAGGAAGCTAAGAGAAAAAGTGAGTCATTGATTATTCTAGCAGCTGATCAGGAAAATGTTCCAGGGACGTTTCATCTTTCTGTTGTTGTTCAAGTCTGCCCAGGAAATACCTATGTTCAGCAGCCGTAACAGGAACATCTGCAATAACATAGATTCAAACCGTGTTGCTAACAGTTGAGCTGCAACACAAATATGTGATTAGTGGTTAGCGTTTACTCATGTAAATGCGTATGTACTTTGAACTTCATATAGCAACAGTACAAAGGAGGAATAACTGCATACGGTCCCAGTGGAGTGGACACTGCAGACATTCAGTCATTGTCATGAAGTCAGTAAAAATATCTCTGACCAGTTCCATTTAACAAGAGTTTCTCAGACCAGACTGGAAGAAGAGAAACCAAGAAAAATCCAAACATTGTCATTGTGAAGCTTTTCCTCTTCATAATGAGTCCGGGAAGTGCTTTGAAGTTTATTTCTTTTGTTGAGTTTCCCATTTTACTTTGTGGGTAAAGACCACGACAATGTGGGATTCAGTGAATGTGGCGAATTGAGTATGTTTTACTTTAAACTACTGTGTGTGTTTACAGTAGAAAGTATACTGTATGTACATGTGAAGTATAAGCTGTGCATCCTGGAAGTTCTTTGAGAGTTTTTATTCTGATCTACCCCACTGATGTGAACTCCACGATAGAGCAGAATGAAATGAAGACAGAGGAAGAAGTGAGCTGCTCTCCTCTCACTAACTCTGTTTGCTCCCTGCTGTCTGTCCAGCTGTTGGCAGTCATAGAGCATTCCTGAGGCCTGGACTCAAGCACCACATAGTTGATTTAATCA